AGGAACTGAGATCCTGGCTGCAATGAGTGGATGCTTGAACACATCTGCAAACATGGAAGCAGCTGACAATAGCAAGTGTTGGAGACGGAACAATTAGACTGTTTGCACAGAGCTGGCTGATGGGAGTGTGCCTTTGGAGAACAGTTTGTAACTCATAAAGCTACACACACACACACACACACACACACACACACACACACACACACACTTCCCATATGGCCCTGCAATTCTGCTTCTTGTTGTTTGCCAAGAGAAATGAAGATGTGTGTATGTCCTCACACCAGCTTGTACACAGCATTACAGATGTGATGGCAGTGTCATTGGACAGGAAACAAACCAACTCTCCGCCATGTAACCATTCTCTAGAGTTGAACTTGTAAAGCAGTCCTTAGACCCGTGGGAGAGGCGTTCCAATACTCGATGTGGAGTCCGTGGAACCACGGCGGGTACAGAGCCGAAAGATTCTTGAGCACTGTGTTTTCCCCAAGTGTACGCAGGCAAATGTAATGCGTTTCCATCTAAGCCAAGCACTTTCGCACTGTGGCTGTAACTTGCAGTTGGAGATGTGACAGCAAAGCTAGCACACATTTTGTTCTCCACAATTTCATGGATAGAAGATTTGTTCTTAATCGTGAATCTTAGCAACCTCAGCATAAGGTTTTTTTTTCCTTTCCTTATTAAATCAAGAGCTTTAGCCTTTCACTTAAAGGAAGCACTTCTTTATGGCTTCTCCTTGGCATATCTGAAATGCCCGCATCCCTGCTCTGGCTCTCTGGGGCCATTATGAAGTGCAGGAGTGGGTACCTGAACATAGCACTGATTGCTAAGAGGGTAGGTCGCCAAAGGGAGTGCTGGGGCAGTGATGCCTTCAGTCTCCCATGTGGGACAGAGCAGGGTGGCACAAGTTTTCATCACATCACTCAGATAAGTGTCTGCTTGAAAACTTACTTATTTACTTCTGGAATTTTCCATGGAATACTTTCAGAGTATGGTTGGCTGCGGAGTACTGATCACTGGCACTGCTATCACATGTTTTATCTGTGTGGTTATCTGTTTAATGTCATCCTCTCCCACTCCCAGCTGGGAGCTCTGAGAGGCCCCTGGCCCTGTCTGTTTGGCCCTTTGGTACCTGACTCAGAGTGACCTCCTGCTCAATATTTAGGGCTATAGGGTCCGTGTGCACTGGGGGAAGAATGGGCAGGTGCCGAACACTGGGAGAAGGGTCCCAGTCCTGGGGGGGCAGAGGCTCATGAGGCCCTGTGCTGCCTGGCCTGAGAGTAGGAGGGACGGTTGTCTGCAATGAACTGGCCCTGATGCTTCCCCAGACAGGCGGGATTCTCACAAAATGCCAATTAAGACATTCGACCCAAATTTGGATAAAAGCCTTTTCTTCCTGTGTCAAGTTGAGCTAATAATATACATTGATTCATAATTTATGAGGTCTAGTAAGTGGGAACAATTAAGGAAAAGGCCTGGGCAAAACCTGTTTCTTTTAAGTGCCATATATGCTTGCCCTGTGTTGCCAGAGAGCTCCCCGCTCCTGTCCCCGAGACATGTGGCTATTTTCATCCTTCCTGTCACCCCATTATTTGTATTTGTACTGTTAGCTGATAGTTCTCAAGCCCTCACTGAACCAGCCTATTATGCTGCCTCTTAAAAATGTCTATTTATTTACTTCTTTAAAGATTTTTTTTTTTAGTTGTTTACTTATTTGACAGCAGACTAGCACAGTGAGAAAGGGGGCGAGACAGAGAGATCTTCATCCGCTGGTTCACTCCTCCAAATGGCTGCAACAGCCAGGGCTGGGTTTCTGACATGGGTAGTGGGGACCCCAAGTATCCAGGCCATCTTCTGCAGCCTTCCCAAGGGAGTTGGATCAGAAGTGGAGTAGCTGGGACTTGAACCAGCACTCACATATAGGATGCCAGTGTTACAAGTAGTGACTCAGCCTATAGAACCACAATGTCATTTTGTGGCTCAATTCTATGAGGCCCACGTTGTTATACTTGTTTTATAGAACAGGTAGTGATTTTCAGGAGGGTGCAAAGACTTGCCCAGGGCCTCAGTCCTCGGGAGTTGGGGGTTTGATCCCAGGGCTGTCCTGTCTCTTTTTCCCTACAGTGTCTGATTTCTGGGTCAGCCTCCTATCCCAGGCTTTTTCTGAACCTGTAGGGTGCCCTTCTGTCCCTCACTGTTAGACTTGGGCGACCATGGACGAGAAAGCCGTGAACTGACTCGATAGGCCTGGGGAGTAAACCTGAGGATCTGCCCTGTTTCTGATGTAATATGTGCCTGGAGGACCACACTTCGAAAACCACCAATTTTGGCAGTGCTGTTCCCAAACTGGCACCCCTTCTTTCCACCTACCTCTGTCAGATGGACTTGTGACCATCTAGACCATTTCCTGAGTGATTGCATGAATGCAGAGTATCAAAGTTCAGGAGGAATTTGCATTTGCTTCTAATTCACATCCACGAAGAAATGCATGTCTTGGCTTTTGTCTCTACTCCACATGTGCAGGATTATATCCCACATACCGCTGTTATACAACTTGGATTTTATTAATTTTTAGTTATTTGTTTATCTGAAAGAGAAGGGGAATCTGCCATCATCTGATCCATTCCACAAATGCCTGCAATAGCTGGGGCTGAGTCAGACCAGAGCCAGGAGCCTGGAATTCACGTGATTGGCAGGAGCTAAAATACTTGAGCCAGCACCTTTGCCTCCTAAGAATGTAACATTAACAAGACTGGAATTTGCAAGTAGAGCTGGGACTTTAAAAATTATTGTGTTTTTTATGATGTTTACATAGTTGAGAAGAGTGGACACCCATGTGGACCACTGATTAGTGTGGGAAGAGTCAAGGAATGAGGGAAAGTGGGTGAGACAGTTTCCATTTTTTTTTTCTTCCTGGATCTGGAGAAAGGGATGAGAGAAGGGAAGAAGGCTACTGCTAGCAGCCTAACTGTATCAGTACCCGGGAATGGGACAAGGCCATTTGATGTCATCCTAGAGTTCCGGATGTGGAGCATGTTCCAAAGGTAGTGGTTAAGTGGTTTCGGTAACTTAGAGATGTTGTTTGATTTCATTGTTTCAAGGTTGAGGAAATCATTCCAAGGTCCATTAGCTGACATAATCCACCTTGGGGTTGCTACTAGCCCAGACTGTTGCTATCAAAGCTTGGCAGGAGAGCTGTGCAAATTGTTCTGCCCTCTGTGGTACTAGATGTCCTCTGCAGGCACCAATGAACAGGTTGTCATGTCCCCCATGTGTATCTGGGCATGCCATCCACTGCACAGGCTTCAGTAACCAATGAGGCCCAGTTCTGATACATGTGGTTCACAGTCAGACTACAGATCCTATGATTTTTTTTTTTTTTTTTTTTTTTGCTGTGGTTGGAGTTTTGAGACCAGCAGTCCAGCTGAGGGGATCCCTCAAAAGAAAAAAAAAAAAAAAACACCTCGTTCCAGACCTGACTCCTGTGTGTGCCAGCCAATAATGAGTCCAGCTCAGGTTGTCACCCACATCAGCCTACACACACACTGGTGGTTACAGTTGACTGGTCAGTTCTATCTCCAGCCCCATTTCATACACCAACCAACAGCTGAGCCTGATTGCTCCCACCACACACTTGGCCCTCACGCACACCAGCAGGAACTGCAACCTAGTCAGAGTGACTCCCCAAAACCCCTCATCAGGCCTGCCCCCAGCCTCAGTTTGTGCATATGCCAGTATGTGCAGCAGACTGGTCCAGTTGGTACTGCATCCCATCCAGTTCTTGTACATGCTAGTGGGTGCTACAGCCTAGCTCAGCCCAACTGACCTACTATCTAGCCCACATTGTCCAGCCAGGACCTCTAGAACTGGCACTTTGTTATAGGAAGTGGTCATCCCAAGCAGTATCTTATCTAGGCCAAGTTCCTAGCACTGCATTTTAGTTTTGTTTGTTTAGCATGTCTTGGAGAACACAGATGTTTGCCCCATTCTTTTCAACAACACTCGTACTTCGTGGTACAAGTGTATTCGGGTTTTTGTTTTTTTCTTTTGAGATTTATTTGTTTTTAATAGAAAGGTAGATTTACAGGTGGAGAGACAAAGATCTTCCATCCACTGATTCACCTCCCAAATAACCGTGACGGCCAGAGCTGAGCTGATCCAAAGTTAGGAGTCAGGAATTCTTCTGGATCTTCCATGTGGGTGTAGACGCCCAGAGTTTTGGCCCATCCTTGACTGCTTCTTCAGGCCATAAGCATGGAGCTGGCCAGCAATGTGGTGCAGCAGGTTGATTTGTGGACTGTGGCTCTAAGCATCCCATATGCGTGCTGGGTTGAGTCCTGACTATTCTGCATCTAATCCAGCTTGGTGCTAATGCACCTAAGAATGCAGTGGCGAGTGGCCCAAGTGCTTGGACCCCTGCAAGGGAGATCTGGATGAAGGTTCTGGCCCCTGGCTTTAGCCTTGTCCTGCTCTGGCCATTGCAGCTGTTTAGGGAGTGAACCCAGCAGGTAGAAGCTATCTCTCTCTGGCTCTCTCTCTCTCTTTCTTTCTCTCTCTCAAATAAATTGTGCAAAACAAAAACCCAGTAGTCACTCAATAATATCAGCCATTGTTCTTGCTGAACAATGGCTTTGATTTCATCAATCATATGGAGGAATTGTTAGCTGTGAGAAATCCCCTTGTAGAGAGTGGGGACAATCATGTACAAGAATGCCTTGCTTTCTGGGCTCCAGTGTTTCAGGTGGACAGGGCCCTGAGGGCTGTGTAGGAGTGCAGAGGAGGAGAGCAGAGAGCAACAGAGGCCTTTGCCTTGTCAGGGCCTGGCTCGGCTCCCTGGGCATTCAACTATTGCAAAGGGTGGGGCAGACTGTTGCATTTCCTGGCCAGTTGACAGGCTTGGGCTTTAGCCGAGGGTCCAGGTGGGTAGCCTTGGGTGTCTGAGGGGCCCTGCTTGGGTCCAGCCCTGCTCAGCTCTGATCCTTCCTTCCTTCCTGTGTCCTCAGGTTGATGGCTCCGGGGAGGAGCAGCTCTGTGCCGACTTTCCGGAGCTTGACCTCTCCCAGCTGGATGCTGGCGACTTTGACTCAGCCACCTGCTTTGGGGAGCTGCAGTGGTGCCCCGAGAACGGCGAGACCGAGCCCGGCCAGTACAGCCCTGACGACTCGGAGCTCTTCCAGGTACACTCCCCTGGTCTGGCCACCTGCTACCCCACATGCTTCCCTCTGTCCCTCAAATCTGGCTCTGCCCGGCTCCGCCTTCTGCTCTCACTTGTACTGAGAAGGCTCCTCACCCACCCAGCTCAGGGGACCCTGCTGCCGTTTGCTTAGGTGGGCTCCTGCTCCGGAACGACACTCACCTCCCTGCCACCTCCCATGTCATTGATGTTATGATCACCTCTGGAAAGGGAGGGCTGGTGTGAGCTGTTCTCTATGGAACCCCTTGCTTCACCACCCCACCCAAAGCAGAATCCAGCCCCAAGTCCTCCATTCCCTGAATTGTCTCATCAGATTTTCATCCTTATTCTGTGTGGCAGGTGCCTCCATTTTCCCATTTTACAGATAAGGAAACTGAGACTTGGAGGGTTTGAGTTATACTCCTAGAGCAAGGTACCTAAACCTAGTCCTCTTGTCTCGCCTGTGCCCATGTTTTCTGGCCACAGAGACACCCTAATGAGAATGAGTCATGGTTATTGGGCAACTGTTCTGCAGGAGGCTGGCCCTGTTTGTATGTGGAACTCGTGTAATTCTCTTCACAACCCTCCGTCATAAAGGCACTTATCTCCGTTTTTCAGTTGGAGCCTAGGGGTTCTTTCGCAAGAGGCAGTGCCAAAAGCCACTGGGCATGTGCCTCTCGCTACCCTTTGTGCTGGGCGTGCAGCCTGGGGGCCACACGGGGCCTGACATTTTCCTTTGAGCAGGCACTCCCTGCCCCCCAAGTTGGAATAATGGGCTGTCTGCATTTGCTTCCCACTGAAGCCAGCCTTGTGCACATTTGCAGGTGTGAGTGTGGGTGTGTGGCATGCAGGGTGGTAAAGGAGATGAAATTGGCCGTGTCGAAGCTGGGTGATGGGTGCATTTGAATCCATTGTTCTCTTCTGGAAATTTCCTCTCCCATGGAGACTGGGGGCAGAAGCCGTAGCCCACCTGTGCCTTTTTGGCAACATTAGCAACAGTAAAGCCCTTGCATGCCAGATGCTGGGCCCGGGTGCTGCTGTGTCCTGGTTAGTGGCACTCCTGGGCAGTGGGGCAATGGTTTATCATGTCTCCTAAAGGAGCTTGTCCATCTCGGGCCCTGAGTTGTTCGTGGACTTCAGTCCAGAAGAGGAGACTTGGCTGCAGATGAGTGAAACAAACAGCAGCTATTGTTGCTGACTGGACGGGAAAGCAGATAAGCCTGGGGAAAGGGCTGCCTGGGCCGGCCGGTTGGTCAGGAGAGGCCCCTGGAGGAAGGCATGTGCTGGCCACAGGCTGAGAAGTGGGTAGCCCTGTGAGTGGCCAACATGGGGCCGTGTGGAGGGACAGAGGGCTGAAAGGAAGGCGCTGAGCGGCAGACAGGCAGGTGGGCAGGCGCCAGGTCCTGCAGGGTCTTGTGGGCTAAGTGACCAGTGTGTTCTTCACTGGGTTGTTTGGACCTGGAAGTCGAGTATCCTTGCAGAAAGTGAAGTTCAGAGAGGTTAAGTAACTTGCCCAAGGTCACAGAGCTGAGAAGAGTTGGGGAGTAGATGCTCGCCTAGGAACATGAACTCTCCATGCCTCACTAACCCTTACTCTTGCTGCCACCCTGTGGGGGAGTTGGCAGGGCTGGCCTCTGCTCTGGTTTCCTCATGGAGAGACTCCATTTCCCTAACTGCCTCTAGTAGAGACAGAAACTTCCAGAAAATGTGTTCAGGTTGCAGAGGGCAGCTGGATGCTACCTGGAGACCATCCCATCTGGACCACCTAGGGACTGGCCCCCAGCAAGCCCCCACTGAGCTCCTACCATTTGGTGAAATGTTTATGGGGGAGTCTGGTGCTGCCTGCAGGTCCCCAGTCTTGCCTGAGATCAACCCAGCCAGCCCCTCACCATTTCCTGGGTGGCACCCCACCAACCACTGAAGAAAGGCCTGTCCTTGTCACCCCCGCCTCCTGCATTGTAAACACCATGAATGTGGACACCCTGTCCCTTGTGTGCACTATTGGTGTTCCCAGGGCTGTGTCCAGTGCCTGGTACCCAGTCAGGCCTTGGTAAACATCATCAGATGAGTGTGTCCCTGGTGAACCTGAGCTCCCAGATCACCCCCTCCTAAGGCAATCGATCGGGCCATTACAATTTTCATGTGTGTATGTCTTGTGGACTCCAAGCTCCTTGGGGACAAAATCATCTTATTCTTCTTGGGGGCCCACACACAGCATTAGGATCCAGATCACACATGTTGAATGAAGAAATGGAGGGTACTGTTTGCTTTCCTGCCAAGGGCCAGACACGAGCCCTTCAGACAGTGAGCTATGGGCCAGGGTCATGGGTTCTATTCCTGCTACTGCTGCTGGCTCAGGCGATTGCCTCCAGGAGCCAGGGGGCAGTCCTGGAACCTCCTGCTTGCATTCAGGCCATGTCTTAACACTCTGGTGGCACCACTGCTATGGGAACAGACTGGGAGAGTGGGAACATTTGAGTGACCAGGGTTGACAACTCCTAGCAGACAGGGACATTGTCTTTTGTTTCTTAGGGGATATTTCTGGAACAAGCAACTGTTGGTTGTTCTGTGCTGTGACCCACATGGGCAAGTGTTTCCCTCTGGCTGGGACTCTGACATGAGGACTGAGGAAGGAACACAGACTCCATTGGAGGTTCTTAATCAGCTGGAGGTACAGGAGGAGATTCTGCAGCTTCTTCCATTTATTTTATTTCATTTATTAGGAAGGTACACATACATGTGTACACAGAGAAATCTTTCATCCACTGGTTCATTTCCCAGTCAGGGCTTAGCCATGCCACAGCCAGGAACTCCATCCGGGTCTCTATTTTTTGTTTATTGACATTTATTCATTTCTTTTATTTGGAAGGCAGAGAGAGAGACCAGTTGCTTTTAGATGCAGATGAAAAGGTAGATCTAGTCCCAGAAAACTGGGGAGACTGATTTCGGGGTATCTCAGGCCTCTGGAAGCCAGCCCCGCAGCCCTGGGCCATGTGGGCTCTCAGAGCCAGCATCCTCTGGGACATAGCTCCAAGCTACCCGGGTCCTCTGGCGAAGCATTTTCCCCAGATTTCCTGAAAGCTCCTTTCCCTTTGCCTACAGATCCCTTGGCTCTGGGAAGGCTGGGGGTAGGGCCAGGTCTATTAATATCCCTTCCTAGGCTGATTAACTCTCCATTAATTCGCACTCAGTTTCCATACAGAGCAGGGAGAACAGTGCTAAATGGGACCAGGGAAGAGGAGAGGGCGGCCTGCTCCCAGGGATGTGCGGGATGCACGGGATGCCCAGACCGTGGGACAGGATTTCCCGTTCCTGCCAGCCGGCTGGGCTCAGCTGTGTTGTTCTTGGTGGAGCGCAGGGAACCCAGGGCCTCTGCCAGCCCCTCTTGGTTTCATCTGGCCTGTCAGGTGTTTCTTGAGGTCTCTGCCACCTCTGCACCCCCTTTCAGCCACCTGGGACCTGGCACTCAGGAAACCAAACCAATCAGGGTGGTCTGAGTGACCCCACCCCCTGACTTGTCCTATGACTGAGAAATTGCTTCACTCCATCTCCTCCCCACACCCCACCAGTACCAAAGAATGTCAGTTCGGTTTTCCTGGGAGCTTCCACAGTGGTTGCAGGTGCAGGAGGAGTGGAGCCCTGACTGCGCAGCCGTCCGGGGAGAGTAGCCCCAAGTCCCTGGCTGCATGGTTAAGGTCCTGCAGTCTTGAGACAGTCCCCAGCACCTCTGGTCCATTCGCCGCTGTTCCTGAGAAGGACAGAGTTCCCACCCCACACCAGGCTACTGACGTCATCTCTGGATGACTTCCCACTAGGATCTGGTCTTTGTGACAGGGAAGCCAGCTTCCTGCCACTGTTCATTGTTCAGAGCATTGATTCTTTCCTTCAGTAAGTCCGATGCCACTTCCAGATTTGGCCTTCACCATGGCCTTGGCAGGAAAGCTGCCACATCACAGGAAAAGCAACTAGTTCTGGGGGAGGGGACAGCTTGCCTGGGGTCAGCCCTGAGAGTGGTCATGAAAGCCCAGGTTCCAGCTTTGGGGCTCCTATGTCAAGCTGGATGCCCTGTTTTGAGGAGAACACAGAGGCAGTAGCCTGGCTAAGGGGTAAGAGGAACTTATGGGGTGGGGAGAATGATGAGGGTCTCCATGGCCCTGATCTGCCCATGAGCCTGGGTCAGGCTCCACCGAAACAGTCTTGTAACCTTTCTTCTTAGCTGCATTCTAAAAATGACAACCACGTTTGTTCTCTCGGCCTCAACCCCCCTCCCTGCTCCCTGCCTGAGTTACTCAGCCACTGCAAGGTCTGGAACAGATCGAGTGCAGCCAAAAGGCCGTCACGAGATGTGCATTTCGAATGAACTTCCTCAAGAAAGGATGAACAGCCTGACCTGGGATGGGAAGGCATGCGGGGCGGGAGGCATCATGTGACGGCTGAGCCACTGCCAGGGCAGCCCCGGGAAGCAGGGTTCCTTCATGGGATGCTCAGGCCTTTATCCACAAACAGTACCGTCTGCACCCCAGGCTTTAGGGTGTAAGTGCCCAGGGACTGCAGCTGTGCCTGCTAGCCAAGGAGGAATCTGATTCACTGTGTACGGACCACGCCATTGTCCAGTGACCCTCGACACACTGCTGAAGCTCCCACCATCGCTCAGCTGTGGAATGGGGTCCTCCTTGCCCTACTATGCCAGAGTCACTGAGACCGTACCCTTTCTCTCCCCCTCTTGGCTGAGCCAGGGCCATCTGCTCTGCCTGCTGGTGGCTATTAAGCCCACGCTTCATGCCTGTACAAACATGACGTCCGAGTCCCTTGTGGAGTCCTACCCAGGGTCTCATTGCCCCTCACGGCTTCCCTCTAGGTCCACCCCAGCCTTTCTCACCGTGAAATAGCCTTGCTTCAAGTTCACTGTTGGGCACGACAGGGAAGGCTCAGTGGCAGCTCAGTCCTGGGCATGCTGTCTATGTCCCCATGTGTAGCAGGAAGCCGGGCAGAGGGTGGCCATGGGGCAGGTTAGGAGAGTTCACGTTGTTGCTGTTGTCACCCCCATGGTGGGTGTTGTGATCATCATGGTAGTTAGACCTGAGGAGTGGACTTCCAAAATTTTATGGAAAATGGATTTAAGGGCCTGATGGCTTAAGTATTCATTCTTACCTCCAAGTGCCGGGATCCCATCTGGGCACCGTTTTGTGCCTTGGCAGCTCCGTTTCCCACCCAGCTCCCTGCTCGTGGTCTGAGAAGGCAGCAGAGGTTGGTCCAGAGGCTTTGGACCCTGCATCCGTGTAAGGTACCTGAAGGAAGCTCCTGGCTCTTGGCTTCAGATCAGCTCAGCTCAGCTCCAGCTGTTATGGCCAGTTGCAACTGTTATTGGGGGAGTGAACCAGTGGAGGGAAGATCTTTGTCTCTCATTCTCTGTAAATCTGCCTTTACATTAAAAATCAATAAATCTTTTTAAAGGGGGGTTGGTGGTGGTATAGCACAATAGGCGAATTTCTGCCTGTGGTGCTGGGATCCTATGTGGGCATTGATTCAAATCCCTGTTGCTCCACTTCTGACCCAGATCCCTGCTTGTGGCCTGGGAAGGCAGTTGATGATGACCCAAGATCTGGGGCCCTTAAACCCACGTGGAAGACCCAGAGGAAGCTCCTGATTGCTGCCTTCAAATTTTCTCAGTTCTGGATGTTGTGGCCATTTTAGGGAGTGAATTAGAGGATGGCAGACATCTCTGTCTCCTCTCTGTGAGATCTACCTTTCAATTACAAATAAATAAATCTTTTTTTTAAAAAAAAGGAACGTAAAGTTAGTGGTGGGCATTTGGCATAGTGGCTGACACACCTGCCATCCCATATTGGAGTACTTGGGTTCACTGATTAACTCCTTGCCATGACTCTGGCTTCTTGTTAATGCACATCGTGAATGGCAGTGTGTGATGGCCAGGCATCACCTGGAAGGCCTAGGTTGAGTTCCTTCTTTTAACTTAGTAACAATAGTAATAATAAAGAAGGTAAGGGGCTGGCATTATGGTGGAGCTGGTTGGGTAACCACTTGTAACACCAGCATTCCTTGGGCAGTTAGAGTCCCGGCTGCTCCACTTCCCATCCAGCTTTCTGGTAATGTACCTGGGAAAGCAGCAGAAGGTGGCCCAAGAAAGAGAAAGCAAGAGACAGAGAAGCGAGATCTTCTATTTGCTAATTCACTCCCCAAATGTCCACAATGGCTGGGGGCTGTGCCAGGCCAAAGCCAGGAGCCTGGAACTTCATCTCTGATTCCCATATAGGTTGCAGGGGCCTAAGCACTTGGGCTGCTTTAAGCTGCTTTCAGCAGGCAGATGTTTTAAAAGTGGAGCCACCTCAAACTGACGTTCATGTGGAACTGCTGGAGTTGCAGGAGGTGGTGTAACCTGTGCCACAACAGTAATCCCATAAGCTTATCTCTTAACTCCATGGACTTTTTTCCTAAGTACCCTCTGCATCCCACCTCTGTGGACTCATCTGGTCTTCAAGAAGACTCTTCTGAAGTCGGTTCTATTTGCTATCACAGTTGACAGAGGACGAAACACTCACCCTTGTGCCCAGAGTGGCTAAGTGTGGGAGCTCTGAGCCCTCCAGGCTTGCTCCCTCTCTTGGGAATGAGGAACAAAAGCAAGCCCTAGGATTCCCATGAGGAAATGGTAGCTGGGGTCTTCATTGCCTGTGACTCACCCCATTGCTTCCCATCTGCCCCATGCCTGGATCCCAGGGTCTGGGGTAGTAGGGCCTTCTCTGGGGTGCTGTGACCAGTGTTGGAGACCAGCATTGGTCCTTCGTGGAGTGGGCAGTGTCTCCCAGGTGGACAGGCCTTGGCCCTGGGTCACTTGCTAAGGAACAGCAGGAGAGTCAAGGTCAGGACTCGGGACAGAGCCATTCCATCAGCACCTGCTGCTTGCTCATGAGCTTCTGTGGCTCTTGGAGTGGAAGCACGTTTATTGGGTCTCTGCTTTCCCAGGAAGACAGAGTAGCTCTGATGAAGGCAGGCTTGGCCAGGAGGGTTGTGACACTGGGACTAGGGCCCATGCAGATGGCTGAGTCCCAGACAGTGATGTCCCCCCTTCCCTCCTGACTCCTCACTGTAGATCGATAGTGAGAATGAGGCCCTCCTGGCTGCACTCACCAAGACCCTGGACGACATCCCCGAAGATGATGTGGGTCTGGATGCCTTCTCAGCTCTGGACAGTGGAGACACCCCATCCTGCACCTCGGTGTCACCTGCTCCTTCTTCTGGACCCCCCAGCCCCACCCTGGAGAGCTCCTCAACGCCAGCTCCGGCAATGGACAAGCATTCACTGGTGAGAACCCACGGGCAGTGGCAGTTCTGGGGGCAGTGGTGGGTGCTGTGCAGGGAGATTCCAGCCTTCACAGCATCATGGTTCCCAGCACAGAGCCCGCACTGGAGTTGGGAGGCCTTCTCCTGGGCCTTGGCTTTCCCACTTGGGTGGCGGGACCAGCTGTACTTGCTGCGTTGCGTAGGCTGTGTGAGCTTGCATGGGTTGACCTGAGTAGGGTGCTAAGTTTTTGAAATCACATGAAAACATTTTCATGAGGCTTGCATACACACACACACACACACACACACACACACACACACACACACAACCAATCTATGCATAAGTGTAGATAGTTACAAGCAAAACCTTCTCATCCTGTTTCTGTTGCTTTTTCCTTCCCCAGAGGTAACCATGGTTACTGGTTTGTTAGACTTCCTCTTCTACTTATTTTTTTAACTACAAAAGTGTATCTGCATTTTGCACTGACTGTTCTATACCTTCCTTCTCTTAGCTGTGTGACTTAGAAACTGCCTTGTACCACATAATTTAAAAGCTCAAAATAAAAATGTAAAAAAAAAAAAAGAAAAGAAAAGAAACTGCCCCTTTTGGTTGGCTATGCTGTGCACCAGTGAGAACATCTCATCACGTTGGCCTTTGCCCATGGCAGTGGATGAGTTCCTAGAAATGGAATTCCTGGGGCTGCAGATATGTAATTATCTGGTTTAGACAGACATTTCCAGATTGTTCTCCAGGAGGCTGGACTTGTTTACATGGTGTTGGTGTGGCTGGATGTGGAAGGTGGAGTTGTGTGTGTATGGAACAGCAGTTTTCCAGGTAGAAAATGTCAGCTTTCATCAGATTTCCAAAGGCCTCTGGCCCTCAAACAATTCTGACTGTGGTTGCCTTTGACTCAAGCTGAGGGTTCCCAAAGCCAAAATGTCATGGGTGATGTCTACCTTCTCTTCATCTGCCCAGGGCCCCTCACCTTGGTACAGGGGCTCCTGGGTATTGGCGGAACCGCAGAATAGACCCTGGGAAGGCTCTTAGGTGGAGGAGGCTAGGAGCCAGAAAGACTGTTGGTGACCCTTAGGCCTGACTCGGGGCAAGCCGAGGCCTGGAGTGGGGTGAACCTCTTGCATGGCTGTCAGCGTATTGGCATACCATCAGGGTCCTGGACCCAGTTATTCTGACCCCCAGTGTAGGACTCGTGTGCCTTCTTTTCTACAAGGTCCCCAAAGGTGAAACACTGAGTAACACCTGCTGTGTGCTGGGCACAGAATAGATTCAGCTGCACATGTGGCTCCTGCTGATGGCGGGTGGGTTGTGGGAAGAGGGTCCTGCTTCCCTTCCTGTTGGAGTTGGCCTGCCTGGGTTTGCCTCTCAGCCTACCAGTGAACACTGCTGTATCTTCTAAGCATACAGCTTCCCACCATACCCCTGTGACTCAACCACACGGCCTATAAGGGGGAATGAAGAGTGGTGCCTGTCAGTTAGCAGTTACCTTGGAACTGTGTCTGGTGGGTTGCTCATTGAGCACCAACTAACCGTGCTGGCACCGCACTCGGTAACAGTAACAGCAGCTACCCGTCCCAGTGCCATTTCCACATGGGCACTGCCATGAGCCCTGACCTTGGAGAAGCAAACAGCGACCTCTGCTGGCCTGAGGGTGTTTCTCACTGCTGCCTCTGGTGCTGCCTTCATTGCCCAGGTGTTCACTAGACACACAGGAAACAGACCCTAGACTCCCAGAAGCCCTGCAGAGCTCTAGCAGGGCCCTGAGAAGTCATGCAGACCCCTAGCAGGGCCCTGAGAAGTCATGCAGACCCCAGGCCTTGTCCTGGATCCTGGAGGGTCCACCCATGGCTTATATGATGACCCATGGACCTGTGCGTATCTGCATACATTTCTGAGCTCAGCAGCTTCTGTCAGAAGTCAAAGTCATTGACGCCGCCTGCCCTTTGTCATACCAGCAGAGGGACTGAGACCCAGGAAAGAAAATGCCATGTTCGAGGTGAGTTGGAGCTGAGCGGGGCTGGGCCCATGTCTCCTTCTGTACCCAGAGTCAGAACCAGCATGTGTGTGTTGCTTTGAGCCAGAGATGTGTCTGTCCTCCAGCTCCTCCGAAGAGCAGGCAGGTGCTCTTTCTGTGGTTCCTTGGTCTTCAGTCTCCTTGCCAGGGTGGTTGAGGTGACCTGTCCTCACTCCCAGGAAGCACTTTGTTCTCTACCTTGGCGGTGATAGGATGCCTGATAGAAGTCGAGGTGCATCTGGCTTCTTCCTTGGACATGTTGCCCTCGGGATGAACAGGCAGAAGAGGTCCAACAGTTCTTGTTGAGAAAGAAGTCTGGGCCAGTGTTGTGGCACAGCAGACTAAGGCACCACTTACAATACTGAAGTCCCCTGTTGGAGTGCTGTTTCTGTATGTCGTGACTGCTCCACTTCTGATCCTGGCGAGGCAGCAGAACATGATCCCAGGACGTTAGAAATCTTTTTTTAAAACTCCAACTTAAGGGTCATGATCTTCTTGCATGAAAACAGCCAACTGAGTCAAAGACACTACACAGGTACTTCTAAATCACTTTGTGGAAAGTGAAACCGAAAGAGTTCATTCACTTATTAGAAGGGCAGTGAGGGCAGGGGGATTGTCTGCCTATTGACTCACTCCCCAGATGACCCCAAAGACCAGGCTGTCCCAGGTAGTAGCCAAGAGCTCCACTGAAGCCTCCCATGTGGGTTGCAGGGGCCCAAACACTTGGACAATCCTCTGCTGCTTTCCCAGGAGCATTAGTAGGGAACTGGATTGGAAGTGGAGCAGCCAGGACTTGAACCAACTTCACTATGATTATAGGATGCCAGCATCCGAAGTGGAGATTGGTCTCCCAGCTCTGGATTTTTAAGTTCTCTTTTGTACCAGAATAAAACTCTTTTTTTTTACTCTATTTCCTATGAGCTTTTTGAAGCACCCTCATGTACACACATTTATCCAGATGTTATCAAGCTCATCTCCTGACAGGTATACAAGGATGGGTGTTCATGCGGGCTACCTCTGGGCAGGAGGGAGATGCTTTTCATGGTCTTCCTTTGGTGTTTCTGGCATGGAGCTATTTTCCTTTGACCTTTTACAGGTGTTGTTTGTTTCAGAAATTAATTTTTTAAAAAGGCCACATGAATACGCAAAAAAGAACAAAGTGAAAAGCAACTGGAATCCCACATCAGGGAATCATTTTGGTGTGGAACCTCCCAGCTCAAGTCTGCATGTGTGTGTGTGTGTGTTGGCGTGCACCAGCCACAGGTGTGCATCTCCCACAGGTATGTGCAGTGTCCCAATGCCGTGCTGTCATCACAGACAGACATTATCCACGGCCTGTTTGGGTCACTCAGTCACAGCTCTGATAAGGATCTATGCATCACTGGTGTGTGTGTGTGTGTGTGTACGCGTGCGTGTGCCAGCCATAGGTATGTATCTCCCACTGGTATGTGCACAGTGTTACAATGCCGTGTGTGAATGTGAATCAACTTGCTTTCTATGTTTAACTTATCGGTAGCATTCTTTCAGGTCATGAGATGTCTGGGGTCAGGGTGTGGCTTGTCAGTGGGGACCAGGGCTTGTCCCCCTGGTTTAACCCCACCTGCCATCCCCTCTGTTTCTCTCCCAGCTACAGAAGCTGCTCCTTGCCACATCCTACCCAGCGTCAAGCTCTGATAGCCAGAAAGAAGGTTCTGCCTGGCGCCAAACAGGCCTCAGGTCTAAAAGTCAGCGGCCTTGTGTCAAGGTAATTCAGCGTGCTCCCAATTTGGCCTGGATCCCACTAAGTGGCCACTAGGAGGTACCCAAGGCTCTGGCTCTGACTTGGAGCTCTGACTGAGTCCCCTGCACAGGCACTCCCTGTTAATTCTGGTTTGGCTCCTGAAGCAAAGGCCCACCTTTCTGTCTTCCATTTGTTCAAGGGGCAGCAGCCAAGCCCCTCCAAGGAAACCTGCACTTTGCCCTCTGGGTGGCTAACACACCTGACAGCCATGCTAATCCTGCAGAGACTCAAGTCCCCCTGGGAGGGAAGCCCCTGTGTGCACAGGTAGGGCTAAACAACTTCATTGAGATGCCATTTACATATTGTAACATGCCACCTATTTGGTTTTGTTAAGACGTGTTTATTTAAAAGGTAAAGCTACAGAGTGAGGGAGAGACAGAAAACAGTTCTTTTGTTGGCTGGCTCATTCCCCAAATGACCACGAAGGCCAGGGCTGGGTCACGCTGAAGCGAAGAACCTGCAACTATCCAGACTCAAACCCATGTTCATCAGGGATGAAGCTTAAACCACTGCACCAGTCTGGTGGTCCCAACACCACCTATTTGAAAACTGCCTTATGATTTTTACCCCATTTATGGGATCAATCTAACCATGACTACAAACAAGTTCTAGAACAGATCCATCATCCCAAAAGGATTCCTCCCACCACCACCACCACCATTTGACCCCTACCAATCCTTTGCATCCCTGCCCTGGTCAGAGCAGGGAGGGTCTACCAGGGCTGGGGACTGGTTGGGAGGCTGGACGCCCCTTTGCTTCTTCTGGACTGGGCTTGGCCAGAGCCAGGCCATGTGCTAGAGGTGGGAATGTAACAGGAGGGAGCCCGAGTATTCCCACAGCCTAGATGAGCTGGCAATGAAACAGGGAGGAGTGATTACGGGCCACCTTCCTCACCGCAGCCTTCTTCCCTTCCTAGATGGACAGCTCTCAAGACAAGAAGGGCCCCGGGCCGCAACTGCAGAGCCGCAGTTGCACAGAACTGCATAAGCACCTCACCTCGGTACCCTCTTGCCCCCGGGCCGCAGCCTGCTCCCCAGAGAGGGGCCTGCAGCTACCAGCCCCCCTGAGTCCTCGGCTCCCTGGCAAGGAGGACAGCGAGCTGGGGGAGGACTGTCCTAGCCCCCAGCCCACCATAGCCTTTCCCCAAGACTCTATAGCGCCAGGCCAGGCAGGCTGTGGCACCCAGCTTCCCCAGGAAGACGTGCAGGCAATGGTGCAGCTCATTCGCTACATGCATACTTACTGCCTCCCACTGCGGAAACTGCCCCCCCATGCTCCAGAGCCACCTTCCCAGCCCTGCAGCAGCCCTGCCAAGCAGGTCAGACCCCAACCTGGCACCCGGCACCCCTCCAAGGGCTCCTGGGCAGAGTTCTCCATCCTGCGGGAACTGTTGGCCCAGGACGTGCTCTGTGATGTCAGCAAGCCCTACCGCCTGGCCACGCCTGTCTATGCCTCTCTCACGCCCCAGGCCAGGCCCACAGCCCCCAGGGACAGCCGGGCCTCCCCTGGGGGTGCAGCCCCTGTGGAGGAGGTGAGGATCACAGCTTCGCCCAAGAGCACAGGGCCAAGACCCAGCCTGCGGCCACTGCGGCTGGATGTAAAAGAGGAGGTTGGCCCATCTGGCAGCCTGCATCAGAGGGAGGAGGAGGAAGAGGAAGAAGAGGAAGAGGTGGAGGAGGAGGAAGAAAAAGAGGCAGAAGAGGAGGAAGATGATGAGGAGGAGTGGGGCAGAAAGAGGCTGGGCCGAGGCCTGCCATGCACCAAGCTGGGGAGGAAACAGGAAAATTCCCTGTGCCCCGTTCGCCGCTCCCGGAGACTGAATCCCCAGCTGGGTCCTTGGCTGACATGCACTGAGTCACTGGTCCCTGCTGAGCCCCCAGGTGCTCTGCCCTCCCTGGGCCCAGCCTCTGAGACCTACACCATGGAGGGGGGCAGCCACACGGATAAAGACAGTAGCCAAGACCAGCACCATCTGCGAGGACCCCCGATCCCTGCCCTGGAGAGCCCCTGTGAGAGTGGGTGCGGGGACACCGATGAGGACCCTGGCTGCCTGCGGCTCCCGTCTGGAGGTAGGTAGAGTTGGTAGCCTGTGCAAAGGGGGCTGGGAGGATGGGAGCCCTGGCCTAAGCACTCCACTGCCCCCCCATCCCAGCTCCTCACCAAGTCCCTCCACCCTCTCTGGCTTTCACCATCCCTGTCTGTAGAAGGGGTGGGCCTTAGGGGAAGCATTGCATGGCTCCAGGCTTTTCATCCTGCCACCGACAAGGTACTGCTCATGAGCAAGGGGGTCAGGTGCCTGTCCTCGTGGAGCTAGTGGGGAGGGGAGGCATGAAGAGGGAGCCACACACTGCACCAGTGGTACTATGAAGTGATTCTGGGGTGATGTGACAGCTGTGTGCACTCGCAGTTCGCTCTACAATGAGGGTGACTTTAGTGCTGGGTATAGTGCTAATGAGAATGAGAGGAACCGAGCACTTACTCTCAGGCCAGGCTGATCTAGGGTGCCCTCTGTTATTCCCACATGGTGGCAGCTGATAGCTTTGACCATAAGATGCAACAAGGCTCCTGGGTGATCAGTCCTTTGCTGGACGCTGTTCAGTGCTCACCCTGAGGGATTTGGGCACACCTTGCCGTGGTGCTTCCCCATCTGACCAGAAGGGGTCACCCTCGGACCCATCTGTACTTCCCTGAATCCGGCTAAGACCTTAGGGCCACCTGCTTAAAGTGCACCTGTGTTAGGCACTTGTGGGAGTTTGGGATCTTTCTGGAGGGGAATCTCATTTCTCTCTCTCTCTCTCTCTTTTTTTTTTTTTTTGGTCTTCTCAGATTCTCCCAGGTGCCTCATGCTGGCCTTGTCACAAAGGTAAATCTCCTAGGTGGTGCTTGTGTAGTTAAAGACCTGCGAAACTTTGCCTTGTTGGGTGTTGAGGGGCAGGGCTGTGTTCATGGACCCTTGAGCCTGACCCTGTCCCCAAGTCCCTGCCCTGATTGCCATCTGGGGGGCTCCAGGAGAAGGGAATTTGGGGTTTTAGCAACAGAGCTCTATGGTCTCAATGTCACTGCAGGAGCTGTCCTTTCCGGACCAAGGAAAGAGCCCTTTTCTTTGCGGGGAAAAATGATCCAGACCATATGGCTTCCCCGCTGAGCCTCACAGCCGCTCCCTCTGTAAGGGAAGGAGGCTACCAGCCTTTGTCCTCTGTCTAAGCAAGTCTGTATCTCCTAAGAGCTGTGCAGCCAGGACCTGGGTGTGCTCCCAGCGAATGCTCCCCAGCCCTGTTCCCACAGAGAGCTGAGCCAGGGTCCATCCGATGTCCCTTTGTCTGCCTTAGTGGGTGTCCAGGGAAGCAGACACTGCTGCTGCTCACCGGCTTCTTTGCTTTCTGTCCTCCTACCCCAGCAGCGAGGCTCCTTTCGGCAAGAAGAGTTTTGAGCAGACCTTGACAGTGGAACTGTGTGGCACGGCAGGTGAGCCGGATGGTTCAGCTGGTGGGTGCCCTTTGGGGAGCTGGCGAGACCCCTGGGCTGCCCCCTGAGCCCTCCCGGCTGCCAGCCCACCGGCTGTGCCAGGTGCTGAGATACAGAGTAAGGGGGAGGTGTGGGTGTGGGGGCCAGTACGGGGCATGCAAGAAGGAAAGAGGCAGAGTTCTTTCTCCAGATTGGCCAGCTGGTGGGCATGGTTTTACATGCCCTTATCTCCAAGTGTTTTACAAGAGCACAGGAGACCTGGCTGTGTTGGGAGTATGACCCAGGAAGACTTTACAGGGTATCCCGTGAAGGACTGTTTGAGTTGGATGAGTAGGCTCTGGCAAGACTCAGAAGGAGAGGGGCATGCCTGGCAGCAGAATCCACAGGGGAAAGGCTCCAAGGGCCACAGGGTCAGGGTCCCAGCCTGTGGCTTCAGGAGCTTGTGAGAGGAACAGACACTTGAATGAGCTCCTTTTGGTGCTTGGAGAGAGTAGAAACCAAAGTCAAACATGGAAGCACTGAAGGTCACCATGGCAGTCAAATGTAGGTGGGAAGTTTTACCTATGGCACCTGGCTTCCCTCTGTTTGGGGAGATGGCAGAGTTGTTTTGGGGTCGGGCCTGGGGGAGCTCACTGAGTGCTTCCATGTGGAGCAGGAAGAGTGGTGCAGGTGGATTCCATCCCTTGGCAACTGCAGGGCCCCTGGGGCTACCCCCAGGCTCAGCCAGCAGCACACAGCTTAGTTTGGGGACCTGCCTTCTCTCAGGCTCCTGGTGGCCCCAGGGGGCAGAGGTGTCTTCCCTCACAGGTGTCTGCTCTTGCAGGCCTCACCCCACCCACCACGCCCCCGTACAAGCCCATGGAGGAGGACCCCTTCAAGCCTGATGGCCAGCACAGCCTGGGCAAAGACGCAGCTCCTGGCCTCCCCTCCTCTGAGGCTCTCCAGCTTGGGGCCACCCCAGGGGCCACCCACAAACTGCCAAAGAAGCCCCCAGAGCGAAGTGAACTCCTGTCCCACCTGCGGCACACTGCAGCTGCACCGGCCTCCCAGGCTGGCCAGAAGCGCCCCTTCTCGTGTTCCTTCGGAGACCATGACTACTGCCAGGTGCTTAGGCCGGAGGGCACCCTGCAGAGAAAGGTGCTGAGGTCCTGGGAGCCTGCTGGGGTCCACCCTGAGGACTGGACCCCGCAGGGGGTCCCCGGCAAGGAGGAAGACGGAAGCTGTGATGCCAGCACCCCTCGCAAGGACAGCGCGCTGCTGAGAGACCATGAAATCCGTGCCAGCCTCACCAAGCACTTTGGGCTGCTGGAGACTGCCCTGGAGGATGAGGACCTGGCCTCATGCAAGAGCCCCGAGTATGACACTGTCTTTGAGGACGGCAGCAGCAGCAGTGGTGAAAGCAGCTTCCTCCCGGAGGAGGAGGAGGATGAGGACAGAGAGGAGGAGGACGACGAGGATGAAGGAGAGGACTCAGGGGTCAGTCCCCCTCGCTCTGACCACTGCCCCTACCAGAGCCCACCAAGCAAGGCCAGTCGGCAGCTCTGTTCCCGCAGCCGCTCCAGCTCTGGCTCCTCTTCCTGCCGCTCCTGGTCACCAGCCACCCGCAGGAGCTTAAGGTTTGGAGATGGCCTCGGGAGGGTGGAGGGCAGCTGAAGCGCCTGGTCCCTAGCATGACAGGGGAAGGAGGAGCCGCAGAAAGCTCTCTCTGAAACTGGGGCTGCATCTCCAGGCATGTGCCTCATTGCAGTCAGGGACCCCTGCAGCTTGGGCTAGTTTGGTGGTCACTGGGCATGTGACAGTCAGGAAACTCCAAATCCCCTGGCCTCGGAGAGGAAGCAAGCCCAGCTCCTGGCTGTGTGTGGGCTTACGCCCCAGCCAGCTTGCCCCGTGCAACTCTGTTTTCTGCTTTTACATTTGTAAAATGCAAAAAACTGTACAAGCATAGGCCTCCCCACGTGACTTTAAACCTGTGTGACATTAGCATGCTCAAGATGGAGAAGAAATTAACACGTACAAAGAAAAATTGGCAGGATTCTAATTTGGTTCTGTGAAAACACCTGAGTGGAAGAGAGTGCTAAGATATCTTGGTGCATTTGTCCGCTTGGCTGGGTTGTGCTTGTCACCTTCCTGGCTCTATGGAGGAGTGATGCAGGGATCTGTGGGCTCCTGCCAGCTGGGCTCGCTGAACCAGACTACAGAAAGAGCCAATCCGAAAGTCCACAGTGGAGCTGGGCAGAAACCATGGAGGTTTGGGAAGAACTGAGGGAGGGTTTGGTTCCTCCTGGCAGCCCAGAGTAGGGCTAATGCCACCGATGCCAACCCAGTCCCATGCCACTGGGTGATGCCCTCAGTTCTGGAGCAGAGCTGCAGGGTCCCTAGGAGGGCTTGTTTTGACTGTGTAGGTCTGGGGCCAGGTGGATGTGAAAATGTGCATTTCCAACCAGTGCCCATGTGCCTACCTGAGCATCATTCCTAGGTCCTATCATGTTTCTCAAATTCACCTTGCTAATTGCATGACTACCCCAAGGGCTCTTCACTGAAACTGATGAAAGCAAAGGCCCCATCCAATGAAAACGTATGTAGGCATACCCATGGACGTTCCATTTTCTGGGGTGGACTCCCAGGGAACCCAGTGTTTAGAAGTCCTAAATGAGCTGTTCCTCCTAGCCAGGTCCCAGCAGTTTCTGCGACAAGCCCTTCCCTGTACCATTAGTCTCAGCTGCACTCTGCCTGGTCTCTCGGAGCTTCTCTATGTGACTCTGGCTGCTTTTCGCCCAGGGTAGCTTCTGTCTCCACAGTTCTTCCCTGTCAAGGGTTCGGTTTTCGCCAGTTCTGCTGTGAGCCAAGCTACCTGGTCTCCCCATTAGGGCAGTTTCTCTGCAAAGGCTTGCTCAGAGTCCCACCTTCCTTGCGCTGGAAGATACATCCTACGGCTGATATCACAACTTCCCTGGCTGCCATCTGCCCTGCCCTGCCCACGCAAGGGGCTTGGAGCAGAATTGTGTTCCACAGGCTTGCCTGGGAAGAGTTGAGAACCATTCTAGAATGTCCCACCTCATTTCCTGTTTACATCTGTGCTTTGGGCCATCACCATCTTTTTTTAAAAGATTTATTTATTTTTCATTGAAAGGCAGATTTTACAGGGAGAGAAAGAGATGGAGAATGGTCTTCCACTTGCTTCGTTCACTCCCCAAATAGCTGCAATGACTGGAGCTGGGCTGGTTCAAAATCAGGAACGTGGAGCTTCTTCCAGGTTTCCCACATGGGTGTAGGGGCCCAAGACTTTGGCCACCCCTACTGCTTTCTCAGGCCATTAGCAGGGAGTTGGATCAGAAGTGGAGCCCCCGGTACCCAAAGGAGGATTCTAGCACCACAGGTGGAGACTTAACCTACTATGCCTTGGCACAATCCCAGTTGCTGTCTTTTCTTGATTGTTGGAGAAAGTTGGAACTCAGTTGCTTGGCACAGCTTGGCACCTGGAAAGCTGCTGAAGTAGGATGCAGCGTTCTCTAGATCTACATGTCTTTGCCTAGCTGCCGCCCACAAGTGCCCATCAGCGGGGAGCTTCTGGTGCTGCCTTAACAGTATGAACCCTTGGGGCGGGCGTCTGGTGAAAGCACCTGCATCCCAAATCAAAGTGCATGGGTTCAAGTCCCGTCTCTGCTTCCAATCCAGCTTGCTGCTACTGAGCACTCTGGGAGGCAACTAATAATGGTTCAGATAGGTGGGTCCCTACCACCCATGTGAGACCCACACCATGCTCCAGACCCCTGCTTCAGCCTGGCTGGGCAGTTGGGGAATGAACTAGCAGCTGGCCAATCTCTGTCTTCCTTCCTTTCAAATAACACCCATGAAAACCAAAAGGTTTCACAGTGGAGCACTGTGAGCCCTGCAGCCCATCTCCAGTCACTCTGCTCCTCAGGTGAGGAAAACGGACTGATTCCTATCACAGCTGGGTTATATACTACTGTTCTGTGGTTCTTAACCTTGGCAAATCGTAGCCTTTTCTTACCTGACTGGGACTTCCCAGGTGCCTTGGGAGAGACACCTACTTCTCTTCATTCTAGAGAAGGAGGCAGAGGCTCAGCGAGATTAAATAGAAAAGCAAAGGGAGCATTCATTGAGCAGTCCTGGGCTGGGCATTGTAGTACCCATCAGTGGATGAAGACATGACATGGTGGAGCAGCTGAAGTCCCCCAGCAAGAAAGCCATGGAGCTAGGATCTGCATGCATGCTCCAGCCAATGTTCTCCTCTGTGTTTCCCAGCGATAGAGACCAACAGAAGGGCAAGGATGGCCAGCATGTGACCCTTGGGAGCCTTGCCTGGGAAGTGTGGCTTGACTGAGCTGGTAGCCCTCCCTCCCAGATACAGGGATTGCGGCGGAGGGGCACACTGTGGTTCCCAGGGCTCAAGGAAGCTGGGGCCCATGTGTTGAGACCCCCACACAGCCTGGCTGTTGGTGCTACAGCAGCAGGGCTGGGTTTCTACAGGAGGGGGCCTGGCCACTTCTAACCCCTGTGTGAGGCCTGTGGACGCCTCCTGGAGTCATGTGTCCCTCCTCACAGAGAGTGCTTGTCCTCTGACAGATGTGATGGCAGAGGACCGTTTTCAGGAGGAACGCCAAGCGTGCGGCACACCAGGAAGCGGCGGGAGAAAGCCATCGTAAGTGAGCTGGGGCCCTGGAGCTGGCTGGGAGGCTCCTTCCTGTCATTCTCTGCCTGGAGGACCCGGGGGTGTGGCCTGCAAGGGAGAATTGTCATCTGTTTCTTTTGAGAAGCACAGCGGTCACCATGTACAGTCCACTAAGGAATGGTCATGGTGCACACACTTGGTGACAACTTAAAGCTCAGCATCAGGGCCCTGGAAAGGCCCAGTGAAGGTGGCCTACAGGAACGAAGAGTGGAGCCAGGCCGCCTAGGTCACAAGTCAGCCCTGCCACCACCTTCCGTGTGACCTAAGCAGGTCCCCATCTTGTCTGGGTCTCCATTTAGTCATCTGGTCATTGGGCCAGAGACTTCCTAAGGATTTACTTTCTGGCTTGGTCAGGGCTAGGGGACCAAGAGACCCTGCCCCTTCCTCCCCACTCACTTCCCTAATCTGCTCTGACAAGGTCCACAGACTGGGGCCTTGCAAGTTCACCTTGTGAAACTGTGCCAAGCTCTCCGTTGAGAGACTTTTGTCAGGGGCCTGCAGTGGGGCACAGGATCTCAGCCAGTGATGCCATGTCACAGGCAGAGTTCAGGACGGACACAGAGGGAGGCAGCCTCTCCCCACGCTGGCGTCAGCCCCCCATGACTTGTGCTTCAGGCCATGGGAATTACCCCACGACCTCCAGAGTGTGTGTTCCACAGAGGTGAGCAGCTGCCGGCCCGCTGGGACCTGAAGCACAGGGCCGCTGGGGTTGGGTCTCCGCTTGGAGCCTGTGTAGCTGTTTTGACAAGCCCCGTGCTAGCCATGACGAGCAAAACAGATGGGGACTTCACCCCTGTGACTGGGACAGGAGCGAGAAGGAGACAGTAGACAAAGGAATAAACAAAGTAATTACGGATGGGAAGAAGTGCTGTGAAATGAGCCACGTCTGGCTCAGATGTCTTGAGATAAACAGACGCACAGCCACACCGCGGTCGTTCTGTGACTGCAGTGGAAGGAAAGGGGGACGGGGCGTCTGCAAGGAGCCAGTGTCTGAGGGACAAAGAGGAGTGAGTGCAGGATGAAGGGGAGCGCTGTGGGACCAGGAGAAGCCTTCCAGAGGCTGGGAGTGGGAGCCCACCGATTGAACCGAGGCTGGGCCCGTAAGGAACGGGCTGAGCAACGGCAGGAGCCTGGCTGCACAGCCTACTGCAGACATTAGGTCTGTGCTTGCATCCTTGCCAACTGGGCTTTGAGGCTGTTTCTGGGCCCAGACAGAACCCATTCGTAGCACACATGGTCGGTTTTGCTGCAGGAGCACAGGCTGCAGGAATAAGGCTGCAGTTTCTCTTGTAAGCTTTACAGCAGGGGAGAAGAATGGGAGAGGAGGCTGCACCCTGAACTGCCCAGCCCACTGCCTCCTGAAGGTGACCCCATGGTCACCATGTGTACTTTGGTTGTAGCCACTTGGAGAACAGGAGCTCCAATGCCCAATGCCCTAATGCCCCCCTCCCCACTAGTACCCTTCCTTTGCTTCTCACACACTCTGATCCCTGCAGGTGACCTGGCTCTCAGTGCCTACCCATCACCATTGTAGCCGCTTACAGTCCCACTCCAGCCGCTTCCTGCTCAGGCTGCAAGCCCAAGGGCAGAAGCTGCTGAATGTGCATTTAGGCCCACAATGACAAGTCCCTTTTCCTGCTTGGCCCAGGCTCTGCTCATTTTCTTCCCAGAAGTGGCTGCCTCCTTTGGGGGCCACTGATTTAATCAACCCTTGATAGTCCGCTGTCCCCAGACACGTGTCATCCTCTCACCACCACCAGTAGGTGGCACCACTTGGCAGGCCCCACGCACTAGGACAAGGGCTCCTGGGCTTGCCAAGAAGGCAGGGCATAATGGGTTCCCCCCTCTGGCCCCCTCTCGAGCAGGGTGAAGGCCGTGTGGTGTATGTTCAAAATCTCTCCAGTGATATGAGCTCCAGGGAGCTGAAGAGGCGCTTTGAGGTGTTTGGGGAGATTGTGGAGTGCCAGGTGCTGACACGGAGTAAGAGGTGAGTAGAATCCAGCCATCGCCTATGAGGGATGCCAGGAGGACTCCACTCCCAACCCACATGCCCGAAATGTGTGGAGCACATCTTGGCACGGAAGAAGCACCTGCAATGGTGCAGCCATCAGGAGAGGTAGCAGGCACATGCTGTCTGGTCTCACGCGCCTGCTGGTTTCCACACTTTCTCAGGGAAATGTACCAACACATAGGTGGCATACACTACATATGCACTCCACTTCTTGCTATTCTGCTGTTTTGGGCAGCTCAGACAAGTTAGCTAAGCAGCTCTTTGACCACACAGTTACAACTGCAGACCCTGTGCCTGCCTGCCTGCCTGGAAAGAGCTCAGGGCAGCCAGAGCCTCCAGTGGTGAAGACACACCTGCACCGAGCCTTCCCTGTGCCACTCCCGTCCCTCCCTTCCCCTGTGCCTTCTGTTCCATTAGGCAACTTGCTTATACATACACACACCAGTGTTCTGTCAAGGGACTCTGCAGAGAAAACACTCCTTTAGATGTCAAACATTGTCAGTTTCTAAGTTATTTCCTATTAGTCCTGCAAACAATGTTTATTAAGATGTTTAAGTCTTAATAATAATGAAGAGTCTCAGCAGGAAATACTCTTATGTGAGAGTCATTTTGCATTTCTTAGCTGTTAGAACTGGCTGGTGTCAAGAAAATGAGAGCGCTGGTGAGGATGTGGAAAAATTGGAGACTGGTGGGAATGTCAAATGAGGCAGCTGATGTGCAAGACTGCCTGACCTTTCACAGTTAAATAGAAAACTGCCATGTAATGTGGCAGTACCATTGTGGATGTGTGTATTGCAGAGTTGGGGTGGCCCCCTTGGAGTTCATGGCAGCGTTGTTCACCGGCACCTGCGCTGTGCAAACAGCCCGCTGTCCAGTGACGACAAAGCAGATACACAAAATGGTGCATACGCACAGAGGGATATTACGCAGCCTTACAAAGAAAGGCTGTTTCTGACTCTTGCGTTAAGAACCTTGAGGAAATAAGTGGTATCAGTCAATCACAGGAAGATTGTATGATTCCACTCATACGATGTATCTGAAGTAGTCAAGTTAATGGAAAATGAAGGAAGCATGGTGTCTATCAGGGGCTGGCAGAGGAAGAAAAAGGGAGTTGTGGTTGAATGGGTTCTGGGTTTCAGTTTCATAAGGCAGAAAAGTTCTAGAGATCTATGCAAACCAGTGGAACTCTACTTCTGTTCAACTTGTCCACTGTGAATTTCATAGGTTTTATCACATTTTTATAAAATGACTCAATACACACATAGAACTCTTTTAAGTCTTAGCAATATCAGAATGAAAATAACATGCAAAACAAGGCAGATGCAGTTCAACCATAAAAAAGAAAGGTCAGTTTGTTAAGATTGATTTGTTTAAAGATTTACTTATCTGAGATGCAGAATGGAAGATAAGATAGAGAAGATCATCTGTCTGCTGGTTTACTCGCTAAATGCTCACCAGAGGCAGAGCTGAGCCAGGCCAAAGCCAGGAGCCCAGGGACTTGGGCCACCTTCTGCTGCTTTCTTAGGTGTTTTAGCAGGGAGCTGGACTGTAAATAGAGCAGCTGAGACGCTAGTTGAGACTCTGATCTGGGATGCCAGCTTTGTAGGCAGTGACTTAATGACTTAATGCGCTGTTCCACAATGCTGGCCCTGATTTGTTCAGATTTACAAAGCAGGCAAGATCTTTCAAAAAGAACCATATCAGTTCCAGGCATCTAAAGGGACAGAAGGGGTGTCAGGAAATGCAATGCACTTGGATGTTTACTAGGTGCCTGCTGGACAGGAGAAAACACCCCTTGGTCTCTGCTGTTGAGCTGGCATAGTGGTTGGATTATATCCATCCGGATTCTTGGGATTTCTGTTCATGGAACAGCCATGTCAGAATAGAGCTAACTGTGGGGCCCCTTGCCGTGCCAACCTTTCCAGGCGGGCTTTCCTCCTGTTCGTAGAGTGTCTGCCTCCAGCACTAAGCTTGACCTCCGTGCTGGCCTAGTGTCCCTGTAGGTAGCAGGAGTTGCCTTCATGGTTTCAGAAGAGATCTGGGCTGGTTCTTTGGGACTTCACCTGGAGTGACAGCTCATCCACCTTCCTGTGAATACCCCCTCCCCCGGTTCTCTGAGTCTGGTAGACCCCCGATGCTTTTGTTAGAGGAAGGGGACTGGAAGCCAAGCAGGCAGAGCTTGTGGGGTTCCCGAGGAAGGAGGGGATGTCTACACAATACCAACTGTGGTGGAGGAAGTGGTGGCCTAGGCCAGCTTTGGAGAGCACAGGGCTGTGAGACAATGGGGATGGATGTGAGGTCAAGGAGGCCGGGGACTCAGTCCCTGCTTGGACGCTGTTTCCACACCCAGGAGTGGCGATAATGGCAGCACCACCTCCCAGGGTCATATACAACTGTGGGAGGCAGCAGTGGAGAAAATTCCACAGATGGACAGCTTTTGTTAGCGCTGTGGCAGTCAGCCTGGGGGAAGGCGGGTTATTGTCGTTGGGACAATAACCACCACACGTGGGTTTGGTGTCACTGAGGCCCCTCTGCCCCTCATGTGGTGGTGGGTGCTGGTGGGGTGGTCTGGGAACACTGTGCCTCTGCCCCCTCCCCAGAGGCGAGAAGTGCGGCTTCATCACCTACCGGCGTTCAGAGCATGCGGCCCTGTCGCTGAGGAACGGCGCAGCACTGCAGGAGTGCCATGAGCCCTCTCTGCAGCTGAGTTATGGAGGGCTCCAGCACTTCCGCTGGCCCCGATATACTGACTATGGTAAGTGTCCCAGGTCCTGCATCTACTAGCAAGACCTAAGGCCCTTCCTGCAAGAAGGGCTCCCAGGTGCCCAGCAGCTACTTAGCCTGGGGGCTCTCATCTTGCTTTTCTTCTGGTCTTGGGTCCATCTTCCCATGGCTTCTGGGGTGGATTCAGGCCCATGCTCACCATCAGTGGGCAGAAGCATGGCTGGTGTCTCTTTGACCCAACAGGGCCACACCCTGTTCTCTTGAAGGGCACTCCATGATGCTCTTCTCCATGATGCCCCCTGTCAAGGCAGCAGCCATGTGCATTGATGGGCTGCGGTGGAATAATGTCACTGTCATGCCCTTGCCATCTGTGGACAGGCCAGCAAGGGACAGGCCAGCAAGGGACAAAGAAACCAAATGTAGGAAGTGAGTCCTTGTAGGGGCGAATACAAGGTGTCCTCCATACTCCAGGGCTGGTAGCAAGCAGACCCAGGTGGGGGCTCACTCTGCTGCAGGTACTTGTGGGACTCAGTTACCCCTTGTGTACAAAACAGAGAAGCCAGTTTTGTTAGCCTTTCCTTGTAAGATTTGCAGCAGAGTCTGAGGATCCTGGAGCTGAACAGGGGCTTGGGCTGCCCCAGTGCAGACTGCACCTTGCTCTACAGTCAGAACAGCCAAGGCCTTGACATGCTGGTGACCCAATGAGCTGTCACAGCAGAGGGACAGTCAACACAGCACTGTGCTGGTCCCTGCCCGGGAAGCTTGGTCCACGGGTGCTCCCAGGGGCAGACAACTCAAGGGTGCAAGGTCTCTGTAAATTGCTCATCGCCTTCCCCACTCCCCCAACTCTTCCATATCTCCCCATCCCCGCCAGATTCCAATTCCGAAGAGGCCCTTCCGGCGTCAGTGAAAAGCAAGTATGAAGCCATGGATTTTGACAGCTTGCTGAAGGAGGCCCAGCAGAGCCTGCACTGACCACAGCCTTAACCTTCGAGGAATACCTCAATACCTCAGACAAGGCCCTTCCAATATGTTTACGTTTTCAAAGAAGGAGGAGAGAGCAAGTGAGAGTACACACGTAGGAGAAAGAGAGAAAGAGAGACTTGAAACTGCTGTCCTCTTAAAAACACAATCAATGTTTACATTGAACAAAGCTGCTTCTGTCTGTGAGTTCCCATGGTGTTGATGTGCCACTGCCACGTTAGTGTCCCTGCTTCCCACCAGGTGTCCGGGTGCACGCCTCCAAGTGCTGTGGATCGGTCACCCTCCCCCTCCCAACTTCCTCGCGTAGCCTTGAAGCTGTGTCCGTCATCACTTTTTTTTTTTTTTTTTTTTGGTCCGTAGCGTGTGATGATGAATTTGTTACTTGTGAATAGAATCAGGATTATCAACGCATTTTTTTAATTGAAAAAAAAAACAAAAAGTATAACCTTACAATACTGTATTTATGGCTCAGATGTGCTATGCCTGGGATGACTACATCGCTTCCATGAGTTTGAACTATGCACTGTCATGAGATGTTTGCCTCTGAGCTGCCCTGCTTCCCTTGCCAGACTGCCCTGCAGGTGCTGCGTGGCCTTCGGCCACACCTTGAGCAGCACAGAGAGGGTTTCAGATCTTTGCTGCCAAGCCCTGCTCTGCCTCTCCCTGAGCCGAGTTTGGGGCAAATTACGGTGACATCCCCCATCTGGTGTCCAGCGTTCCCTTGGAGTGCAAGCCCACCTGCTCATGCCCAGAGCCTCACATACCTGTAAGGAAAGAGAGGCTTCAGCTGCACTGTTCCCATTTTGTACCCGATGGGGACAGTGCCCTGAGAGTCTACAAATGGCCTCCCCATGATCCCACACTTGCTAGGGTAAAAGATTTCAGGGATAAGTCGGGCTACACTGGGCACCAAGCTGGAAGGCTCAGGGCTTGTTGGGGAAAGTTGAGTCAACAGCTGACTCACTGTTACTGTGTGAGTCCAGGGATCCTGTGGTTTGCTTCTACTGCGGATGATGTAGCAGCTGCATGGGCTGTGACGCATGAGGCAGTGGTACAGATGGACAGCCTTGTCAACCACCAGCCCCTCCTCTCCCTCCAGCAAGGCCAGGGTCCTCATCTGTAGAGGTGTTTTGGTGGTCGGGTAGGGCAACGGGAGCCGGGAGAGGATGTGAGATTCAGGCCGGACAAGGCAGGTCCTACCATTAGAAAGCATCCTAGCTGAGATTTTTCTTGAAGCATGGTTCTTGAGTGACATCCAGCTTGATGTTCAGCAGGAGCCCGGGGGGCTGAGACCAGGCAGGGTGGAAGTCCCTGCCAACCCCCTTGATTCCTTTCATTCAGCAGAGGTTTTTTTTAAGGGTCCTGTTGCTTTACAAGAGCTTGGAAGTGGTTGTCAGTTTAGACCTGGCTCTTTGAGAATTGGTAGCTGATTTTTTTTTTTTAAGTTTATCAAATACCTCTAGGTAAACTGAGCCCACAATCTTGTCCTGAGGGTGAACACACTTCCAGCTCTTTAGTAAAGCTGGGAAACAACAGGCTAAAGCAGGAATAGGGAATTTGAGCTCTTGTGTGTCAAGTTGCTTGACCTTTCTGGACCCCAATAAAGGAAACTAAGAAGGAGAGTTAGACAAGTTCCACCAGTCTTAGCTTCTGCTGAAGTGATTGAAGTGATGTCTAGGTCAGGATTGCAAAAACAGTTCCAACACCTCTATGGTGCCATTCTTGGCCAATGTAGACATAACACGTATCACAGCATGTGTCATTATTCTTCCACCCAGTGCTCTGGGCTGCCATGCCTAATTGGTCAGAGGTGAATCAGCCTGACATCGTGGTCAGTCCCAGTGCCCACCGGTGGGGTAGGGGAGAGGATTACATACAGGGACACATTTGAGGAAGGCAGGGCTTATAAAGATGGACCAAAATAGGAACTTCCCACAGCACAGACCTGGTCATTCTAGGTTCCTTTACAGCTCTTCACTGCCTAGCACATAGTAGGCACATTATAAGTGGTTATGGGATAGGACAGAATTTTAATTCTCTGCTGCCTTCACTAAGTCCCGATTTGCATCAGGAGGAAACTGTATCTTCTTCCTGGGAACAAGAAAGAGCAGCAGATTCCAGACTCAGACCCCACCAAGTATGCCCTTGGTTACTTGGGTCCCTTCCCTCCCTGGCTCCTTTGTGTTAGAAGGAGTTATTGGGACCGTCTCTTAGACCCTTCTGTTGGCTTCCTCCTCTGGCACTAGGCCATGGGTTCTACGTGGGCAGAGCTGGTGGCACTTTAGAATAAAGAAATGCAGGTTTTAAGGCAGAACAAGTGTCCTCTCCCTCCATTGGGGTCTACAGGAGCTGTCCTCTCAGGTCCACTCGAAGTGACTGAGACGTTGGCCCTTGACCAGCACAGAGCCCTGAGTGTGGGGTTGGGAGCTGCCATGCCTCAGGTGAGGGCTGGGGGCTGCTGATGAGGGAGGAGGCCAGCCACAGGCATGCAGTTGTCTCTGCTTCCTGTCCCAGACCCAAAAGGCTACAAGGTCTCAAAGTGATCAGCCCTATAGATGACCTTTCTCCAGAAGACTCATTCGGTGCTGTGTACTCTCTACCAAGGACATGCCAAGGTCTCTCGAGGAAAACGAGTCAACCTTGGTCTCCTTCCCACCCAATTAAGGAGTGACCCAGAGGGAGCAGCTGCCATTGGCAACCATCTCATTGTGGCTGTGTTCCTAGTATCCGCTCTTGATGATGTTTACATGTAATCACCATCCAAGCTTTCTGCAGACCGCGTTGATAGTCACCCACGCAGGACCAGTCGTACTGTCTGTCTTGTGTGCCATGCTGGTGTTTTCCAACAATGTCCAATCCAACCGCTCTGTGGAATTCTTCCATCTCCTTCCTCAGTCGCTACAAGGCTGAATCAGAGCCCTTGTTCTTGGGGGTGCTCTGGTTGCTGAAGGAAAATGCATCAAAGAGGTAAAGAATCTGAGTGGATGGAGTGTAACTAAGGGTCCCACCCCCTCAATCCCCATTGCACCTTGTCCCCAGCCAGAAAATTGCTGTGAGTCAAAAAGCACCTGTCTGTCATGTGCAACTGCCTTGAGGTCTTGCAGCTTTGAGTGTGCTACGCTCAGGAAAGAGGCAGGGATTTGGGGAGGGGACAAGAGAAGCAATGCTCTAAGCTGCAAAGACTCAGTACATAGCGTACTGAAGTGGGAGGGGGAAGAGGTGCCATAAGATGCCTTGTGTGGCCTATAACCTGTGCTTGTTGAGTTTATGGGAGTGGCCTCTAGATGTATGCAGTTTGCATGCTGAGGCCACTGTGTGGGTGATGGGTGGTGAGGTGTGGAAGGCTTTGGAGGCCACGGGCTTCTGTGTGGACAGCTGCACACAGGGCTCATCCCAGACACTGAGTTCCACTGATCTCTGACCTGAGCCTGCAGCTTGACAAAATACTCAACATGACTCCAAGGCAGGTCAACCCCAGGAGAAGGGTTGATCTGACTCACTGATAGGAAGATTTTTCTTAGTCTTTGAGATTTAGCAGCTGCCCCCAGTTTGGGGGAACTCCTCACACCCCAGATGTGACCAAGGAGAGGAATTGTTGAAAAATTGCAAATGAAGTAAACTCAGTGATTTCATTAGCCAGAGAAGAGGGGCCCTCTTGCCGCCTCACCTGGTACTTGAGTGTGATACCTTAAAGCTGGTCCCCTGGCCCCACACAGTGGTGGTGGTGAGTGCGGCACTCTGGGACTGTGTGTGGAGTCTGGGGTACAGGGTGAATGGGAGGAAAGCTTGGGAGACCCATGTGTGAGGAGACACTGGCGGTCCAGAATCGACCTGGGATACAGGTGAGGATGTCCGGGAAGGAGTCAGCGTCTAGCTTTGCACTAGGCAACCAAAGCACTTAGAAGATCCCCTTGCTTCATGCTGGCTCCATGTTCCTATGCTGGCAAGTACGGGTCCCCTGTGGTGGTGTGAGGTGCTCTCCTAGACCCCGGAACATGGTTGCTGTGAACAGAGGTGCCTTCCAAGCTCTCGGCTGTGGGAAAACCAGCATGGGAGCCAGCTCTTTGCTGTTGTCTCTGCTGAAACCCTACAAACAGGCGATGGGGAGCTGAGTAAAGCTCTGGGCAGCTGCATTTTTCAGAAAGAGGAAAACGGCCCAGTAGTTTATGGGGCAAAGTCATTGAACTCTAAGCCATCCCAGAGTAAGCAGCTCTCGTGTTTCTTGCCTGCTGCGTGACCTCAGACCCACCCCACTTCCTTCCTCATCTAGCATGTCAGAGAGGTGTGAGCATAAGAGACGCTTTCACTTCACCTGGGGCCTAGGGACTCCCCCTGCCCTGTCTCTGGCTGCACCCCTGCTCCAGTTCACAGGGAGGGTTCTCTGCAGGACATGTGGCCAGCAGCAGGCTCAGTCCACACACACAGTCCTGGGCGGGGCTGCTTTCCACCAGTAGGCCAGCTCTCCTCAGGACGGACCTAAGCCATAGCTCCTAGTGGGGGTGATGATGTGAGGCACCCAGCTTGGCCGAGGGAGGGTGCCAGTTCTCACCTTGGCCTTCTCGCTGGCCCCACTGAGGAGCTTTTCATCTGAATGTCGTGACCACTTGGCTGTTTCTCTCTTGCTCTCCCAGACAATACTAGCAATATACTTTTTTTTTTAAACAGCTTAACTTAGGCACTTTTCACACATTTCTTCAAATGATTGTAAACCATATGGGGCAACAGGAGGCATCCATCACACTGCATATGTTTGGGGCAGCTTTTGTTTTTTATTTCCCGGCTGTTATAGCAGCAGTGACTGAGGCTTTGGGGGTCTAGTTGGGGGGGGGGGGAGTGGATTTTTCAGATAACTGTATGCTGTCAGAATTCCTTGCACATGGGAAGGACCCAAATGGGGGAGTTGGAAAAATATAACTTTGTTAAATGATCAGTCCCTGGGCTGTGCAAAAAAAAAAAAAAATTCTTCAGCAAGTTGCTCTTATCATAGAATCTCTTCCAGGGAGCCTAGAGAATGAAAGGGCCTTCTTTTTCAATCTGCCAGCCTTACCAATGGGTTGAAGGAGCGTGGTCAGTTTCCACTTGAGCACTTTGCCTTATCCAGCTGTGGCCGCCATCTAGTGGTCAAAGACCGTACCCACCAGCTCCTGGGATGGAAGGCAAATCCTTCGGGCCCCTGTGCTGCTGCCCAACACACTAACTCCAGGAATGAAAGGAACAGCTTGAGCATTCAGCGCTTATTGTGACACTAGAATCAGGAGACTCCATCAGTAAGCACTTGGAAGACTTGCATGCAGACCAGCACTCCTGAGGGCAGAGGAGCAGGAGCAGACCCTGCATCCAGGGCCCAGGAGGGGTTTACTGTAACTGCAATACCAGCAGCCGGGTGGCTGCTGACCTTGTTAAGTGAACCTCTGGGAGGTGGCCTGCATTGTACCTTCGGGACAGGTGAAAGGGTTGAGAGTGAGCATTGAAGGGAGGGGCCTGGCCATGACCTTTGATGTGGTCCACTGAATAGCCAAACACCTTTGATTACTTTTGTTTGTCCTTGTATTTTGTATTTTAAAAATCTTGTCAAATGTTTTTGTGTTAGGAATAAAAAGTCATAAATTATTCCCAACTTTGTTTCTTGAGGGATGTTGTGATTCCAATGGAAACAGGTTGGAAATCTCCAGGGGAGAGTGGTCAGGGCGGCATGTAGAATGGTTGGGTTTGTAGATGGCTTCTGGGGAAGCGAGCTTCCAGAAGTTCGTGGGCAGCCCTTGCCTTGCTGTGCTGTGTGTTAGCATAGGCGTGGTGCACCTGCTGCCTCTGGAAGCTGGTGTTGAACCCAAAGTGAGATCCTTCTCCCGACCCCAGGTGTTTAGAGACAGTGTCTGTTGCTAGCCTTAATCGACTGGGTCAGGTGGTCCCTACGGTCCCTTTCAGCTTTTCCAAATCTTGGACTCAAATCCTTTTCTCTTGGTGTGACCATGCAGCCTAGAGAATTCTGAGCAATAGGGAGCCAGGGCGTTCCCTGGCTCTGTGACAGGGTCAAACCAGGGAATGGCTAAACTTGTGAGGTTTTGTCATCCCCAGGGGTACTACTGTAGGGGGCATTATTTATTAGGAAGCTCAACAAGGTAACTACAGCCTGGGGTGTGTGACTGTAAGGCTGTGTTTGCGGGGTGGGTGTGTGTGTGCGTGCGTGTGTGTGCGTGTGTGCATGTGTGTCTGTGGAATTACATTGATGCATTTCTTGAGAAAGGTGCAAGAATTTCACCTACACAGAGGGACACATCTGCTTTGTTATTTATAATAGAAAGCTAAATTTTAATTTTTTAAAGGACACTGCTAATGATTGAGAATCGAGTTTTTAGTTTTGCTATTTTTTTTAATTGGTAGAGGATTTTTATATATTTTCCATTTCGTTGGGTTGTGTCCTTATTTATATAAATATCCGTAAGCGGCAAGGAAGACACCTTCTTTGCTTTTAATTATCGTGGTTGTCATCGTCCCTATTTTGTTTCAGGTGTGATTTATCTGTCTTACCTTCTAAATGAGAAGATGTTTTCCTGTATTTGTACATTGTCAGATTCTATAGTTTCCTAGATAATTTAACCAAATTGCTCTATGTATTATTATTCTGTGAGTATAAAGTTCTATTTTAATGTCTGTAAATACTTCAGAACTGGCTTCTTTCTCAGAACTCCCGCCTGTGGAGTTATTGTTTACATCACAAAAACTGTAGAATCTCTATGCTCATGTACTGTAAATAGTGAAGTGATCTGCTTATAAATAAATACACTATGGAGATTAAAGAGAAAATGCCACCACAGCCCTGCCAGTGTGTGTCTTTCTTTCCTGTTCCTGCGAGCTCCTGGAGGGGCGCCCTTTGCACCATTTGGGGGGAGCCTTCAGCAAGGGGAGCCCTCGGGCCAGTGTTGGCCTCTGCCTCACCAAACCTCTTCATTGGCCGTCCCTTCCTGGCACTCTTCACAGCTCGTGCTCATCATGAGTGGCACTTTTGTCTTAACGTTGACGGAGCCGTGCTCTTTTTGAAGGACTTTGTGTTGTTTCTTTATGTAGATCAGCTTTCTCACTAGGCACACTAGGCAGATGTGCTGTGTGAGGCATGACTGACATGATGGTTTTGGGCAATAACACCAGGTTCTGATGACAGTTGCTTCTGATCATTTCTTGGGTGGGTGGTCTGAGGTGTACACTGCGTGGGGTGAATGCAAAATACTTCTCCTTGTGTGCAGACATCCAGGGAGTGGGGTGAAGAAGTGACTTCCTTCCATATCCTTGGATCCTGTGTTACTTGTATTTCAAAGAGTTGTGCCTTTGTTTTGTCTTAAAGTTGGTAATTTGGACTTTAAGTGCAATTGATAGCAAGATAGCCATTAATCCCTCCCAAAGGGTTGAGATAAGAATGGGTGCAATCAGCCATGCTATTTCATGTTATATGTAAACTGCTTTCCGATTGTTCTTTATTATGGCCTTTGTTCAGGTGATTTGTTTTTTTCATTCACTGAAAATCAGCTGGATTTCTTAGGTTGGAAGAGATGGCATCATGATTTTCTGTTCTAAAACATCTCTGCCTCACTCTATCAGAGCTGGTGGAGAAGACAGCTGGACTGACGGCAGCTCCCTTCACTCTTTAGATGGTAAGCTCCTGGACAAGACTGTTCCCTGCACTGCAGGGCATCTGCAAGCAAAAATTTCTGGTGGGGGGTTGGTGTTATGGCTGATGGTATCTCCTGTAGTTTGTGTCATGGCTACTCCACTTCCTGTCCAGCCTCCTGCTAATTAATGTGCCTGGGGAAAGCAGTGGAAGATGGCCAAAGGGCTTGGGCTCCCGGCTGTTCACGCCAGAGACCAGATAGAACTATTGGCTTCAGGCTCTGGTGTGGCTCAGGCCTGGCCACCGTGAATCAATCAGCAGATAGGATTGTTCCCTTTCTTTCCATAACTCCAAGTTTCAAATAAGTAAGTATTTTCTAAGAATTTTTTTTCTGAGTGGGTTATGCTGTGGTACAAGGAATCAAATGACAGACTGAGAAGATTAAAATTTACAGGTGGTTTTTTTGGTTGGTTTTTTTTTTCATTTTATAAATATCTGGGAGAGCAAAATCTTAATATGCCAAGGATATTTTGTCGTTTGGAATTATTACTTAATATTTGGAGTAATTCTAAAGGTTTTCTCAGTGAGGCAGTATTTTAAATAACAAGGAAATAAAAAAAAAAAACCTTTAGGGCATGTTTCACCAAGTGTTTTGAAGAATTCCAAGGACTCCCTGCAAAAACATCGTTTCCTCAATGAATGCTAGTGTTTGATCCAGAAACAATCCATTTCAGGCCTTGCTGGAATTACTGGTAACGTCAGGCCCAACCTAGGCCATCACCGGTTCGAACCATTAGTGGTAACATTGTCAGGCAGTCTCACTGGGCACTAACTGTAACTCAGCAAGTGTGGCCCAGCCAGCGTTGTGAGCCTCACAGGGCTCATGAAAAAGGCTGAGAAGCAGAGCAGAGCAATTTGCCAAAGAGCCTTGGAGCCAGGACCTGCAGCTTCAATGACTGGATGTTCCTGGGTGACACCTGCATCGCCTCTTTGCCTTCCGCTCAGCCACTGCACATAACTGCTTAAAAGACCAATGTGGAAAAGCAGATCCAGCTCCCACAGGTTCACAGCTTGCAGATATGTCAGTGCTCGTATGCCAGGAGCCGGACTGCCCCACCGTGGAAGCCACCAGGATGTGCATCCTGTCACGCTGTGTTGTCTGACCCTGGGCATGTCCGTCTGGAAGGAAGCCAAGGAACTGTACCGTGGACTGGCCCTGGCCTTGCTCTCTCACTGGCCCTCTGTGTCCTTGTTTGTATAAAAAGAGAGGTTAGCATAGACTACGGTTCACAGCCGAGGACAGCCATGAGGTCCCCTTCTCTCACAGCAACTGTGCCAACAGGTTCACTTCTGCAGACTATTTCCATCTGGGAGAAAGAACAGTTCTGCAGTGACTGTAGGAGAATGTGAGACAGGAAATGTCTCAGACGTCATCCCAAACACAAATCCCCAACAGTGGACAACTGATCCTGTGCATAACAAGTCATTTGCAAAGGGAAAAAAAGAGGAAAAATGGGCTGTTGTGGGTTCAAGGAGACATATAATATATGTACTTCAAGACATCACCTCGGGGCCTAGCAGCATGGCCTAGCAGCTAAAGTCCTCTCCTTGAACACGCCAGGATCCTATATGAGCGCTGGTTCTAATCCCGGCGACTCCACTTCCCATCCAGCTCCCTGCTTGTGGCCTGGGAAAACAGTCGAAGACGGCCTAACACTTTGGGATCCTGCTTGTGGGATACCCGGAGGAAGTTCCTGACTCCTGACTCCAGATCGGCACAGCACCGACCGTTGCGTTCACTTGGGGAGTAAATCATCACATGGAAGATCTTTCTATCTCTCCTCCTCTTTGTATATCTGACTTTGTAATAAAAATAAATAGATCTTTAAAAAAAAAAGATATCACCTTATCACTTAAATACATATGCTTTTGACTTGTCTGCTATGCATCAGTAAAGCTGGGGGAACAGCAGAAAATGGAAAGTTAAAATTGGGGCAAGTGGAGCAGGCGTTTCCTGCAAACGTTTCAGCATGTGGCAGTCATTCTCAGGTTCTGGTTCAGTTGTGCTGTTTTTAACATCAGTGTCTGTGGTGTGAATGCTGATCAAGCCAGTGACATCCTGCTAAGCATGGCCAACTCCGCCCAGACAAAGATAAACTGTACACAGCAGAAAAACTTATTGATTATGGCAAAAGTTTAGAAATTGAAAACAGTTTGCCTAAATGTTTACTCCTTAAAACAAAAGGAAAATTTTAAAAATGAACAGTATGTCTTGTTTTTTTCCTAAAAAGAAAAAAAAAATGTGTGGAAGCTGTTTGCATTAGATTCCAGCCAACCACTTATTAAAGACAAGTTTACTGCTACAGGGAAAAGTTGATTAAGGGCTGGTGTCACAAGCTGGAATCCCCAGGGAAGCAGATTCTAGAATGGATGAACACTGTGGGTTGCTTGCTCAGGAGTGCGCTGAAGGAGGGAAGAAGGAATGAGCAGAGGGAGAAGTTGAGCTGTGATGGGAGTCCAGCCACAGCCTTGGGGGCCCCACATGGAGGCCAGGGATAACTGGCCTTGCACAGTGGTCCCTGGGTTGCACTAAGATGGTCCCGACTTTCTCAGGGAAGGCCCAGAGTGTCGTTGCAGCTGGGGTGACTCCCCCATCTGCCCCCCAGCATAAGGAAGTGGCACAGAGGACTCTCTGCCAGGGACACTCACGACTCCTTTATTGAAGGGGGTGTGTGACCCATCACAACAGACAAAACCAGCTGTCAGGTGTTCCCTTGTTGCAGGTGGCAAGATGTGAGTACATGGGGAAATGCCCTGTTCCTTTAACTATGTGTGGTAGAGGAGTGGAGTCACACATCTGGAATTTGCCTTTAAACACTTAACACTAAGGATAGATGGAAGAAAAAGATGTGAATGTTAAAGAAAAAAAAAAAAACAGCGAAGCAAATGCACCCAAATCTTGATATTGGAATCTGAGTGATGAATACATGGGCCTTCAGTGTACAACTCTCTACTTTTTGGAAAAATGAACAACTACAATATAACATTAAATGAAAGCATGAAAACAACACTGTTCCTAAGTGAATAGGTGGGTCTGGCATTAATTGTCTGCAAAAGCTAGAACATTGGTTTTAGCTAGTCGGTACTTCTCAAGGCTGAAAAATATATTAAAGCCACTGGTCAAGATTAGGCTAAATGCTCGGTCAGCTTTCAAATTCTGTGATTCTTGCCTTTCTAGAAGGTGCATGATTTTCCATTGGCTTGGGTAGCCTCTCCCCATGAAAGAGCGGTGTCATTCTGTCAGGAGATCTCTGGTCGCCTACTGGATGCAGCAGGACTTGGATGCAGCTGCGCCCCCTGCACTGGGGGTCCCCCCAGGCTGACTCCCCGAGGCCGCTGCAAGCAGGAAAGAGAACAAGAGAACACGGCAGGTGAGGGGAGACTGCAGGGGGTGCTGCTCTGGGACCTAGTGTGGACCAGCAGTTGCAAACTCTAGGACTTGTGGAAGTCAACAGTAAGTACATATCCAGAGGTAAGGGAATCAGGGATACTGACAATATTTCTCTGAAGAAAGCAGTGCAGGAACATGAAAAATGGGAATTACCCCATTAATACCAATGTCTGGGAAAATCAGGGAGTAGTGGAAACTGACAAAGGAGAAGACCCTTGTCCCATGCAAAGGTGACAGTTGCCACTCATCTCCAACCAGTTTTTGTCAGAAAAAAGTGCAGCAGTTGGTGAAAACCAGTGTTGATCTTGCCAACATGAGAGCTGATGAGTGCTGGGTTTTTGAATCTGAAATATCCCAGATTTAGAATACGGAGCATAAATATGCATTTTTTAAAAAGTGGTATAGGTGTTTGGTACAGTGGTTAAAAGCGTTAGAATGCCTGCTTCACATATTGAAGTAAGTAGTGGGTTCAAGTCCTGGAGCTACTCCCTATTCCAGCAGCCTCCTAATTAATGCAGACCCTAAGGGCCAGCAGCGGATGGCTCAGCTCCCTGCCCTCCATGTCCGAGATGGGAAGGGGTGCTTTCTCACTCCTGGCTTTCACCTGGCCCAGCCCTGGTGGAATGAACAGGTAGATGAAACTATCTCTCTCTCTCTCTCTCTCTGTCCCTCTCCCTCTCTCTTCCCTACCCCTTTTCAAATAAAATGAGAATAAATAAATGCAGACTACATGTTTGCACAAGTCTGTCTCTAGCCCCAAAGATCTGCAAACAGAAGACCCTTCTTGTGACACCCCACTGTTGCCTTCTGTTGGAAAACTGTGGTGTCTGCAACACATGGGCTGTCCCCAAAGCCATACAGAGTGGGACTTGCTTCAGAATCCCATGTCGGGGCTTCACATTCGCAGTGCCTGTTTAAATCCCTCTCTTTGGCCCAGCAGCGCTGGGGGCCTGACAGTGTCCATGTTCCAAACCACATATGATTTAAGAGGGTCAGAAAGCCAGGATGGGGCAGGGTCTAGAGCCATATCCTGTGAGGAAGCAGCAGCCCACCCCCCTCAAAGAAATGACTGGGGGCAGTACCCTCGGCAGGGAAGAGCTGGAACAAACAAATCCCATTTGGTTCCTGAAGGCAGAACTATGGCCGCTACTGGAAGCTTCCACAAGAACAATCCGAGGAAGGAAGCCCTTTCAGATCATAGTACTGAATGAGGGTGTTGGTAAGGTAGTGAGCCATCTGTCACTGCAGCATGCAAGCCTCTGCTCCTGATGGTATGAAAAGGATTCAGACATCACACAGAGGCTGGGCATCTGACCAGTGATTCCAGGTTTTCTCCTTTGCCCTGGGGTAGGCATGTGAAACAGTCTGCCCTAAGTGGTAGGGGGCACTGGCTGCGAGGACCGGAGCACCCCTCAGCCCCAGGCTTGTAGGCAGGCTCTGCCACTTGCTAACTATGTGGCTTATCTTTGACCCCTCCTCTCTGCCATGCTCAATTGCATTCCTCTACTGATGGAGGCAACAGCAGGTCATCAGGAAGGCTGAATCCAAGCCTAGATACTGCTAGCACTTTGGGTTCTATGTGTGTGTGTGTGTGTGTGTGTGTGTGTTTGTGTGTTGGGGGTGCAGGGAAGGACTCCCTGCCTGCACAGACCTGGCTTGGCTGTCTGCTGTTTCTGCTTCTCCTCCTCCAGTGCTTTCACCTTGGCTTCATACTCATCAGCCAGCGCCTTCCACTCTTTGCGGTTGTTGGTGATGCCATCCAGCATGGGGGTGATCTCCTCGTGGAAACGGGAGAATTCCTGGAAGACGGCATGTGTGAGTGTGCGCACCTCTGGGGCCAGGCCCTGGGGGAGGCATGGCTGGAAGGGTCTGACCCAGGAAGGCGCTGTCTTGGTCACCATAGCCCTGGGCTTCTCTCATGTCAAACCTACCTGGCACCGCTGTCTAGCATGAAGCGGTGGATTCCAAGCCTCTCTGTGCCTCTCTGGAGGCCTCACACAAGCTGTACTCTGTGCTGGAAGCACTGGAAGGTCCTTTGCTCCTGAGGCTACCTACTTGTCACTATCTCAGAAATTCCTTCTCTTCTGACCCCATAGGTAAGTCAAAACCCTCTTGGAGGTTTCCAAAGCCTTGTCTTACCACATCTCACCTGTCGTCTGTCGTCCCTGGAGAGGGCAGAGACCCAGGCTGCCTTCCTCCCTGGGCTGGCCCTGGCCCAGCACAGCAAGGGGCTGGGGCACAGGGACACCCTGTAAATTTGTGCTGAGATGGGGAGAAGCCCACCCATGAGCATGGCACATGGCAGCCACGAAGCAGCTCTTGTCTTAGGCAGTCCGGGAGGAAGCGGAAGCCCTACCTTGTAGACAAAGGTGCACACGAAGTCAATGAAGCCGACCTGCAGCTTGGGCAGTTCGTCCGCCTTGTTTCTGTCCATCATGGGCTGCCAAGCGGGAGGCAGAGTTAGTGCAATGGGCAGTGAGAGGGACCCGCCTCACCGAGGCAGCATTCTTCCTCAGAGAACAAAACCTGAGCTGTCAGTTCATTGGGTTTCCAGATCTGACTGCCATTTTGTAGAAAATATGGGGGGCAGAGCAACATGTCCAACACCACCACACGGAGGCAAACAATCCAGAAAGTGGGAGACATTGCATTTAGGAGACTTAGTATTTCACACATGAATGGGATTCAGGGGAAAAAAAATTCAGGATAGGGGATGGGATGCTATTGAGGAAAGAGACTTAACAGGCATAACCAGCAGAGACAGGGTGCACCTGGACTGGGTCTCTGAGTTTGTATTCTCAGGCAAAATGAATGGAGGCTGGGGGTTGGATCACACTGAAGTGTCCATGATTTTGTGAATATGATAACGATATTGTGGTTGTTCGTGTGTCTATCTATATGGAGCTTTTAACCTCTTAGGAGTGTATACTAAAGCACTGGTGGGAGAAATGATATTGCCTGGGATTTATTTTTAAAAGACTCCAATCAAAGTGGGGGAAATGCCTTGGAGGAAGCAGATAAAGCAAGAACAGCGCCTGTTTTTAGTGACTGATGCCTCATCAATCATCAGCTGTTCTTTCTACATTTACAATACGTTAAGAACTACAAGTCCTGTTCCTGTTTACAGCGCCTGCCTTCTCCCCATCTTCCACTCTCCCTTGGCGGCTACTTCACATGCCAGCTACTTCACATGGCAGCTCCCTTGCCCCTTAGCATGTTCAAATAGGTTCAACCCATCCCCATACCAATTGTCTGTCCCTCAAAGCTTTACTCCCTTTGACCCATCCTCTCCAAATCCGCCTCTATCTCTTTAGCTCCACCTCCAGGGCCTTTAGGAAACCGTCTGGCAGGTGCCCCTCCTCCACTGGGAAGCCCGCTCACTGCCTCTGCTGAGTCAGTCTGAGCTATAGATGTGGCTGTAGACACACCGAGAGCTCTGGCTCGGTCTGTGCTGTCCGAACAGAGCTGGGGTGGTGGGCTGCCGTGGTGTTGGCATTATGAGGGCTGTGTAAGCGTGGAGGTCCACTTCTCCAGCTCTGTGGTGCTCGGTGAGCCCAAAACAGACACCGGAGCAGGCCTGGCCAAGCTTAGGAGCTGTACATTGCTAGGCTCTGACTCTAGAGCTTCTATTTGGGTAAGTGTCAGGTACAGCCTGTGTGTTGTTTCTAACGTGTGCTCAAGGAATGGAGTTGATAAAGAACCACTGTATTAGGCAGAGGTCATCCCCGGGGTCAGGTCTTACATCTATATGCCAGGGGGTTCACGTGTGTGGGTCAGGAAGAGATCCTACACACCTGACATAGGCTGATGCTTCCCCCTACACAAATATACACACATGTTCACACAGCATGCTCACACACATGACCATACACTTGCATGCTCACACATGCTCAGGCACATGATCTCACATGTGTCTCACACATGATTGCATGCCCTATGCTCACTCAGACATGAATGTTAACATACATATATTCTTGCATGTATGCTTACACACACGTTCGCATACTCAAACATGCTCACACACACACTCACAATGGGATTCTGTTGCAGCACTGTGCGCTCCAGGTCACCTTGTTCCCAGAATTCTGCAGCAACCAGTAGGGCCACCTGCAAGAGATAGATAGCCCACCACCCCCACACCACAGTACACAGAGTCAAATCCCAGCCAACTCCACCCAGCCCTGCTCCCGCCTGACTTGCACCTCCAACTTAGCAAAGAAGAAAAGCCCACCCCTGTCCTGCCGCCCCGGTTTGGTTAAATGTCTCCACAAAGGAGGAGGAAGCATAGGGTCACTGGCCTTGGGGCTGGGCCAGGAGAATCCAGGCCTCATTGCTGCAGTCAGCAGGCTCGGGGTGCCCTGACCTCGGGGTTCCTACCTTGCTCTGCACCTCCCAGGGCTTGGTGATGGCTGAGAGATCACAGGCGGTCATCATCATGGCCCTGCACACACAGAACACCCTCCGTCAGCCCGCAGCCACTGATGGCTGTGTACGCTCACATGCCAGTTAGTGCTACCCTCTCTGTTGTTTCTTGGCCTCTGCCAGTGGGGGTCTCTCCATCTCCATGGTGGGCAAAGGGCTAGCTGCCCCATGGCATCTGAGGATAGGGCTTGGCGTCCTGCCTCTGCCAATTTTCAGAGATTTGACATTGGAAAAATCAAGCCATCCTTCTAAGCCTCCTGTGTTGGTAATGGTACTTTCCATGATCAGAGCGGGTGGAAGGTTAAGTGATGTGTAATCTGTAAAATCTCACGTGGTACCTGGTGTGTACACTGGAAACACATATTGGGCTTTGGTATGTATCAGGCAAGTTTAAACACCAGTTTTTTTTGTAAGTGCCATCAGAGCAGCAGACTTGAATCCTCATGTACTTGAGTCCCTCCCACCATGTGGGAGGCCCAGATCAGATTCCAGACCCCTGAGTTCAGCCTGGCGCACTGCAAACCCTTGTAGGTATTTGGGAAGTGAACCAGAGGATAACAGACCTCTGCCTCTCTGCCTTTCAAATGAATCAGATAGATCTAAAACGTTTACGTGGAGCTCATCGTGTCTCCAGGGTCCTTCCTCCCTTGTTCAGGGTAGAGCTACGTTTCTCAGACCTGTTCTCTGTGTCACCCGACACAGCAGCTGCCAGAACCTTTCTGGATGCTTGTTCTGGAAGTGCCACCACTGTGGATTGCCAGCTCACAGCGAAGACTGTCTGCTCCTGTCCCTCAAGAACCACTCTTTGCCATGCTGGAGATGACATTCCCCCATGGAAAGGTGGGCAAGTGTGACCATTGCTAAAAACTAGGGGAGGCCCATATTAAGAAGTAGCAGGAGGGGCTGGCGTTGTGGCCCAGCAAGTTAAGCTGTTGCCTGCAACACGTGCATCCATACGAACTCTGTTTCCATTGCAGCTCCACGCTAATGCACCCAAGAAAGCAACAGAAGATGACGCATCTGCTTTGGTGCTTGCCGCCCATGTGGGAGACCCAGATGAAGCTCTTGACTCCTGGTTTAGCCATGTGGGGAACGAAGCAGCAGATGGAAGATCTCTCCCTCTTTCCTTTCTCTCTCCTAGTAATTCTGCCCGTTTCCTTTTTTTTTTAAGATTTATTTTTTATTTTTATTGCAAAGTTAGATATACAGAGAGGAAGATCTTCTGTCCAATGATTCACTCCCCAAATGACTGCAATGGCAGGAGCTGTGCCGATCTGAAGCCAGGAGCCAGGAGCTTCTTCCCAGACTCCCACACAGTACAGGGTCCCAAGGCTTTGGGTCGTCCTTGACTGCTTTCCCAGGCCACAAGCAGGGAGCTGAATGGGAAGTGGGGCCACTGGAACATGAACGGCACCAATATGGGACCCAAGCACGTGTAAGGTGAGGACTTTAGCCACTAGGCTACTGCACCAGGCCCATAAATAAATCTTTTTTAAAAAGGTAGCATAAGGGAGGCAGTGACTGAAAAATTAAAAAGAAATAAACATACAAAAATCCCAGATAAAGCTGAAGGGAATGGGGGAAAAGAAATAATTCAAAACTAAACTCTGAAAGGGAACTCTGAAATAGGAAAGGCTGAGGAATATTATTACTACGTGGATAGGGACTATAGCAATAAGATGGGAGGGAACAGACAAGGAACTGAAACAAGAGGTGGTGTGGGGCACTGGAGGAGGCATTTCAGGGTGGGTCACCTAGGACCACGTGTGCTAGGACTTCTCTTCTGGGAGAACCCAGCATTTCCGGGAAGTCAGCAGCTGGAAGGGAGCCATTTAGGAGTTGGGGGTCTCACAGGTCCGGCTTCAGGAGACAGTTCAGGAGGCTGTGTAGGATGGAGCGGGAAAGATCCAAAGCAGCCGACCCTGCAACCCTGAGGAAACACCTGGGTGTGTGCAAGACAGAGCTTCCCTGCTGGCATGAGGACAAGGACACACAGGCACCAGGGAAGCCAGGTGCACCAAGGGCCCCTGCCTTAGGATGAGCCTTCTGTCCACTTCAGCACCAACCCCTTGCTTGGGGGGCCCTGGATAGTCCAGAGAGGCTCACAGGGGATTCCCAATCCCTCAAGGAGCACACAGCCTAAAACATTGTCCCCACAGTGGCCTCGTGCAACAGCAAGAACAAGTATGGGTACCCAAGATAGGAGCAGCTTAGCACAGTGGGCATCTATGAAATGACAGATCAAGTTTTGAGGGATGTATAGGAGTTCTCTGTTATAGATCAAAAAGTTGTGATCCTCCAAATTCACATGTTGGATCCCTGACCTCCTCCTGTGTGATATTAGGAGGTGGGTTCTCTAAATGCCAGTCATTGTGACCATTTGGGGAGTGAATCTACAGGTGGAAGATCTCTACGCCTCTCCATTGTAACTCTGCCTCTCATATAGATAAAAGATAAATCTTTAAAATAAAGAAGAAATCTAGCCTCTTGGTTGGCCACAGTAGTCAAGAGGAGGGGATGGAGTTCAATGGCAAGTCTTAAGATTCTATGCAGGGCCTTGGAGTCAGAGCTGAACTAGACCTTCTGCCTCTCCTGACTTGCTGTACGCAGTGTCAGCAAACTCAGGATCTTTCAGCCTCAGCTGGGCATTTGTAAAGCGTGAGCATCACAGTAAGTTGAACCCATGAAACTTGGATTTTGCAGGGCAAGTGCTGTGGTGTAGTAGGCTAATCTTCAAATTGTGGTGCCAGCATCCCATACGGCCTACAGTATGAGTCCCGGCTGCTCCACTTCCCATCCAGCTCCCTGCTTGTGGCCTGCAAAGGCAGTGGAGGATGCTTTGAATCCTTGGGTTCCTACACCCACATGGGATACCCGGAGGAGGCTCCAGGGTCCTGGCTTCAGAGTGGCCTAGCCCTGACCATTGTAACCATTTGGGGAGTGAACCAGAGGATGGAGGCTCTCTGTCTCTCCTCTCTGCAACTCTGCCTTTCAAATAAAAATAAAATAAATATTTTTTAAAAAAGGAATTCTGATCTTGCTCTCAAAAACAGAATCCAGCAGTTTCTTGGATTTGACATGCCGATTGCTCCTGAGGGTTATTGTGATGATCACGGGGGGTGACCTTGTCATGCACCTGTTGCTCTGTTCATCATAGCCACCTTCCTTCCATCGATGATTCAGGGTGCCGGAAGCAAGCAGTCCTCACATCCGCCCGGAGCGCCGTGTCTTCCGGCCGGCTTCAGCTGCGCGGCTGAGAGCGTCTTCTCCCTGAGCCCTGGCGGAAGTGCTGCCTTGCTGAGCTCTGACAGGACACTGGCTCACCACCCCTGCCTGCTGGGAAGGCCACGGAGAAGCCTTCGCGTGAAGGGAGCTGGAATGACCTGGGTTCCGGAGCTGAAGCCCCACGGACGCCTACGTGGCACCAGGTAAGCCACTTGGTCTCTCTGGGCCTGGCTGTCCTGGTTTATAAAACACGAGACCTGGAGGCGGCAAGCAGTCTCTGTAAAGGGCCCGGTAGGAAACATTTCTGTTTCCCAGACCAGTTGAGGGCTGAAAGCAAGGTTGGCTTTTCCATTCAGCAGAGCGCTGCGGGTCCAGGAAAATATTTTAATTTCTTTCAAAAGCAGAAAAATGTAATACAGTAATAAGGAATATGTAATATTGAATTTAGCCTTGATTATAATTGTATTTGTATCCATAGCCATAAAATCTTTTACTTACTTTCTAAAAGCTTTTTTTTAAAAAAAATAATTTTATTATTTATTTATTTGAAAGATAAACTTAGGGAAGGGAAAGACAGGGAGAGATCTTTCATTTGCTGGTTCATTTCCCAAATGGCTACAATGGCTGAAACAGAACTGGCTGGAAGCCAGGAGCTTCTTCCAGGTGTCCCACGTGGATGTAAGGGTCCTAGGGCTTGGACCATCTTCTGCACATCCTAGGCACATTAGCAGGGAGCTGGATGGAAAGTGGAGCAGCCGGGTCTCAAATTGGTGCCCATATAGGATGCTGACACCACAGGCGGCAGCTTGAGCAGTTGTGTCACAATACCCCGCCTTACTTGTTTTGAATGGAGATAGGAATCATGAAGACAGGAATGCCCAGGACCTGCAGAAGTCAGAATGGAGTGCTAGGCAGAAAAACAGGCTCTATTTATAGACACTGGAACTTGCATTTCGCATCATTTTCCTTTGGTCATGAAACCTTCTTCTTTTGATTTTTTTTTTTTTTTTTTTTTTTTGCCAGTCAAAAATGTGTGTTATGCTTAGCCTAGAAGACAACTTATGTCACTCCTCAGCAGCAGGGGACTGCTGAGCCCTTTCAGCTTTTGAGGGCTACTGCAATGGCTCAATTGGGTACTTTCTGCCTGCAAGTACTGGCACCCCATGTGGGTGCCACTTCAGATCAGCTCAGCTCTGCTCTGGCTGTTTGACCATTTGCTTCCCTCGGTAAATCTACTTCTCCAATACATAAATAAATAAGTATATTTGTAAATGAAATCTGAGGTGAGGGATTCAGTGAGGAGGGAGCTGTCATACCTTTGCTTTGGAGTTACTGTGACTCTTGTTCCTGTGTAGTGACACACAAGTAGTGAGATGCAAGAAATAGCTGGGCAGGAGTCTAACCAAAGCCAGTCGGCTGGGGCCTGTGCAAGAGTTAGCTGTGGGCCCTCGGACAAGCCTGCCACAAGACCCAGACACAGGAAGGTGCTGTTGGGTTTGTTTCTCCCAAGAACCAATTCTGACACCAACCAGATAGCTTGCAGTTGAGTTCAGCCCTCACCCCAGCTGCCTGAAGTTAGCACCAGACAGTACAGATTTTTAGGGTACAGCCAGCCTCATGTCAGAGCCAATTATAGGTGCCTTGTCCCCAGATTAAAACCACTTCTGTTTGACTTGGCTACAAAGTTGGGATTCTCCTCCATTTTCAGCTTAGCAGTCTGCTGAATCAGCTCTCAAAAGTCAGGGAAAAGCTTCATTTGCATATATTGAGTTCGTGTAAAGGACACAACTCAGGAACAGCCAGAGAGAAGAGGGGCCTAGGTGGAGGGTGTGGGGAGCGGTGAGTGCCACCCTCCCAGCAGCTCCCTGAACCCTGTGCTGGGAGCTTTTGTCTCATAGAGGTGGTTGACAGCATCATTAGCATCTTGCAATCAAATCAGCCTCCAGATCCTTTTTCCTCGGAAGAGGTGAGGGTGGGGCGAAAGTGGGAGCAAGTCACCTATCAAGGCTTGCTCTACACAGTGCCCTGTCCCTGAAGTTGTCTAGGGACCTGCCGAGAGCGCCCCTGGTCAGAACCAATGATACTCAGGAACTCCATGTGAGACGCTGGCCAAAATCCACACGCAAAGGTCTTTTATAACAGGAAACACTTAAAACCAGCAGCTCCTCCAGCTCAGCCCCCACTGTGATCCAGAAAGCATCTATAACCACACTCCCCATTGAGCAGGCACGTGAAGGCACCTGCACAGGCAGTGCGTGTAGCCTGCAGACTGCTTGGCACCAAAGACCCACTTGTGTACCAGCTCCATCCTGCTTGGGTGAGAAACTGTTCTGATCATCAGACTACAGGATGGACCCAAGAGAGCCCTATGGCAATGCTTCTGAGCTGGCGAGATGCTGGGCAATGTCTGAAGGCATGGCTGGCTGTTGTACCTGGCAGACAGAGGCTGCTTCCAGTGTGCAGGGACCAGGGGAGCTGTGTAACATCCTGCATCACCCAGCACAGGTACAGCAAGTTACCCGCCTCAAATGTCAACAGTCCTGGGATCGAGAAACCACCTTTACAGGTCTTTTTGGACTTTTTAATTTTAATTCTTACACACTTGAAAGTGAGCATTTAAAACTATTTCATCATAGACCCGATATTCACAAAACAGCTAATCTGCAGCACTTGATAAATATTAAAGCTACTATATGATCCTCTAACTGCAAAGTAATCTAAAGAGCATGGCAATTTGACACCAACTGTCAACAAAGACAAAAAACACACCAACCAATTTTGTTGCCCTGGGTTAACAGCCTGCCTTCTCTCTGTGTACCAGGATTTGTTATTGAGTTCTCTCACGGAGTGTTATTCTGGCATTTTAATTATTCCATGTCTTACATGACATCATTTCTTTGTGCAGCCTATGACACTGCATTGCATGAGAGGATTGTGACTTACTTGACTGGTATCCTACTGATGGTTACCTGAGCTGTTTTCCATCTTTGCTGTGATTGCAAACAACAGGAGAAAAAAACTTGGTGTCTTCTCTGTGGTGCACATGTGGGAGAATGTGTAGAGGGGAGGTCCTGGATGTGAGATGACTGAGGCAAAGTGTATGGAGACTTTTGATCGATGCTGCCATAAAGACGGACTGAGAGCATGTGCTTCTTCCCCTCTGTTCTGCATGGTGGCGTGCGATCAAACACTGCATCTTTGCCAACAGGACTGCTGAGAACTGCATCGCCTCCTTCTGCCCTCCTCTGCATGTGAGTCATCATTTTCCCATTCGTTTACATCCCACTGTAATCCCTTTTCTTGGAAGTGTCTGTTCGTGCCTTTTGCACTTTTTCTATTCATTTTTCCCTTGAATTGTGTTACACTTCAGTTACTGAGGAAATTAGCTTTTTGTCAAAAACATTGAAAGCGTTTTCTTATCTTACTTTATCTTGCCTTCTGTCTTTGGTTCTTTATTTGTGGGTTGGGCCCAAATTCTTAATTTTTGCATAGCCAAATGTGTCTATTTTCTAGCTTGTAAATTCAAAGTACTCTTGAAGAAATTCCCTCTGAAATTATTTTAAGTCTTTAATGCTTTCCCCTTGCCTGCTTTTCTCTCCCTCTCCCACCGTTTAAACATTCTTGATTCATTTGGGATTTATTTTGGTGCGAAGTGAAGGAGGGATCTCCCTCGTGGCACCCCACTGTCCCCACACCATCTGTGAGCGCGCAGCTCTCTGCACTTTCTGCACTTGGAGCACGTACAGAGTCCTGCGAGTCCGTGCCTTGACCTGACCAGCGCTTCGTGGTCATCCTGAGCTGCTCTCAGTTCTACTGGCTCCCATGATTATTCTTCTACTTCAGAATTTGCCAGGCATTCTTGTCTGCTTGTAAGAAGGCAAGAAAGATCTTCTTCCTAACTAGCCCCAAATAAAAAGAGGTTTTTTGTTTTTTTTTTTTCTTGTAAATCACCTCAAATAAAGAATTTAAGCAGAATTAATTTAAATAAGTTATTCATTTATTTGAAAGTCAGAGTTACAGAGAGACAGGAAGTGATAAAAATTTTTCATCTAGGGATCTACTCTCCAGAATGACTACAGTGGCTGGGACTGGGCCAGGCTGAAGCTAGGAGCCAGGAGCTTCTTTTGGGTCTCCAGTGTGGATGTCAGGGACCCTAAACACTTGGGCCATTTTCCACTGGTTTCCTCAGGCGATTAGGATGGACCTGGACTGGAAATAGAGCAGCCAGGATGCAAACTACTGCCCATCTGGGATGCCAGCATTGCAGGCAGTAGTTTTACCCACTATGCTGGGGTATAGGCCCTCAACAACTTTGTAATATTGAGTGCTCTTATTCCTGAACAAGATGTTCCTCGCACCTATTTGGTTCTTCTGATGTACCATTTTGAAATGGATGGTGAGGAAGTTCCTTGACTGCTTGGGAGAACTGTGACCTAAATGTGTCTGCACCGTTGGGAGGGACGGTCATATTGTTCCCTAGGACCTGCACGCCTTTCTCAAGGCCTGATTAGACAAGTGCAGGACACAGGGAGGAGCCGCTTGCCAGTCCCAGCAGCTGCCGCTTCTCCATGGCAGGCACTTACAACACCTGGCTTAATCATACCATGTTTCCATTAAGCCTCTGGGATAAACTACCCAAGGCTTCTTAGAAAATGGGTCAGGCCTTTCTCCACTTGAGATCCTTCCCGGCCATTACCATCAACACTCAGGACCCATCACAGGGAAGCCAGGGCCCTCAGGGTATTGGCTGCACTTACAGCCACCAAATACCTCACATGTATCCTCCTCACCCCATGGCCCATTGGGATGAACTGTGGAAGAACAATGAGGAAACAAACAGAGGTATTCACTAGGCAACTTACGGATGAGTCTCATGGTCGGTTAGGTACATACCTTTAATTGCATGTAAATCATATGAATCTAGCACAGTAGTATTGCAGGATATTGTAAATATGCAAATGAAGATTTAGAAAATGAAGCCAATCTGGGGCTGATACTGTGGCATAGTGGGTAAAAAGGCTGCCTGTGATATCAGCATCATGTATGGATGCTGGTTCATGTGCTGGCTGCTCTACTTTGAATCCAGCTCCCTGCTAGTGGCCTGGGGAAAGCAGCAGAAGATGGCTTAACTGTTTGGGCTCTTGCAACCCACACGGAAGACCTGGAAGCAGCTGTTGTAGTCATCTGGAGGTGAGCCAACAGATGGGAGATAGCTCTTTCCCCTCTCCTCCTTCATTTTCTCTGTTTCTTCCACTCTCTATAACTCTGCCTTACAAATAAATAAATCATTTTTAAGAAAGATAATTAAGTCGATTTATAGCAATAGCCTATATGTTATCACCCAAACCATAATTAGTCTAATGCATTTTGTTTTCTCAAAAGCATGAAAGGTAAATCCCTTTGCCCCCCAAATCCTAGACTTCATGATTCGAATACTTCGAATATTTTGTTTATATAGAGAAATACAACACTAATAAATCATCATATAGTCTAGTGCTAAAATAAAGATTAAACATATTTGTATGTTATAACTTGTAATTCAGCTATGGCATGGCTTCATTTTCTCGGAGATCAGAGGCCCCCACATGGCAGGTGTGGCAAAGCTCTGCTAAGAGCCGCCAGAGCTGTCAGTCCCTCAACCCAGAGCAGAAGAGGGTCAGGAGTCGCCCGGCCTCAACTCACATCACAATTTCCTTCCGGGTCTGCTCCAGCATCATGTACTGTGTCCACTCCTGGGCATTCTCATATGTCTTGGACTGATCCACAATCTTCTGGAACATTGTCCTCTTCCTACAAGACATACCAGTGTATTCAGTGGAGCCAATCTTAAGATCAGACAGCCCCTATTGATTATTCCATACAAGGTCTTATTAATCAGTGTAATTAATCCAGTAATGTTCCAAGAACCAATGCCTGGGTGTGAAGCCCTAGGATCTAACCCTGACTGTGCCCTGACGTGCGATCACTTAGCAGGTCTCGTGCCTTGGCCCTCAGTTTCCCCACTTGGAGAATAGAATATCTGATCCACAGGGTCTCTGGGTTGGGCCTAGCATATGATGCAGAGTAGGTCAATTGGAACAATGGTGTTTGTTGCTGTTATTTTGATTATTAGGAAGAAAAGAAACACCTACTTGAAGTATAGGGCTAGGTCTGTGGCAATGATGGCGATGTCCATCATGTGGATGGCGTGCTCGTGCTGCCGGCGGTTGAGGTTTTGAAAGATATTCAGGCTCTACAGAGAACATCCAAGGAGGGCTGTGAGATGTGGTGCTGACAACAAAGCCGTCCACCAGCCAGTTGCCGTCTACAGTGACAGTAGAGGTAGCCCAGGGCAGAGGGAGAAAAGCTGCCTGGGTAAACTCGAGCTTGTTGTGGTGCGGGACCTCCAGGCCAGGCCAGGACCAGCACACAGGGCCTCAACCTACCTCATCTCGCAGCAGTGTTTTTCCAAACTCCAGATGGTGTCTTTCCAAGATGGAGGACCCATGGAGCTTGGCCAGTGGGTTCTGGGATCTGAAGGGAAGGGAGAGGAGGAAGAACAGATAGGATATCAATGTGGGAATGGCCAAGGTCAGGTTGAAGTCATTAACAGTCCTGTCACCTCCTCGTTGTGCAGGCAGAGGGACTGAAGACCAGGAATGAGACAGGAAAACTGGGCTATATATGGGGTCTCCTGATCTGGCTCCAGCTTTTCTGCACAAATGATTCTGAACCTCTTTTGGATCACCGACTCCGTAGAGAGTCTGAAATATTGTGTTTGGAGCCTGGCATGGTAGCCTAGTAGCTAAAGTCCTCACTTTGCATGTGCTGGGATCCCATGAAGGCAGTGGTTCATATCCCAGCTGCTCTACTTCCCATCCAGTTCCCTGCTTGTGGTATGAGAAAGCAGTGGAGGATGGTCCAAGGCCTTGGGACCCTGCACCCATTTGGGAGACCCAGAAGAAGCTCCCAGAATCTGGCTTTAGATTGACTCAACTCTGGCCTTTGTGGCCACTTGGGGAGTGAACCAGCAGATGGTAGATCTTTCCCTTTCTTTCCTTTTCTCTGTAAATCTGACTTCCAATAAAAATAAATAAATCTTTAAAAAAGAAGAAGAAGAAAAGAAAGCAGTAGTGTGGGCCTGGCACAGTGACCTAGCAGCTAAAGTCTTTGTCTTAAACACGCTGGGATCCCATATGGGCACTGGTTCTAATCCAGGCAGCTCCACTTGCCATCCAGCTCCCTGCTTGTGGCTTGGGAAAGCAGTCAAGGATGGCCCAAAGCCTTGGGACCCTGCACCTGCATGGGAGACCTGGAGGAGGTTCCTGGCTCCTGGCTTCGGATTGGTGCAGTGACCATTGTGGTCACTTCATTGGACAGAAGATCTTCCTCTCTGTATATTTGACTTTCCAATAAATAAATAAATTAAAAAAAAAAAAGAAAAAAATACTCAGGGGGAAGGGAGTTTGTTTCCCATGGCACCTGCTTTGCCCAGCACAGAGTCTTATCAAGGAAAGGGAATGAACGGGCTCGTGTCTCTTCCTGGCACCTTGGTTCCAAGGAGGTGAGCAGGTGGGACAAGAAAGGAGGCGAGAGGAGGCATTGATTGTGCTGCTTTCCTGTGGCTGCCATGACAGACTGCAGCCATGACTTAAAATAATACAAATGTGTTTTTTCAAAGCCTTGGCATTCAAAAATCTGAAATACTTTCCTCCTGCAGGCTCTGAAGGGGAATGTGTCCTGACCCCTTTAGCTTCCAGATGCTACCTGCAGCCCCTTCCTCCATGTTCGAAGCCAGCAGGGTAGCATGTTCACTCCTTCAGGCTTCCTGCCTCTTATAAGGAAATTCTTACTACTTGGGCCAACTTGGTTGCCTGCCACATCCCAAGCTCCCTCACCCGGTCACACCCACAAAGTCCCCTTTGATATGTAAGGCCACGTATTCCCAGGGATCCAGGCTATGGGTTATGGACATCTTTGGGGGATCACTGTTCTGTCTCCTACAGGGTGGCCTGAAGTACCAAGGCAGCAGGAAGTGAGAAGCTGGGGGTAGTGGGATTTCTTGATGGCAGTGAGTCTGTCTGGGGGTCTTGTAGCCCTCAGCAATGAATCCTGGGGCTAAGGGCCAGGGGCCAGGGCAGGGAGGGATCTGGTTAAGGCTGACTCACTTCATCTGGTAGAGGTTGTTGGTGCCTCTGTGGTCAATGTCATGGCAGAAGGCAGCGGTGACCATGGCCAAGGCCTCCAGGTCCGTGAAGTATCGTTTCAGCTTCCCTGTCTGGAAGGTCAGCCACAGATGCAAATCACTCCTTTTGTGCGGGACTAGAAGCAGGACTGAAGTGTCGGGAGAAGGGGGCTCTGGAGCTTGGGAACCTGGGTCTTGCCTTGGCTCTATCCCTGACTCCCTGTGGTGGCCAGAGATTTTCCTGGAGCTGACTTTTCTAGGATGTGCAACTAATTTTTTTTTTGAAGTATTTTATTTGGGCCAGACATGATGAGATGCCAGGGCTGCAGACAGAGGAACAGTCTGTTACACCATAACACCTGCTCCTGCTCCACTTGTGATCCAGGTTCCTGTTAATGTCCTGGGAAGGCAGCAAAGGATGGGTCAAGTCTTTGGACTCCTGTGCCGTGTGGGAAACCTGGAAGAAGCTCCTGGCTCCCGGCTTCAGATTGATCCAGCTCTGGCCACAGCAGCTATTTGGAGACTGAACCAATAGAGAAAAGACCTCTATGTCTCTCCTCCCATTCCCTCACATAGTAATTCTGAATTACTATCAATTTTTTAAAATAGTTAAAGTGGTAAAGTGTCTTTCTACATATTGGAAAAATGTAATTGATATATATATACACACACATAGATAAAATGAAAGATTCATATATTTTTATATTTTTAGAAATACTGAATAATACTATTTCATTGGTTAAAAATGAAATAAATGGTGTGTATTTTCTGTACACTCGTGTGTTCCCAAATATGCCTCCAGGCTTCCTAAAGAACCTCTAGAAGAACTCGTGCCACAGCTTCCTTCAAATAGCTGGACTACTAGTGATAGCAGTACTACAGGGGCAATTTGCTTTCACTTTTTATTTTATAGGCTCCCCTATCCTTGTAATTCTTTGATGCTAAGCATGTGCCCCTTTGGCATTTCTTTTAGGGCCATAATCAGAAAGGATGGCAGCCCAGAGGCCGTCACGTTGTGGAGTCTGCATGAGGTTGTCCAGCGTGCAGCCAGCCCGTCCAGCCCCCGTACCACCAGCAAGGAGAACATGGTCTGGCCCACGTTGAAGCCATGCCGCCAGTTGTGGTAGGTGATCCTGCGATAGCCCTTGCTCAGGGAATACATGAAGCGCACCAGGGCCTGCAAACACAAGCACATCCGTGAGGCAGCACTCCTGGCCAGGTGCCCTGGACCTGCCCTCCTGAGGTCCCCCCAGTGCCAACAATGGCCCAGAAGGTGGGAGGCAGCAATGGCAGGTGCGCTTTTCAAGCTGCTTATTGCTATGAACATGGATGTTGTTATTCTGCTGGTCTCAAACTGCACCCCGGAGTGCAGCTATCCTGGGAAAAGCCGGCAGTGGTTTCACAGGAAGAAAAGGAGAAAGGTTTCTTCATCCCTGGGGTTCTCCAACTGGGATACCTATCGAAACGATCGAAGCTTGTGTAACCTGATTCAGGCTGGGAATGTGAGTGTGTGATACACTTGTGTTTCTGCTAACTGCTCTGTTGTGGACCAGGTGGTCCAGGGCAACGCTTTCTGCAAAGCACTGCTTTAATCAGAACCTGGGAAATTCTGAATACTGCATATACCCCCTTTTCTGTGTCCCCTCCCCTTGCATTCGCAGTGCCCCTTAGGCCTTCCCTGTGGAGAGAGAGCCCAGTGTGAGTGGATTTCACCCCGTTCTCACCCCTGCTTGGCCAGAGGGCCTTTTTGTGCACTTAATCATTCTCAGCCTTTGAGACTCCCTGCTTGGGAGCCCACAGTGGCCCAACTACAGGGTTCCCTGTGACCCCACTGTGACCCCACTGTGACCTCACTGTGACCTGAGGCTTCATCCCCTCAGCACCAAGGGCGGATTCTTTTTAAAGTGGTTACAGATCCAAGGTTCAGGAAAAGGAAACAGAAAAAGGGAAACCAGCGATGTTTGCTTGACCTCACCTCTTGTGGAATGTGGAATTTTTCTACCACTTTGAGCTCGTAGTACATTTGTATGCCACATTTTACCAGCTCCAGTTCCGTTAAGGGCAAGTCACTGAAGTGGAATTTATTAATTTCGTATTTCTCTGCATCTGGCAGTTCCCCTTGCTGTATATAAACGACAAAGTCAAGTGATCAAGAATTGTTCCTGGACTACCCCCTCCCTTGGCCCCCCTCATCCCTGTCTCCATCCTGGGTGTGCTGGGAGGACCAGAGCAGAGCAGTGGGAAGCAGGCATTGTGGGAATACTTCGTGTGTACTCCAAGCACCTGCCAGGGAGACACCAGGGCCAGGGCTGCCCGACTTAGCTCACCAGGATCTCAGCCAGCTCCTCTTCCTCGCATTCCCATGGCTCTTTCCCATAAACTTCTCTAGTTTTCTGTCAGGGCCCGGAAAAAGCAGAGAAAATACAGCAAGTTATAACCTTGAAGGCCATGCTCAGCCTCCACTCTTCTATTATCTGTATTTTTTCTTCCTCTAACATCTTTTCCACAAAACCACTGGTTCAGGGAGGCTGCCTCCAGCACTGATGGATGAGCAAACATGACCTTGGGCAACTGCTGAGACCTGCATCCCAGTCGACGCTCTGCCACCTACTGGCAGTGTTATTTAATGCTGCTGATCTTCAATCTGTTAAACAGGGATGAGAGGAGGACTGAACAGATGACTTCAGGTGTGTACGAAGTGCTTTTAGGACAGCATAGGTGTAGGTGTGCCTGAATTAAACGATCCAGGTAAAGTACTGAGCACAGCATTTGGTGCAGAGCAAGCACTAAAATCAAAGAATGTTATTATTTTCATTGGGGGTAAAGAAGCCTTGGCCATATTCCTGGCTCTTCCTGTCCCTTTCCATGTGCCTTGGGGGCACGGTCCCTTCCTCTCTTGGGCCATAAGAAGTGGGAGCTGTGGACCCACTTCCTTATTTCTGGTTTCTTGGCTTAGAGCAAAATCTGTCCACATGTTCCTCGCGGGGCTGAGGTGAACCAAGCAAAGCTCACCGAGGGGCCACTCTTCTGGCCCTGCCTGTGTCTTCCTTGGAATCAACTGGTTATGGGGAGGAAGCACCACATCTGTTGTGATCTTTTCCTAGCTGGACACGTGGGCCTTGGTTACTTGAACTTGAAAGGCCCATGCCTTTCAGCTTGGGAACTCTGCTGATTCCCTGTCCCACACCAGCTAGTTAACTTGCTTCTAAGAGCTCGGGCTCTCAGAGACCCAACCCCTGGGAGTGATGCTCATGTTTTTCTGAAAGCTCCCAGGCCACGTCACTGCCCCAGGCAGGATTCTTCTGTGGAGCCTGCCTGAGCTCCGATGGTCTGTGGCCTACACCAGGGAGCCTCCCTAGGAAGGATGCTCCCTGCTTCTCGGGCAGCCCTTTCTTAAGAGTGCTACAGACCCTGTCTGTTGTCCTGATAACTTCTTTCCCTACTGGGAGACTTGGGGACAAGGCCCTCTTCCTTTTGGAGTGTCAGTTTGTTCCCCACTACAGTGAGAAGATAAACTGACCCCTCAGTGTCTAACTCTTGTCAGCATCAGTAAAGGTCCTCGGTGTGTATTTCTCTTGAAAATGTAAAGTAAGGAAACTCGGTGAGGGATCCACACTTCTTCTGAACTACTTCTTGGCTCACGAGACTTCACTTTGCTTTGATTTCCTCTAAGTGAACTGACCCCAGAGCAGGGAGGTGCTGAGAAATTGACCACTGTATGGGCTTGTCAGACACAGCCTTATCTCAGAGAAGGGGCTCTAGCCCCAGTCAGTCCTGAGCTTAGTGATAATGGGGTTTTCTAGAACTGTGAAGTCAGGGTCAGGTCAGTCCCATGACAAGGCAGCCCTGCAAGAGATTGCTATCTCCAAGCGGTGATACCACTTTGAGCTCTCAGTACACCTGTATGCCACATTTTACCAGCTCCAGTTCCACAAGGCATGTCCCAGTGGTCAACACCCATCCATCCACTCATTAGGTTTGAGGCCTGCTACCTTCCCATGACTCAGGAAATCCTCACCCGGGCTGTGCCCGCGTTGATGTCACATCCTGCCTGTGTCTGGCTGCTTGTGTGAGGCGCCGTCTCTACCAGAGCAGGAGGCAGTGAAGGGTGTGACTCACCAGGATTTTCTGAATTTCCTCATTGTCACACTTCACATGATATTTGACGATGTCCTGGAAAATGTCCTTCCGATTTTCAAGCTTGTTCATGGATTCATAGGTGTCAGGGTTTAAGACAGACCAGCCCAGGAATTGAGTCAAGGACTGAAAAGAGAGGAAGGGAGAATCAGAGACAAAACTCTCTGGTTTGACTCTTAACTGGACCTCCATTTTCTCAGCTGTGAAATGGCTATGCTAGACTGTGGGCTGGCCTCTTTGCTCAGTTGTGAGGGCCAGGTAAACCACCTAGTGTGAGCATGTGTGACATAAAGCACAGACACAGTGGAAAACACATTCTTCTGAGCAGTGACTTCACAAGCTGCTGTCTGGGGACAGGTGTAAGTAGGAACTTTTTTGGTACTTTCCGTTCAAGTTTGCTGTGAACCTGAAACTGCCCTACGTTGAGAAGTTTAGCGATTGAACTGTTTGAGGAAGGGACTATGGATGTTGCTACAAACCTGACAGTGTCAAAGCAGAAGCCAGGAGAGTGGTTGTGGAAGCTGTGTTTGCACTGGGTCAGCCAGTCCTCAGGTGACGGGGCAACTGCACACCTGGCTCCACCAAGTAGCTCTGGAGGCCAGGCTTGGTGGCAAAAGCCGGCTGGATCCCCATAGCACAAAGTCTCCTGGTGCACATACCTCCATGAGGGTCTCGTCCATCTCATCAAAGGGCTTTCCATCTTTCCGGTTGTAAAACGTGGCCACCCCGACAATTTCTTCCTTCTTGTTTACAATGGGCATGGAGAGGACGTTTTTAATCATCCATCCAGACTCATCCAGGGGCTCCTTCTGTATGTAAGACAAGAGCCAGGGTAGATTTTCTGAGCCTGCTGCCTGCAAGGCACCCCTGTTTTGCTGAGATGGGATGCAAGGAGGAGACAGCTGGTTGGATTTTATGTGGGTTTGATCACCAACAAATGCCATGAAACAATGGTCCTTCTGGTTGAAGTTCCTTGAGCCAGAGAGCCATAGTGTGTCCATCGCTAGGGTGTCAGGGAGCCTGTGTCCCAGGTGGCAGGCTTCGTGCTGGAGATATCACTCTGGACGGGGTCAGCCCACAGAGGTAGTGCCTGCCTTTCCCATTCAGGAGGTGACTGCAGGGTAATACAGGTATTTCTCATAACTTTGAATTCATCAACCAGATACCATCTGGACTTGAACTTCCATGTCATGTTTGGAATGTCCTTTGATTTCTTCTGGCCTAAATTTTCTCATCAACTAATATTCCTGGTCACCCACAAGATGGCTTGTTGAGTCATTTCCCATCTGTCTGAGCCTCACTTTCATCGTATAGAACACGGAGATAAACAGATTAATTCAAATCTCCTTTTCCATTAATTCTTCAAACACACACTATATGGAAGAAACTTTTTTAGGAGTCGGGGAAACCAGGGAAAATGAGACAGAGATCTTGTCCTTAGGTTGTCTAAAATCTGCAAGGTAAGCCAGCAGTGACACTGCCCTATGGGAAGTTCTCCAAGATAGATGAGCCTCCAGCTTCTAAAAGTCAAAGATTCTTAAGATCATGAAATGATAATTTTTGCTTAAACAGTAGGAAGAGACAGGCACCTCTGTCTTAGCACCTGGTGGGACAGTGTCCCCACAGGGGTCCAGAATGTGGCCCAGAGAGTAGCGGGCATCACTGAGCCTCATCCCTGTCTTCCTGCAGTTGTCTCCTCAGTCTCCAGGCCTCTCTGCCTTCTGAGTGCTATAATGGAGAGGCAGACTGGGTGGAAGGCAGAGCCGCCTTCCAGCCTCTGCCACAGGGGCAGACCTCAAGGCAGTCTGCACTTTCAAAACAATCACTCCAATGTTTTGTTGGAGAGAGTTGGAGAGGGAGACTAAAATCCAGAGCAGTGATCAAATTTGCTCTATAGTAGGATTAAACTGCTCAAGACCAGTATTAAGTTGTGCTTAGGAACTTAAATTTGGCCAAAACTGTTTCCATACTCTTTTTTTTCCTTAAATATGTATTTATTTTTGTTGGAAAGACTAATCAGATTTACGGAGAGAAGGAAAGACAGAAGGAACTTCTTTCTGCTGGTTTACTCACCAAGAAGCTCCTGGCTCCTGGCTTTGAAACAGCGCAGCTCCAGCTGTTGCAGCCACTTGGGGAGTGAACCAGCAGATAGAAGACTTTATCTCCTCTCTGTAAATCTGACTTTCCAAAAAAAAAATAATAAATAAACCTTTAAAAAATAAAAAAGACCCTTGGGGTGATTTAGTTGTGTATTACATAGCCCTCTGCCTGTGGTACCTATATCCCATGTGGGTGCCAATTTGAGTCATGGCTGCTCCACTTCCCATCCATCTCCCTGCTAAGGACCTGGGAGAGCAGCAGAGTGTGGCTCAAAGCCTTGGGCCCTTGCACCCACATGGCAAACCTGGAAGAAGCTCCTGGCTCCTGACTTCAGAACAGCCTGCTCTGGCCATTGCAACCATGTGGGGAGTGAATCAATGGATGGAAGATCACGCTCTTTCTCTGTCTCTCCCTTTCTCTCAGTTATTCTATCAAGTAAAACAAACAAAGCTTATGTTTTATGGAGGGGAATTTGTCCAGAACAGAGGTAAGGATAATAAAAGGCAGAGTAAGGAAAAGATGTAACAAGAACCCATCAGGGCCTGACCTCCTCGCGGTCACCTGGTCCCACGCTGCCTCAATCTCTTGGCCTCCGCGTCCCCCCACATAGTGCTCTTGTCACCTGCCCCCTCAGTCTCTTGCTCACACTTGTCAGCTTCCTTTCAGTGCACCATCTGTCTTCTGTGGTCTTCTGTCCCCTCTCGTGGCCCAGCTTACTTTCCTCATGTAGCCTGATTCCTCTCAGGCTAAGTCAGGTTCCTTGGGTCCCTACCCTTCTTCTGGCCCCCTTGTGTGTCTGTCTCTCCTTGTGATGCTGAGCCCCATGGAGATGAAGACCATGCTGATGTGGACCACCGCTGTAACCAGTGTAGCACTATGCCAAAGCTTGGCACAGAGGATGTCTTCCATAAACATTGGTTAAAACAATCTCCGGTACTAAAACACTATAAGCAAGAGTCCATGAAAACCCTGAGAAGAAAGGAATGGTATTCAGCCAAGGGATCAGAATGAAGCTTCGCAGCACTGGCAGCATTTAAAGGTGTAACTGAGGAGCAGAGCTAATTGGGATGATTTCAGAGAGAACAGTAGAAGCCAAGGTCCTGGGGCTAGAAAACAAAGCATGTGGATGCTAGAACCAAAGGGGATCTTAAAATCACCCATGTAGCTGCTTCCCCATTCCCATCAGAACATGGCTGTTTCCACTCAGATTTCTACTTAGACTGGTTTCTAGCGGAGTAGGTGGAATCTAATGAATTCTAGAGCTCAAGAGAGAAAGCTCGAGAGAGCGAGAACCAACTTTACCACTGTGACAGCAAATAAAACAGGACTTACCTGAAATGCAAAGAAGTCCTCCGCTGGTGCATTCATGATGTTACAGATCTGAAAGCCATGAAGGGGAATAAGGAGTTGTGATCAGAGCTGATAGAACACCTGGTAAGGCTCTGTGTGCCATTTCTAGAAATACCATGTCCTTGCCCTGGGCATCACATTCTCGCCGTGGGGTAGATACACTAGCACTGACTTACTAATTGATAATATTGAAGGGGAGAACCACCGAATACTTAAAAACCTTGCTTCTTCCTGTTTGCCCTGCTCCTGGATTCATCCCAAGTTCTGAAAATATCAGAAGTAATGGCTGCGACAATATGCCATTTTCTTGTTCTTCTTTGATGTCAATTTAGGGCATGTTCATGTTTTAAAATTTTTATCTGTGGGATCACATCTGAGAACATAGCTGGATGGCAGAGGCCTAGGGGAACCTGTTGAGAATGGGCTCAGGAAGGAGAAGGCAGAGGGCTCCCCACCCAGAATGCACTTTTGCCCCCAATGACTCCTTGGACCTGATTTTGTGCTTTCCTGATAAACACTGGTGCTCTTGTTGATAGTTTAGCCAAGAATAAAGCAATATCCTAGATCAAAATAGCTTTGTTAAGTTTCCTGGAACTCCCGGCCCATATAAGAAATGTAAATCTCTAACCAATTAAATCTTGTGACAGAATGCTGAGTTTGAACTATTTCGATTAATCCTAGTGACACAACATAAGTTTAAACTGATGTAATTAAACCTTAGGACAGTAACTAATGTTTTGCTAAAGTTTTACCTGTTTAAACTCAGTTTAAACTGTTGCTCTGTTGAATGTGTAAGAACTAAAACCTGGAAATAAATTTCGTCAGTCTGCCCCATCCTTTGGTCACTTTCCTCCCAGGTTTCCCACAAGGAAACTTGCAAGGCCGACAGAGGTTGATACTTATCAGTAATGCTACTCTAAACATCATTGACCCAATTACATTTGGGTTCTGTTTTGTTTTAACAGGAGGGATTTTTACAGGGCTATAAATTCCAATGTAGAATAAGAAATGTAAAGTGGTATAGATCTGGTTTTATATTGACAGGCTCCTCTTCTGAAAAATGGACCAGTTCTCTCTACTACACAAGGAGCAGATGGTACTTAGATGATTCCCTAGAGACTAGCCCATGGCACCACTGGGTACACCTGTATTATGTGTGGACAGCTGAGAGGCCACCTGCACTACTGCCCAGTCTACACTCCTCTTACAGTGCCAGAGCCTGACCAAGTTTTTCTGGTCATCGAGAACAGGTGTCTCCTTTTCATTCTCAGAAAGGTGCCCCATAGGCTTGCAGCAGCCCTCTCTGTCGCTATAGCAGTGGCCCATCAGGCTCCAGATGGTGAGCTGTCCCTGCCCCTGTCCAAGGCCTGCGCTGTCCCTGCAATGTCCTTCTGTCCTGTGATTGGCCCAGTTGTCAACAATTAATCCTGATTTGTAGTCTCCCTGGAAACTGCTCCCACGGCTCCGCCCTCTGCCCAGCCTGTGACTGCTCTCCAGTTCTTGAAAATGGGATCCTCCCTACCTGCCACATGATCTCTATAGCAACCATCCAGACTGGCATCCCCTGCTTCTTTTCTCTCACCTTCTCGACCTTCTCATTGGGCATTCACTCCTCAGTGAACCATGAAGCAGCTTTGGCCTTTTTCTGGACACCAGGTCTGTTTCATCAGGGCTACTGCTTTGTTTTGGATATGAGCATGGGTGGCCCTCTGCAGCCTAAGTGTTAAAGACATGCTCCCCAGGATGATGCTAAGGGAAGGTGGAACCTTCAGGAGGTCAGGTCTAGCAGGAGGTCTTTGTGACTGTCGGGTGTGAACTCAGGGGCTAGCTCTCACAGAAGGATTGCTTATCAACGATGAGGGAGGCTGTGTGTGTGTGTGTGTGTGTGTGTGTGTGTGTGTGTGTGTGTGTGTGTGTGTGTGTGTGTGTGTGTGTGTGTCTGTTTCTCTTGCTCCCTACGGGGGCCTTCCTTTGCAAAGCTCCATCATCACCATCTGCTACCCTCAGCAGAAGTCAAACCCACAGGGACAGCCAATCCTGGACTTGAATACTATCAGCTAACTCAATATTTTCTCTTTATGGAGTGTTTCCTAAGGATGTTATTGTGGTGGTCACAAGTCAACAGGACCAATGATCTCTCTGAATTGCCAAACCCAAGGAGAATGTTCAGTGCTTGTATCACTAGATCAGTTGGGGCTCCCTCCATGTTGGAATGTTCTGCTTGCTCGGTTTCCATGACCCTGGCCTCTCCTGGGTCTCCAGACTTTACCTCTGAATGCTCTTGTCTCTCCTTCACACACTCCTCTTGCTCTACCCCCTCCGTATGGGCTGATGTTCTCTGATGTTGCACCCTGGCCTCACTGCTCTACACCTGTGCACATGGATTCAAGTGCCATCTGGTCCCATTCGTTTCCAGATCTCCATCTCCATCCCTCACCTCTCTGCAGCATTAGAATCTTATCCTCTGTTGTCTCCCAGACATGTGCTCCTAAAAAATGTCTGCATCATACCTGGTCTGAAATGGACCTCACCCTCTTACCTGCAGACCAGATGCCAGCACTGCCCAGCCACCCCAGAAGCCTACTGTGAACTTTGACCCCTCTCTTCCTCGCTCTCCATTTATGATCATTCATGAGGCCTTACCAGTGTTATATTCTCTGCATTAGATCTAATACATTATCTGCTCTCCATCTAACTTTCATGGAAGTTTCCATGAGTATTAAGTCTGAATATTTTTATTTAGTGAGTTACTTAGTGTAAGTGCTCAGTGGCTGTGAGCATAATGGTTGTGTTCTATATTTATTTATTTGAAAGGCAAAGACACCGAAGTATGGACACACACACACACACAGCAAGACAGCTGTATATCCCAGCTGCTGGTTCCCTCCGAAATAGCTGTAACAACTGGAGCTAAGCCAGGGCTTGAAGCAGGATCCAGGAACTGAATCCACGTCTCCCACATGGGTGGCAGGAACCCAGTTACCTGAGTTATCACCACTGCCAGGGTACACAGTAGTTGGAAGCTGAAATTAGGAGCCAAATGTAAACTCAGGTACTGCACTACCTAACATCAGAGTCTTATCAAGAGTTTTCATTGCCAAGCTGAACTCTGGCCCCAGTGGATATTTTCTCTGTGCATCTGCCTTTGTTGAGATTATTTTCACTTCATTCTTGGAGCATGTGCTACTGATTTATCTGCCCCTGTGTAGTTGCCATACCTATCTTTGTAAAATGAAACTTGAGGGCCTGGCATGGTAGCCTAGTGGCTAAAGTCCTTTTCTTGCATGCACCAGGATCCTGTGTGGGATTTGGTTTGTATCCCGGCTGCTCTGCTTCCCGTCCAATTCCCTGCTTGTGGCCTGGAAAAGCAGTAGAGGATGACCCAAAGCTTTGGGAACCTGCACCCATGTGGGAGATCCAGAGGAAGCTCCTGGCTTTGGATTGGCTCAGCTCTAGCCAATGCAGCCACTTGGGGAGTGAACCAACAGATGGAAGATCTTTCTGTTTTCTCTGTAAATCTGTCTTTCCAATAAAGAAATAAACCTCAGTCAAGGCCAGTGCACTCTAAGAATTAAAGGCTAACTCAAATGCTCCAGACTTTGTGTTCTCATAATACACCATATATTTCCTTACCATGATCTCACAGGCACACCTGTTAGTAAAGACATCTGCTCCACTGATAATGGATCGCATAACAGAGATTAGTCCCGATTCTTCTGCCTTTGCATCTCCAAAGAACATCACATGTAGAATAGATTCAGTGCATTAGAACCCTATGATGCAGAGCCTAGTGTGATAGCCTAGTGGCTAAATCCTCATCTTGCATCCACCAGGATCCTGTCTGGGCATTGGTTCATATCCGGGGTGCTCCACTTCCCATCCAACTCCCTGCTTGTGGCCTGGGAAAGCAGTTGAGGACAACCCAAAGCCTTACAACCCTACACCCACGTGGGAGACCCTGAAAAGGCTCGTTTCTGACTTCACATTGACTCAGCTCAACTCTGACTAATACAACCACTTGGGAAGTGAACCAGTAGATGGATCCTTCTCTGTCTCTCCTTCTCTCTATATACCTAGCTTTCCAATAAAATAAATAAATCTTAAAAAAAAAAACCTGCAATATGGACAGCTTTACAAGGAGTGTGCCTGGGGAAGGATGCAGTGTGACTAGGCTTGAGCATAGGGGATGTTCAGCTGGCAGATACAGCCCTCCTCGCAGGCACAGGGATGCTGTCACTCCACCCATCACCCTGCAGAGTTGGTGGGGGGGGAGGGGGACAGGGGGATGTACAGGGCAGGGAGTGAATTGGAGCTCCACTGAATGTGGCATGACTGGAAATGCAGCAGGGAGTGAGGTTGGGACTTCATCTTGGAGGAGGAGTCCCACAGATGAGCCAGTTGTGACTTTGTCCCTGACACACACTCGTGAGCCTCTAGAGTTGTCAGAGAGAGTGTGCACCTTTCTATCTGAGATCTCTGAGCCTTTAGCATTTTCTCCAACACCACTTCCTGATCATTGCTTTGGCTAACTATCAAATGAGTTAAGAAATGAGAGACCCAGAGTCTTAGAGACTTAAACTTTGTATCATTTTCTCACTCCCAAATCTGAAATTCTTTAGCTCTTCCCTGTGACTCAAAACTCCCCCTTCCAAGTGATTTTTACTTACCAGGCCATTTTGAGCCACGTAGGTGGGGAGACCGCTTACTAAAGCCCAGTGGTCAGGAGGTGGATTCCTGTAAAAATCAGACAGAGGGCATGGCATGACTTTCAAAGCAGAGACTGTTGGGCTAAAACCTTGAATGTGGGCCTGCGCTCCCCGTACTCTCTGCTGGTCTTCTGCACTTATTTGTGCTCTTTACACCTGACCAAACCCAAAATGTTGGCAGCTACCTCAGTATCCTCATTTAGACACCCAGAAGAGGGTAATGAATAGACTCTTTTAGGGGCTGCCTGCAGAGTTTAACTATCCAAAGACAGAAAGACAACATTCACTCCAGAGGTTGTTGTTGGCTGCAGGGCAAAATCAGAAGCAGCCGCTTCTGCCAGGAATTTGGCAGCTTTGTACTGTGAAAGCAGCGGCAAACTCCATGCCCCAAGCACTCGAAGTGCTGTTTGTAGTTATTGACCCCCACCAGGGTGTACTGTGGCTTAGGCTGTTTCAGTCATGTGACACACAGCATTCTGGTCAACAGCAGACCACACAGTTTCACAAGATGATACCACTCAGTGACGTTGTAGCCCTCTCAGTTTGTCTAAGTCCATTCTGTGATGTAGGCATGTTGACAAAACCACCTAGTGATGCGTCTCTCATGTGTCCCTGTTGGAAGCCAAGGGTGGCTGATTACTTTTTGCTTCTTCACCAAGAGGACAAACCCACAAATAGTAACACACATGAAACTGTCAACAATCCTTAGACTGCGAATATCTATGAAACCACATGCACACCAGGAATAGCAATGTCAGCACCTGCCTTCCCAGTCACATCCTCATCTCTAACTGCACAGGTAACCATTATGCTAATATAATAATTGTGCTTGCCATAGAATTTTACCACCCAAGTGTGTTTTCCTGAACCTCCTTGTTTAATTTTATCTCTTCTTAACCTAACCTAGACTGAATGATGCAATCACTTTAGCTTTATTTTCATGTTGGCATAATTTGCTCATTGTGTAGAATTAGTTTTCTTCTGTATTTCTGGAGCACAGTTTCTCCATTGAAATGTTCATGGGGGCTTCTGTTTGTCCTAGTGGGCAAGATGACCACCTGCTGTGACAGGGGCCCAGAGTCTGACTCTTGGTGCCATCCATGACTCCAGCCTGGGACATTGCAAAGCAGCGGTGATGACTCAAGTAGGGATCCTGCCACTCCCATGAAGGACCTGGATTGTATTCTGACTCCCTGCTCTGGCCTTGGCCCAGACTGGCTGTTGCTGGCATCTGGGGTGTGAAATGGGTGTAATCTCTCTCTCTCTCTCTCGCTCTCTCTCTCTCTCTCTCTGCCTCTCAAACATGTAAATAAACGATGTTTAAGATGTAAATGCACATCTCCTCCCAGTTTGGAGCTAATATAGACAGTGTTGCCATGAGCACTCTGTCGCCCATGCGTAGGAAGAAAAATACTGGGTCATCAGATGTGCACTCATCTCTTCAGCTCTGATAAAGCCACTCTGTCTCCTAAAAGGTGATGTTACGAATGGGTACATGCCCAGTCGTGCTGTTACCTTCCTTTGCTGCCTATCTCAGCCAGTGTTCAGTAGTTATAGCCCTTCTGCTAGGGACTGAAGGCCTCTCCTCCAGTGTTTCTTCTGCTTGTCTCTGAAAAATAACTACAGTGGAGTCCCCGTACATATATTGTTCATTTAGATTGTTCTATTGTGAAATTCTTCTTCTTTCTTTTATTTCTTATTGGTTTATAGGAGTTCTTTACATATTTTTGCCGTGAGCCTTTTATCCATTATTTGGGCTGCAATTATCTTCTTCATGCCATGAGTTTGCCTTTTTCACTCTGTGAGGTAGCCAGTCTCCTAGCTGGCCTTCAGCGGCTCTCCCCTTCTGTGTTTTGCTTTTACTTAGTCCCCTCTGATGACAGAAGGCTTCTTTCTGGGACCAGTAGAATATGGTGGAAATGAGCATGTCATTTTTGAGATTAGATCAGGAAAGACATTGCGGCCTTTATGTGCTTGCTCTGGGGAAGCCACTATGCTGTGAGGTGACTCAGGTGGCCCTTTGCAGAGGCTCCTTGGAAGGGAATGAAGCTTCCTGCCCCGCCGGCAGCACCAGTGAGCACGGGCAGCAGACCTTCATGATCACATCTAACGACAACCTCACAACTATCCTAAACTCAGACCACCCAGTCCAGCCACTGAATCGCTGAGCCACAGAATAATATGTAATCAGGACAGAATAAATTGCTACTGATGATTTAAGCCACTATGGTTTTTGAAACAACATTTTGTGTTAAAATAGATAAACACATTTTTAGAAGGAATTTTTCCATTTAAATAAAAGCTCTCATTCTTTTTTTTAAGATATATTTATTTTTATTACAAAGTCAGATATACAGAGAGCTGGAGAGATAGAGAGGAAGATCTTCTGTCTGATGATTTACTCCCCAAGTGAGCGCAACGGCCAGTGCTGTGCCAATCCAAAGCCAGGAGCCAGGAACTTCCTCCAGGTCTCCCACATGGGTGCAGGGTCCCAAAGCATTGGGCTTTGTCCTCGACTGTTTTCCCAGGCCACAAGCAGGGAGCTGGATGGGAAGTGGAGCTGCCAGGATTAGAACCTGTGCTCATATGGGATCCCAGCACGTTCAAGGCAAGCACTTTAGCCACTATGCTAGGCCACACGACTGGGCCCGAGCTCTCACTCTTAATGTGGTCCAATGTATCTTTCTGTTTATTATTGATGTGTTTGTTTTTCTATCCCTAAATCGTGCAGCAGTCCTTTTAGGTTACTTTCTAAAAGATTTATAGTTTTTCATTTTGTATTTAGACCTAGAACTTATGCTTATGTAATTTATTCATGAGTGTTTTTCCTTTTTTTTCCATATAGGAACATGTTTCCACAAACAGAACTTGTTAAATAAGACCATTCTTTCCCTCACTGCTTGGCAACAGCGTTTTTCTTGAACAGCAGTCATATATATATGTATTTGGGGATCTTTTTGTTCTGTCCTGTAAATGTCTTGGTGTGTTGCACCACAATCCCTGCATCATAACTGCCTTTTTAAATATTCTTTTAGGGCCTGAAACGATAGCATAGTGGTTAAGGTCCTTGCCTTGCACGCGCCGGGATCTATATGATCGCCAGTTCTAATCCCGGCGGCCCTGCTTCCCTTCCAGCTCCCTGCTTGTGGCCTGGGAAAGCAGGCGAGGACAGCCCAAATCCTTGGGACCCTGCGCCCTTGTGGGAGACCCGGAAGAGCTCCTGAGTTAGTGAGCAGTGTTATCTATTTGGCTATGTTAATTATGTTATTCATTCTACATTGGATTTATTTTAAACTGTTGCTTCTATCAGTGAATATGAGCTATATTTCTATCAATTCTTTCATTATACTTTCTGAGGTCATGTTGGGAGGCGTGTGTAGACTTAGGGTTTTGATACCTTCCTGTAATATTAAGGTAGAGTGACCCCTTTATCATTAAGAAGTGACTATCTTTATCGCTCCTAATCCTCTTTGACACAACATCTATTTCTGCCTCAGCTTAATACAGTTAAACTGTTTTCTTTTGATTGACAAGTTCATGATGTACCTTTTACAGTCTTTCACTTGCCCTCTCTATATGCTTATCTTTCAGATGAGTCATCCAAAAACAGAATATATGATATTTCATCATATATAGGAAGTAATCATTTCTGATGGATCATTTTGGTGTGCCTGAGAAAGCTAGAATGTTGTCAGTTTATCTGTAATGCAATGCTTTTAAAATCACTTTTAATTTTTACTTTATTCATATCATTACACTTTCAGCACTTGCTTACAGATTACTATCATATATTGCCCTTTCCCCTGTCTTTTTGTGCCACTTCAGACAACTTTTTTATTTCAGTGTTGCTTCATTGCACAATCTCTTTAAATGACTTTGTGTAGCAGTTAAATTCAATGTGGGTAGCATCCAGCAATGGTTGCTCAACATTATTAACTGAAGTTACAACATAGATGGTTATGATCAAGTCCATACTTAGGCAAACAAGGACAACTACATCACAACTGCCTGACAGCTGACAGCTGTTGTACAATGTGATGGATTCCATTTAAGAAATGTCCAAAACCAGTAAATTCTACATCTTAGAATCAACAAAATGTGATAGAACTCCTTATCCATGCTGGCAATCTTTGTCATTTAAGTAGAACAGCTTGTTGATTTATAGTTAAAGAAACTTGATGTATTTGGAGTTGAATATCTTAATGTGTACCTTGTATTTTCCCCTAACTTCTCTGTGTTAATTTTTATTTCTTAAATTTATTTGTTTTTATTTAAAAGGCAGAGAGAATGTGGAAGATGCAGAGATATCTGCTTCATTTCCCAGATGATTTCCCCAACTGGTACTTGTACAGGCTAAAGTCTGGAGCCTGGAAGTCAATTCAAGCTTCCTCCATGGCAGGCAGGGACCCAAGTAGTTGAGCCATAACCTGGTATTTCCAAGAATGCACAATAACAGGGATCCAGAATCAGAAGCAGAGCCAGGACTTGAACCCAGGCCCCATAATAAGGAGTGTGGGCCTCAAGTGAGACGCTCCAAATGCCTGCCTCTGCTCTATGTTCTAAGATTTTGCTTTGTCTTGTTTAGGCCTGAATTAGTCACTTGCTTACTATTTAATTTTCCTCCTCTGTGCTGTGCTAACAAGATCATGAAGCCAAGCAGTGTGAATAGCCAATGTCAACTGACGGTTGGTGGGTGTGGTTGGGGATAGAATGTATAGATTGTAATCAGGCAGTGCCCCAAAATGATGGCTGTCATGTCAGAGTGGACTGACCCCTTTATCATGAGGAAATGTCTAGTTTTATTTCTACTACTGCTTTTTGGTATGCTGTGACTGCCTTTAAGGAAGCCCCTCCTTCTGGGTCCAAGGTCAGATTGTACTTTTCAACTGCTAGAAGTAAACCTTGGCCAAGTGACTGGCTTTGGACAATGCAACTGAGGGTAAGTGATGCATGTTACCTCCAGATGGACTGTTTTTAAGAGCCATTGTGTGTTCTCTTCTCCCTGGCGAGGTTTGCCAATCTTGCAAGATTCAAAAGGATGGATGCTTTATCAAGGTGTCACTCTTCAGTAGATGCTATATCAGAAAGTACTGCCTGACTACAATCCACATACTCTGTCCCCAGCTACACCCACCAACTGTCAGTTGACACTGAATGAAGTGGTAAAGTAACTGTTGGTCATGCTGCTGAGGCTTCCAGATCATGTTAGCACAGCACAACCTTCGCCTGCCCTGGCTGGCTCAGCAGTTTGCATTAGAAACAATGTGCCCATAACAACAAACTGCACAATAGGGGACATAAATTAAGAACTGGTTGGAAGGCAGCAAGGTGAATGTTGTCCAAGGCTAGTAGAATGTGATACTTGACAGGTAAGGATCAAACCATGACCATGATCAAGACAAGGTAAAGGAATGTCATCAAACCCAGCCCTAGAAACAGACACTAGAACAGTTAAAGAGTAGGCATTGGTTTAAAAAAAAAAAAAAAAGACAAAGAGGAAGCTGGAAAAGAATTCAAGAATCTGTCCTTACACAAGCAGGAATGCAAGGGAACAGAGAGCACCCAGAAAGCTAGACTTAGGGCAACATCTTATATTCAACCAATGAAAGGGAAACCTGAGAACCTGCTTTCTTAAGTGACAGGGGTGTCTTCATGTTGAGTCTCATGACCAGGGTGGAGTCAGTGTCACTGTCCTGCTCACTGTGTGAGGATTAGGGTGACTCACAGTGGATCCCTCCCACTGCAGGAATGGGCTCTGGGACTACAACAGGTGTCTGTTCCTGTCCCCATCCCACCTTCCCCTGACCCACAAGCCAGGGTGCAGCCTCCAGGAGTCTGCTGTTAAGTGAAAAGAGAGCCAGGTCAAATGGAGCTGCCATGTAGTTTATCTGATACATTCAATACATTGAAGGCAGCATCACTTTTAAGAATGGCCCCAACCTCTTCCTTGCCCTGCCCCTGGCCAAAAAAGGAACTCATCCTAGAGTATAGTAAGGTGGTGGACCACTAGTCAGATCTTCAAATGGTTCTTGAATTCCAGCCAGCTGTAAATATTTTCAAGAGAGTTCCTCCCTCTTCTTTTCATCATCCACACTGAAAGAGGATACTAGGAGTTACTTTCTTTGCCAGCTTCCTGCTTTTGCTTTGTCTCCTTCATAGTTCCCTCATTCGATGGCCAAGTCTCATTCTATAGATGTGAAACTGAGGCCCAGGTAGGCTACGTGTCAACACAGGGTCTAGGGCTGGAGCTTAGAGCACCTGACTCTCTTCCAGGCCTGCAGCCTGAGTCTTCCCTTTGGGGACTCTTGCTCTCCCCAGGAGAGCCTCTTCATTCCACACTGCTCCTTCTGCCTCTCACCGAGGGTAGTACAACTCTATTGGGATTGGTCAATGCTGCTCTTGGAATGAGTATTTTGTGCACATAATAATAACACATCAGCAATTCAGCGTACTCTGAGATGACACTTACGGGATCACTTTGATGTCTTCTTTGCCATGCAAGATATAGTCAATGACCTTGTAGAAATTGATCTCCTGACAAAAGAAAAAAAACAACAATGGTATATCAGGAGTAACAAAACCACAACAGGGGTGTGGCCCTGAAACAGTTCTGCTTCTCCACTGTCATCTGACCATCAGCCCCCTCTAAGGGCAGCCACGGCTGCCTCCTGTGCTGACTCCTGGAACTCCTTGGTATCAGCTGGCACCTGTTACAGGGCCCTGGAGATTGATGGCAAAGAGAGAGAAAGACTGCTACCAGGATCCACAGTGAGAGTGAAAAAGAACTGGAGCCGTCCGCCTATTTAGAATCAGGGTTAGCGGTCAGCCCCCATGCAGAACACTGTCCGTAGTCATGGTCCTCTTTCTCCTCCAAGCCTACCACTCAGCTGTTCTTTGCGTTGGGTCACTGCTTACAGGCTTGCCTCCCCAATCCTACTTCATTACTCTAAATGAGTTTTCTGTATTGCCTTAGCCTCTTAGCACCACTCAAACTCCCATTCTCTCAGTCGATTCATCCAATTGCATTGGGATGTTGGCCAGTGGCTCCTTTCCTGAACTCTCCAGGGAAAATTCTGCTACCCTCTGTGGTCCTCTGTACTCCCCAGAATATGTTTCAAAGGGGAACCTAGCAGTAGGAAGAGGAAAAGACTCAAGCACAGTAAGACAGCACCAAGGCCAGAACATGGGGCTTGGCACACAAGGTTAATAGTTTCAGATCATGTCATAGCATCTGTGGCACTATTGCCTAGAACAGGGCTGCTCAAAGCAGGGTCTCGGAGCTAGTGACAGTCTGTAACCTTGTCGTGGCGAGTGAGAAACTAAATCACCAACTCAAAACTTTTAAAAAGCTGAGTTAGGTTAGGTCTGCTGAATCTCATTTAGTAAAAAATAAAAAGGAACGCAAATGTTGTCTGTCTTTACATAATTGATTTTTCTGCAACTGTGCTTTTGTCATATACTGAAAAGTACCAGTCTGAAATGGCTTGGAAGCTTTTTAAAAAATAAACAAAACCCCCAACCCTTCCTTTCTTTCTTCAAGTTGAATTTTATTGGTAATATTATTTACGTAATTGAGAAGGATATATGCCCATCTGGGCTACTGATCAGGGTGGGGAGGGCAGAGGAAGGTAAGTGGGACGAATGTTTCCAATTTTTTCTTCTTTTGCTCTTATATCTGTTGGAGTTGGGAGGGGGAGGGGCTGCTTCTTGCTGTCAAATTATATTAGCCCCCTTGATGTCACCTTAGAAACCCCGATGTGACAACTCTTCCTTTCCTGCAGGTATTTTGAGAGGTACTGCTCAGATACCCGGGCCCCATCCAGTGCCTCCTGACTCAGAAACTCCACAGAGAGGAACTCCTGACAGTTAGGGAGGTCTGAAGCCCACCCCGCAGTCAGACACCCCAGCCTCCTGCAGACACCCCCTGCTTCTCAGAGCCCTGAGCCTTTGGCAGCTGTAGCATCCCCACACTTCAGGAGGAAGCTCTGGCTAAAGGTAGAGCAGGAGCTAGAACTGCATAGCTGGTGGCTGAGGCTGCCCCCCGCCCAACTCCTGGGGAGCGCAACCTCTAGAACAGGAAACATCCGAGAGGGGAGGCAAGATGAATGGAAGGAAGCCAAGACTAATTCAGAGTTTAAAAGACTCCTTGTTATAGTCTTGGTTTGATTATGTGTGCTCTGGACTTCAGCCTCTCCTGACATACATTGAGCCCCTGTGGGCATGTGTGTCCCCAGACAAAGCCTGGCACCTAACTGTGTAAAGCTGCCCTAAGAGATGCAGAGTGGACACAGAGACCCAGCTTCACTCTTAGTCATTGCCTTTCTTCTCTGTCTTTCTCATCAACCCCAGGTCAAGGCGGCAACTGCAGCCCTCTGTGGTTTTTTTTTTTAAGGTTTATTTTATTTTTATTAAAAAGTCAGATATACAGAGAGGAGGAGAGACAGAGAAGATCTTCCATCTGATGATTCACTCCCAAGTGGCTGCAACAGCCAGAGCTCAGCTGATCCGAACTTCCTCCAGGTCTCCCACGTGGACGCAGAGTCCCAAGGCTTTGGGCCGTCCTCGACTGGCTTCCCAGGCCACAAGCAGGGAGCTGGATGGGAAGTGGACCTGCTAGGATTAGAACCGGCACTCATATGGGATCCTGTTGTGTTCAAGGTGAGGACTTTAGCCACTAGGCCAGGGCGCCAGGCCCTGTTCTTTGAATTTTGGTTAAAATTCTGGGTTAAAAGGAATCTGTGGCACTGTTAGGAATTTTCGCCATTATGCAGCAAGTCACTCAGGAGGCTCTTGGTTCTTGACCCTCAGTTCTCCCCGGCTCTTGGCTCCCTCTCTCTTCCTAGAAGCCTTCTCCTGTCACTGTCAGGAGACCTCTCTTTGTCTCTGTCCTCTGCACTCTCTCCCTTCCCACAACCATCTTCCTCTGCCCTCTTTTCTCTTCCTTCCCACTGTCCTCCTCCCTCGCTGGAATAAAGACCTCCTGTCTGACTCACTGTGTATAGTGTCTTGGGTTAATGATATCTTAGTATCTTGGGTTAATGGCAGAAATTCCTAACCAGCACTCTGTTTTTCTGCCTATGCTGGGAACTGGCAGAGCAAGCTGATGTGGCCCATTGGCCCCTCGGTCCCATGGAGAAATGACTGACGTGCCTCAGAATTTTAAAAATATTCTATTGCATGCCTGTCAGTTGTGCATCATTGCAAAGTGGGAAAATCATTAGCCAGCTGGCCTAACTTAAGTCATGAGTTAGGGACTAGCTATACCTGAATGAAATGGATATTTTGCATTTTTCCTTCAGGAGACAATTTAGTCCATGCTCTTGGGAGAGGTGACAAGACATACAGTGAAATGAGAAAAGAAAATACCATCACCATATTGGTTGACAGTGGAACATAGCAACAGTACTTTACAAAGTTCCTGGGGACCATGAACCTAGCTAGCATAGCAGTTAAGATACCAGTTAAGACTCTCGCATCCTATTTAGGACTGACTGTCCAGGTTTGGTATCTAGCTGTGGTGGCTGACTCTACCTTCCCACCAATGCAGACTCCTTGAGGTTGTGGTGCTGGCTCAATTCATTGGCTTCCTGACACTCATAAAGAGGATCCAGATTGAGTCCACAGGGCTAGCTTCCACTTGCTCTAGCACTCACCCTCTGCAGGCATTTGGGGTGTGAACTCATGGATAGAAGCAACTTTGTCTGTCTCCCTGCCTTTCAAAAAGAAGTGTAAATTGCCTGGATAAGCAGAATTGAACGTATTGGTGCAAAAACAACTGAGAAATCCATGCATAGCATTTTTCATAGTATGAATTTTCCACATATTATGAGAAACATGTCTTACGTTAAAGTAAACTCTTGGCTTCAACTCCATGACCTTTCTTAAGTGCCCTCATACTTCTTGAAAATCTGCATATGCATAGGCATTCCTGGAAAGATGGGCTGATAACACCCAGCAGGGAAGGTGTGGCTTCCATGCTCCTGTAAAAATCATTACTTATGAGGTTTTCCAATAAACGTGAATGAATTTTCTCAAAACACATTTCTGGCTCCTCACAGTATGTATGCCCTGTAAGCAGTTCTGTAAAGCAAAGATGGCTGCATTATCTTCTGGGACTTCGGCTGGAAGGGGCAGACATGGTGTTCCAGGACCAGGACTGTTCTGATTTTTTTTTTCTTTTTTGTTAGTCTTTCCTAAAGCCCAGCTGTCCTGTGTTGCTGCTAGGTTGCACACCCAAGCACACCTGGGGCTCCCTGGACCTGGCAGGCTGCCCTAGCCAGGAGGTGCCAGACCATAAGGCTCTTTAGAAAAGTCAGAAACAGACATTTTGCAAAGCCTACAGGAGGATCCATTTGCTTTCACAAAATGTAACAAAAAAGTCAGTGTGTTTTCATGAGTTGGGTTTTTCCGTCCCTGTTGCTTAGCCAGCAGGCCCACAAGGCCGCGTTCATGTGTGTGCTCAGGAGCCTCTGAAAGTCAAAGCCGAGTCATCAAGATCACCTCTGTTAGCTTCTGCAGAGCCACCAACTTGGGAACACAAGGGGCTTTGAAGGCGCTACTGCCTCAGCCACGTCATGGTCCATGGAAACTTACCAGGCTGAAAACGTGAACACCACTTTTTGTTGTTTTTCTCCAGGAAGCCTAATTGGCCTGTATAACTTTTTAAAACTTAAAACACTTCCTACACACACAACTTTTTAAAAATTAAACCATATGCACACACTATTTCATTTTTAAAAGGAAAGGGAGGAAGATGTAGTGGCTGTCAGAGAGGCTCATGGGTTAGAATGCAGACAAAAGCTGTATTTCTACCAAGAACATGGCAGGTATAGAGCCAGAGTCCTGCTAGGAGGCCAAAGTGAGCGTCCAAGGCGTGGTTTAAGGACTGAGGGAGAAGTGCCCTGTGTTTGAATGCATGGCCTCTCTGACTGTTCTCAACTGTCTAGCAGGGACAGTGGGGACATGTGCTGGGTGAACTTGCTGAGAAGAGGAAGTGACATAATCCAGGCAGAGTAGCTGGCAGACAGTGAGGGTCAAGCCAGCTAGCTATGACTGCATGTTGAAGTACCAATTGTGTGTCATGCTGGGATTCCCTTTAGTTACTACAGACCAGATAGGTCTGTTTGATCACACCAGTTTACCAGCTAGAGAAAGTGAGACCAGCCAGATACAGAGCTCTGATTGTCTCTCTCCAAGCCCACTCTCCTTTTTTTTTTTTAAAGATATATTTATTTTTATTACAAAGTCAGATATACAGAGAGGAGGAGAGAGAGAGAGGAAGATCTTCCATCTGATGATTCACTCCTCAAGTGAGCGCAACAGCCAGTGCTGTGCCGATCCGAAGCCAGGAGCTAGGAACTTCCTCTAGGTCTCCCACACTGGTGCAGGATGGCACAGCATTGGACTGTCCTAAACTGCTTTCCCAGGCCACAAGCAGGGAGCTGGATGGGAAGGGGGCCTCCAGGATTAGAACAGGCACCCATATGGGATCCAGGGGCACCCTCAAGGCAAGGACTTTAGCCACTGGGCCACGCTGCCAGGCCCCCAAGTACATTCTTTCAGAAGATCCACTTCTGGCCAATCATGTCATGCTCTGGATACTTGTCTCCCCTGCTCTGCCTTGGTAGTGAAGAACATAGCCCATGCTATCTGTTACTTTCTTCAATTAACAGCCTCTACTGATTCTGTATCCAAAACCTTCAGTTGCATCTTCAGCTCCAGAACGGTGCTTACCTGTGTCTGATAAATTTCATCAGAATAGCATCCTATCAATTTCTTACTGTGAATGAATTCCATGTTGGAAATAGCTTCAGTAGACATAACAATAGATTTTTCATCACTATAGAATTTATCAGCTGATCTTAAAGCTTTTGACTTCAGTCTCTGATCAACAAAGCAGATTCGTGTAGTTTAAGGTTAGCTGATTCTGCTAAAGTGGCACATTTCGCATTCACTTTTTCATCAGAAATAAACAGTTAATGCCACTTTTTCACTCCTAAATGGGCAAAATACAAAACAGATTGACTCTTCTACTGTGTTGCTTTGGCAGACTCACATGGAATTGGGGCAGGACTTCTCCGCAGAGTGCGTCTAAAAGGAAACAAGTGCCATCTCCTACAATGACCCAGACTTGGTGTCATCCAGAAACAGTGCTGGGTTCAGGTGTGGTTAAGACGTCACTTTGCATGCCCGCACCCTAGGTCAGAGTGTCCAGGTTCCAGTCTAAGTTGATAATGTGCACCCTGGGAAGCAGTTGTTACTTGGATTTCTGCCACCTGTGGGAAGATCTGGGTTGAACTCTTGGCTCCTGGCTATGGCCTGGCCCAGCCTTGGCTTTCTGGACATTTGGAGAGTGAGCCAGCAGGTGAAAGATCTCCCCTGCTCCCTCTTCCTTGCCCCTCTTAACATCATTCCTTTTTTTTTTTTTTTTTTTAGATTTTAAACAGTGAGGGTGGGTCTTGCCACACAAAGACACTGACGTATTAATTGGTTTAAGAGATTAAGGTCAATGTTGACTTTGTTTCCTTTCTTCCTCCTGTTGTAGTTGTTTCACAGCAAACAGACCTTTCAGAGGTTCTTTGTTATAAAGTTTGAGTCTTTACTGGTAGATGTAGTGGCTTCCGGGACGGAACTGTGGTTCGCTTGGAATTGACCTCGGATGTAGCTCCAGATTCACTTGCTGACATTGTAGCCCCTGATGAAATCTTGTCTTTGGGAGGAATGCTCACTGATGTGTTCCTGGTGCCCTTTTCATGGACCACCTCCAAGCTCTTGTGACCTTGCTGATCTTCCTGATAGACCCCTTTCCTGTCAGGGGCACAGAGTTTGGTCACTAACTCCCCACCTCTTCCTCTCCAAGGGCTGTGTTTCGGAGGGCATCAGCTGGGACTCCCACATCCACACGGGCACCCACACCAGGCCCTTTGTTTGGGGCAGGTTAGGATTCTCCTGGGAGAGACTGATACATCATCTCACCTGGGCAAGAAGGTGTGACAGGAAGAGCCCTCCGAGTGGATCCGGGCATGGCCCTCCTGCTCGCTTATCCTGTGAGCCTCAGCCATGGCCTTTCTGTCACCACACAGGCTCCACAGGCTGGGTGGGGGCCGCAGCTGTTCAGCCCACTTTGTGGCTGCATCCTGTCACCCAGCATCTCCAGAAACAGGGTATCTCCTGTTCACTGCCATACAATGCCAGAAGACCAAAGATCCACCACTCACAGGGACCTCTGTGAGCAGGGCAGTTGCTCCTCACGTCAAGACGTGGGGATGGGAACAGGTGAGAGTATTCAGCCCGCGTTGCAAGGAAGCAGCAAATGTGCAGCTCCAGTGCAACCTACCCTGAAGAACTGTTGTTTCAGTTTCAACTGCTCCTTCCCCATTTTCAAAAGGGCCTAAGAAACTAAGAGTCTATGGGAGATAATTTGATTAGTAAGGCTTAGGCACCAATTCATATTTTTAAAAGTACAAACAAAAAATGTTTCAGATGGATATAACGCAAGCATGCTTATTCCCTGGAATTGGCCCTCTGGCTCCCTCCTTCTAGATAAGATATGAACTTTCCTCCCGGAGCTGATAATCCAAAATCCTAAATTCCTGCTTGGTGAGTCCTTGAATGGGAGGCCTGTCCTTTCTGACATGCTTTTCTCATCTGTGAAGTGGGTGGTTGATTCCTTCATGGTCTGCCCCACAAGTCACTGAAACCCCTTGCAAGAAGGTTGGCTTGACAGATGTGGCACATTAGGATACTTTCAGGAGCTCACCTAACCCAAAGATGAATACCTGTGCAGTAAAGCCCCGATCTTCAATGGGACCACCATGTCTTGCATTTGGATTCCCTTGAAGATTTGCTCATACTGCAAGTTCCCAAGGAGAGATCTTACCCTTCCATCCGGAGTCCTGGGACCAGAGTAAGGTGGAACCTCGCCCATCAGAACTGGCCACACATCAAAAAACTCCTAAGAGAGAAGAAAACGGTAACGACATGTTTTCACAACAAATCAAAGAGGGGAGATGAAGAATTATTGCTGAGCTGAGTCACTAGTCCCTGAAGCCTGTAAGGTGGGCAGAGCTCCCTGGGGGACGCAGCGTTGGAAGGATGCTGAAACTTGCCAGAACTAGAGGATAACCACGCCTGCCTCGTACACACAGTGAAGGAGCAAACCTGTCCCATCATTCCCTAAAAGCTTTAGGGCTGAGTTGGGACACCCTCATTGCTATGGGATTTGAGAGAGAAAGTAGACTGTCAGGACTTACCAGTTTATTTTGACAGGCTAAACAGGTGATCAAAGACTTACCTAAAATAATGCCCCTTGCAGTATTACTTATAATAGTGAAAAGTTAGAAATTATCTAAGTGCCCAACAAGAGGGAACTTACACTAACTCAATTGTGGCACATGTATTAACAGTGATGTAACAGATGCATGAGTGTTGCTTAACAGGCATCCATGATAAACTGATGAGTGAAAAATGTAAGATGTCAAAAAAGTCATCTGACCCTCACTGTTAAATTTGTATTAAAAATGTTCAGGAAAAATGCAGAGCTAAACGCTAGCAACTAATTTTATGTCAGTGATTGGGACTAGACGGAAACTTAATTGTGTTTTTTAAAGATTCGTTTAAGTGTAAGACAGGGTTACAGAGAGAAACAGAAAGAGAGGAGAGAAAGAGAAAGTTCCTCACCTGTTTGTTTACTTCGAAAATGGCCACAATGGTCAGGGATGCCAGCATCCCAGTCAGTGTCTTAATATACTCTCATAACACCAGCCATTAGATGTGTTTTTCATAATAAACTTACTTGCAAGAACATACAGTAGTGCCAAATATGAACACCTTATCTGAGAGCCAACAGGAAGTACTAACACCTGTAAGTCTATCAGTTATGAAAACAACAGAAGCGGAGGCCGCCAGCCTGCAGCTGCCTCAGTTCTTGGAGCATCTGTGCAAGGGAGCAATTTGAGATCACAAATGAAAAACCTGCAAGCTCACTTCATATGTGAACAAAACCACAATCTACTTTAGGAGTTGTTGTCACAGATAGCAAAGTTCAGCAAAGTTTCAGCCAATCACAAGAGCCACCTGATCAGACCATGACCATATAAGGAGCTGGAGCCCATCAAGTGTCTTCTGTGGCAGTTCCCTGCCCACCCTGTGGGACACAGCACTTTGAGCCTCTTCCAGGCCTCAGTGCTGCCCTATTCAGTTTCTCAAAATTGAGAATTTTGTGTTCTAATGTTTTGATCTTTTAAACAAATTTATTGTTATTAGAAAGCCAGATATACAGAGAGGAGAGACAGAGAAGATCTTCCATCCAATGATTCACTTCCCAAGCGGCCACAACAGGCGGAGCCACTTCTGGATCTCCAACACAGGTGCAGGGTCCCAAGGCTTTGGGCCGTCCTCAACTGCCTTCCCAGGCCACAAGCAAGGAGCTGGATGGGAAGCAGGGCTGCTAGGATTAGAACCAGCACCTATATGGGATCCTGGTGCATGCAAGGCAAGGACTGTAGCCACTAGGCTAGCACTCTGGGTCCCTAACATTTTGATTTTTTTTTTAAGATTTATTTATTTTTATTGCAAAGTCAGATATACAGAGAGTAGGAGACACAGAGAGGAAGATCTTCCATCAGATGATTCAGTGAGTGCAATGGCCAGTTCAGCGCCAGTCCGAAGCCAGGAGCCAGGGACCTCCCCCAGGTCTCCCACATGGCTTCAGGAACCCCAGGCATTGGGCCATCCTTGATTGCTTTCCCAGGCCACAAGCAGGGAACTGGATGGAAAGTGGAACCATTGGGATTAGAACTGGCACCTGTATGGGATCCTGGTGCATTCAAAGCGAGGACTTTAGCCACTAGGCCACCGTGCCGGGCCCAACATCTTAATTTTAACAGAAGATACCCAAGGACCTCTGGAGGAAACACACAGCCGCACAGACCCAGGAGAAGAAGCCGCTGAGGCCTTGGCCAGGCACCTTCTGCAAAGGTTTGCTTTGCACACAGAGCTGCTCAACTAGTTTTGGGCCGAGGCCAGGTTAGGCAGATGCGGCCTCCAACCTCCAGGGCCCTCTCTGTTCACTCATCTGCTAATATTTAGGAACAAACAGTAATCCTGAGCCATGGTTTACTGAGAATAGGAAGCCAAGCCCTTTTGCTCCTGTTTCCTTACCTCTCATTTGTTTGAACATGTCTATCCTGGTACTTCGCTCATTCTTATATCATCTGGAAGACAAACAGAAGAGATTCCATGTGCTCTATGAGACTCCTGCCCTATTGGGCTCATTGTTGAGACTCATGACAACAGGAAAAGTTCTGTTGTTAGGTAAAAGTATGAATGGTGGCCTCCCTAAGCCCTGTTTGCTGTTTGTTACCAACATGTAAAAGTGAATAAGACACTTAAAAAACTTAATGTTTTATCAAGGGGATGGTCAAAGACACAGGTGCAAAAGTGAGCTATTTGAGCAACAGCCAAAACAGCAAAGGAGGGCCCCGGCATGGTGGCCTAGTGGATAAATTTCTTGCCTTGAATGCACCAGGATCCCATATGGGTGCCAGTTCTCATCCCATTGGTTTCACTTCCCATCCAGCTCCCTGCTTGTGGCCTGGGAAAGCAGTTGAGGATGGCCCAAAGCCTTGAGATCCTGTACCCACATGGGAGATCTGGAGGAAGTTCCTGGTTCCTGGCTTCGGATTAGTGCAACAGCAGCCGTTGTGGTCACTTAGGGAGTGAATTATCGGACAGAATTTCCTCTCTGTGTCTCTTCTCTGTATATCTGACTTTGCAATAAAAATAAATAAATCTTTAAAAAAAAAATACAGTAGAGGAAGGAATGTGTGAATGCCACAGGAGCCCAGAAAAATGTGTATCCTCGTCTAGTAATTTGCGTGGCTATGCACTGAGTGAATCCGAAGCTTGTGCCGAGGTGGAGAGATATTATCAAAGGAGAAGTTGGATGGAGAGTGGTGGCCTGTCTGTGATTTCTCCCTCTGTCTTTCCTCCTCCTGCTTTCTTTTTTTCAATTTTTAAATTAGATTATCTTTGAAAGATAGCTAGATGGTTCACTGCCCAGATGCTTATAACACCTAGGGTAGGGCCAGACTGAAGCCAGGAGCCCAGAACTCAGTGCTGGTCCTGTGCATGGATGGAAGGGACCCAAGTGCTAAGCCATCAGCTGCTGCCCCCCAGGACACAGTAACAGGAAGCTGGAATCAGAAGGCAAGTGAAGGGCCCGGTGCAGTGGCCTAGTGGCTAAAGTCCTCACCTTGAGTGTGCTGGGATCCCATATGGGTGCAGGTTCTAATCCCGGCAGCTCCGCTTCCCATCCAGCTCCCTGCTTGTGGCCTGGGAAAGCAGTCGAGGACGGCCCAAAGCCTTGGGACCCTGCACCCGTGTGGGAGACCCGGAAGAGGTTCCTGGCTTCTGGCTTTGGATCGGCATAGCACCGGCCGTTGCGCTCACTTAGGGAGTGAATCATTGGACAGAAGATCTTCCTCTCTGTCTCCTTCTCCTCTCTGTATATCTGACTTTCCAATAAATAAATAAATCTTAAAAAAAAAAAAAGAAGAAGAAGGCAAGTGAGGACTCAAGGCCAGGCACCCCAATAAGCAGTGGGGGCTCCCTAGCAGCCTTCCCCCTTCCTCCTGCTCTTCCTGGCTTTACTGAAGGTGTTTGCTTCAGCCACAGAAAACTGTGACAAGACCTCATACAGTTCCTCCACTTAAAGAGCACAAACCAAAGGTTTTCAAGAACCTTTCCACAGGGTCAGAAACTCAGGTCAAAGTTTACCTATGTGGGGACAGGTTTGTTGCCTGACTACAGGCAGCCTAGTGCACTTCTGACTGCTAAACTGTTTGATCTTAGGAGATGATGGAATAACTCGGAAAACTCATGTTTGCACGAGGTCTTCCTTTTTGACAGGTAGTTCAAAAGAACTGGAGGACAGAACTACATGACAAAGTGACCTGAGGTTATAGCAAGTTCAGTACCTTGGAATGGGATCTTTTCAATCTCAACACTCAGAAATGCTTTTGATTGAAAAGGAATCTTTTATTCACATGAGTTCGTTCCATTGCAACTTCATAAGCGAAAAGTAAAGGGCATATTGCTAGGATTGGCAATTTTGATATGATACTTAGAATCAAGAATATGCAAAAATTAGGTCTGGTGCAGTAGGGTAAGCTACTATCCACGATATTAACATCCCATGTGAGCATCCCATGGTTCAAGACATGGCTGTTCCATATCTGATCAGCTCCTGGCAAATGTACCTGGGAAAGAGGAAAATGGCCCACTGCAATCCATGTGGGAGACCCAGAGTCCTAAGCTGCTGGCTTGACCTGGCTGAACCCTGGCAGTCGCAGTCATTTGGGGAATGAGCCAGTGGCTAGAAAACTCAATCATTCTCTGTCTCTTTCTCTCTCCCTTTCTTTCTCCCTTCCTCTCTCCCTTCCTCTCTCCCTCTTTACCTCCCCCTCACTCCCTCTTTTTCTGTAAATCTGCTTTTCAAATAAATAAATAGATCTTTTTAAAAAGATTATGCAAAAATCCACCTGAATGATTACCCTAGAATCCAAGGTTCCTTAAAATCACTGTACAGCTCAACTGCACTAGAATCACTCGGGAGGCCATCTTCAAGGCAAAGTTCAGAAAAATAAGTCCCAATGTATTTGAAAATCTAGTATGTGAGAAATTGTCTTACCAGAATGATGGTGTTGAAAATAATGAGTAATGGGTAGACTATTCTTTTGTAATTACATGTTCTATCTCTGAGCTGTACCCCTTCTTGGGTAGATTATCTTTTTTAAAAAAATATTTCTTTATTTTTATGTGAAAGGCAGAATTATAGAAAGAAGAGGAGACAGAGATTTTCCATCCACTGGTTACTCCCCAGCTGGTTGCAACAGCCAGAGCTAAATCCATCAGAAGCCAGGAGCCAGGGGCTTCTTCTGGGTCTCCCACATGAGTGCAGGAGCCCAAGATTTGGGCTGTCCTCTGCTGCTTTCCCAGGCCATAAGCAGGAAGCTGGATTGGATGTGTAGCAGCAGGGACTAGAATCAGCACCCATCTGGGATCCCGGCACTGCAGAGAGATTAGCCTGTTGGACCACTGTGCCAGCCAATGGGTAGACTATTCTTTAAGTTAAGTTGAGAAATATAATGGGTAGGGGGTGGAAGCAAAGTTTATCTCCAAATCATAATATATACATTTTAAAATTTCCAAATAAATAAGGATGGATATCTGGCATGGTGGTTGAGGTTTCCATACCCCATATCCTTGTTCCCCAGCTTCTAATCTAGCTCCTGGCTAAAGCACACGTCTGGCGGCAGGAAGTGATAGCCAATGACTGGGAACCCTTCCACATGGGGGACACAGGCTGAGGCCCAGGTCCCTGGCTTCTATGTGGCCCAGCCCTAACTGTTACAAGCATTGGAGCCATTAAACAGCAGATGGAAAATTTATCTCTCTCTGTCTTTTAAATGGAAGATTCAATATATTATATTTAGCAAAACCATAAAATACCAAAAGAGAACATTATTTCAGATGATCCTTATAATATTAGGTATAGGAAAATATTTACTAAGTAAAATCCTGAACTCAGAAGCTATAAAAGCTATTTTAAATCTTACGTATAATAAAAGATATCATAAACAAAGTTAAAATATAACCCAGAGACAGGAGGAAAATGTTTGCAGCATGCTTTACAGATATATAATCTGCTTTCTATATGAAGCACTGCTATACGTTGACAAGAAATAGAAAATTGCATTTTGAAGATAGATATACATTTGGGAACCACATGAAGCAAGTAAAGTTCATAAACATAAAATGTTTACACAACCCCGTGGATAATCAGTAGAAATACAATTGGAAAGAAAAGATATTACTTTGCTGTTTGCATAGGAAATTTTTTCAAAACACTGATATTTAAAATATTGGTAAAAGCTTTAGGGAATGGAACACTCAAAAATCAAAATTCTGGGAAAAACCAGAGTAATTTTACCCCAACTCAATTTCATAGATATTCTCACTTGAGTATGTAAATATTCAATCCCAAGGCTGTTTAATGTAGCAGTATCTTTAGTTGCCCAAGTATCTAAAAAATGATTTTAACACACAGCTATACGGGAAAGGATAAATTAATTATAGTATATTAATAAAACTTAATTAAAGACATAGGTACTTAGCCTAGTAAAGACACCGTGTCCCACAATATAGTCCCTGATTCCAGCTCCTGACTCCAGGTCCTACCAATTCAGACCTTGAGGAACAGTGTGATGGCTCAAGTGATTGAGTTCCTGCCAGCCAGGTGGCAGGCCTGGAGTATATTCCTGGCTCCCAGTCCCCACCCTGGCAGAGTCTTGGCAATTGAAGGCAGTCAGATGACCCAATGGATGGGAGTGTGCACTCTCTCTCGCTCACTCTCTCAATCTCTCTCCCTCTCCCTTTCAAATATATAAATATTAGAAGTGTTTTATGAAAGAATGAGATAAACCCACATGAACTACAGAACAAAGAGGATTTTCCACTTCTGTTAATGGTGATTTACTTGTTTCAGACAAATCCTCCAACTAAAATAATTATAAAATTTGGACAGTGTATACCCGAACATACATACATACATAGTACATATGTATATATGTATGTGTATAAATATATATATATAAGACATTTACTTGGAGAAATCATGAAACTGACAAGGCACAAGGACTTAGTGTACCAAAATCTCAGGAAAGAGGGAAAATCTGGAACTATTAGCCAGACATCAAGTTCTGCTTTTCCTTTTGACCCACTGGCTGACAGCCGAGATGCTGTTGATGAGCTAAGAAGCTGAACAAAGCATACAGAAAACTCAGTGGGCAAGCAGGACACAACTAGACTTCAGAATCTGTAAGGATGGGGGTCCTTGAAAAGACGCCAGGCAGAGATGTAGAAGTGGCAGTGAACCCCAGGAGGACCCCTCTCCACAAAGTGTGCCGACCAGCTTTCAGATCAGCTCCATCTCTGATGGGCTCAAGTAATCTGCCTTTACACTAGTAACTGGCCAGGAGTAAAGTCATCTTTTCTGTTGTGGAAAATGACCAGCCCAGTGAGGCATAAACAGGTAAACTAAGAGCAATGGGAGAGGTGGTGTGGCAAAGTGTCATGGAAAAACAGCACTGGGGACTACACTGAACTCTGCCTCCTCAGCTGCCATACCTACTCAACACCTGGCCCCCAACGAGCCTGATCCAGTTAACTGCTTCAACGGTCCTGGGAAGCCTTGGGCAAACCAACTGTAGGGAAAGCGTTCAATACATGTTCTGAGAATTCCTGAGTTGGAAACTTTCTCTGCACTTTCCCGTTACCTAGACATTGCTTTTTGAAAAGGATTGATTTTATTTATTTGAAAGGCAGATTTACAGAGATAGAGGGAGAAACAGAGGGAGAGTGAGTGAGAGAGATTTTTCATCCACTGATTCACTCCTCAGATGGCTGCAATGACAAGAGCAGTGTCAGTCTGAGACCAGGAGCCAGGAGCTTCTTCCGTGTCTTCCACATGGGTGCAGGAGCCTACACTCTTGAGCCATCCTCCACTGCTCTCTCAGATGCATTAGCAGGAAGCTGGATGGGGAAATGGAGCAGTTGGGACTCAAACCAGCATCTATAACACCTTGTAGGTGGTGACTTAACTTGCTATGCCACTGAAGATCCCCTAAAACTTCTTCACTACCTACCACTGCCTGTTCATTATCCTTATTCTCTCTTGTGCTCATTTTTCCAATGAACTGGGGAATACACAAATGGGTTTGGCTCACCTGTGCCCTGGACTGACTTTCATGCCTGGTGTTGCTCTGCTAGTGTAGACGTGGCTGAAGTACCTGTGGCCATCCAGATTCAACCTGCCTTTGCCCTGCCTCTGACAACTCCAGACAGGATTCTGGGGTCCAGTCGGTGTCAGGTGAAACCTTTCTTGGCAGTGTCTGCCCCCGCCAGTTTTCTTACCTTCTGTTTGGTCATGTCCAATAGCCCCACGGAGTATCTGTCACAGTTGAGGAAGGCACGCACTGTGTACAGGGCTTTGTGGAACTGTCTCTCGATATCTGTAAGTTCTTCAAAGACCTTGCTCCCAGACCACAGCAGTATCTGAAGAAATAGGGGGAAAAAACCTTCAAAACTTCTGAGGCACAAAGCAGCAGCCCACTTAGCTGGGGAATTTTGACAATTCTGTAAGATTCTCTCAAGTTTAACTCCATGAATCCTCCCAATGACCTAGAGAAATAGGATAATTGGCATGGGTTGTTCATAAAATAATAGACACTAATTGAGTACAAGTGCTGTCTCACTAGATGATCTCATTTACCATTGGTAACGTCTTTTGAGAGAAGCATGATAATTATCCCCATTTTTTCAAATGAAAACACAAATTTAGAGAGATTAAAAGTGACTTGTTCAGGGTCGTAGAGCTAGAACGTGGCTGGCCAGGGGCTCAAAAAGCCAAGCTGCCTTGAGAATCTACATACCCTGATGCCCACTGTTACATCCCATAACACTAGTGGTGCTGGCCAGAGACCGTTCAGGGTCTCCCTGGCACCTTCATGACCCCTTGCCCTGCCAGCACTGCTCTCATCATTGCTTTAATGAAAGGAAATGTCCAGTGCATCCCTTAACGTCAAGCGCTTACCTGGCCACGTCGAGTCTCGCAGTTGTGCAGGTAACTCAGGTGAAACACCTTCATAATTAGATTTGCAAAGTTGAGGTATTTGAGAAGAATCTAGAAATCACACAGCATAAAGGGAAGAAGTTTAGAAGGAAAAACTCCTCTTCTGGCCACTTCTATCATCAGCAAACATGAATATTTTAGAAGCTTTCTCACAAACATTTGGGCAGAGTTGTAGGCTCAAAGTGTTTGAGTGTAAAATACATAGAATGTAGGATGTTGATAGTGTGTTAATGAAAAAAAAAACAATCACTTATTAAATTTGATGTCCCTCTGGGAAGTCATTTATGTATGCTATCATATCATCACATGTATCATATTATATAGGTGTTTTACAGTCATTCCTATTTTACAAAGAAGAAAATAGGTTTTGAAAGCAACTTGCCCAAGTCAAACAACTGGATATTGACAGGGTTAGAGCAAGAATTCCTCCACTCCTGACTTTAGAGGTCAGTCTACTAACCATTATCCTGCCTAAGCTCCATCAGACTTAGTGTTGGGGAACCTGAGGCCAGGCCAAATAACAAGGGTCCAAAGACTGGACAAAAAAGGAAAATGTGCAAGCAATTTCTGCAGTGTCTTTACCTCTTCGTCTTTCCTGGTGAAGTGCGTTCCATCCACTTTATTCACGGCCATGATGACAGCCACAACATCCTTCCCATTCATTATAGGGGAGGCCAGGATGTTCTTGGTCTGGTACTCCGTGAGGTTATCCACAAAGTCACAGAAATGTTCATCCTGAAGGGAGTCAGAGACAAGCATGGGAGGAACATGAGGAGCCAGGATGACAAAACAATCCAGAACCCTTACTGGCAAGGGAATGAAGACATTCCCAGCTCCAGTCCTTTAGTGGAAGCAGAACCCCCGAAACCCAGGAAAAGAAGATGGCCTGAGCTGTACCCACTAACAGCAGTGGACAAGGAGTGAGCGACAGGAGGGTGTCATCGGGGAACGTTTAGAGAAGTTTTCTGAAAGAAGCTTAACAATTAGCCCCAGATGGAAAGTCAAATGAGAGCTGCAAGGGAGTTGGGAAAATACCTGAGTGCATGTCACAGTGACAACTGCTAGCCTCACCTGCATACCCTCCCCTTAGTGCCCCACCGCCCCCAGCCTAGGAGATGAGTGCCAATAGTAGCTCATCTTAGAGGGAAAACGGTAACTCAAGACAGTTTGTGTTGCACGTGTGTATGAGTTTAGAATCTGCCTCAAGTCTGCTGCTGCTCAGAGAAGACTGTACAAGGTTAGATTGGGGTCCAGGTCATTGGACGAAAGATTTTTTATTTTCAGTTTTTCTGACCCTCCAGTCCTAGTATCATGCAGCCAGTACAATGGATTTTTCCATAGTCCATAAATCTTTTTGCTATATTTTCATTATACTTTAAAGGTAGAGAAAAACACAAAGATACAAGGAGATCTCTCCTTCTCAAGTTTATTCAAATGCCTACAACAGCTAGACCTAGGCCAGGCCAAAGCCAAGAGCTAGGAATTTGATCCAGGTTTCCCACTGAGTGGCCAGGACTCAACAATCTGAACCATTCCGTACTACCTTTCAGAGTTGGCATTAGCAGGAAGCTGAAATTGGAGGTGGAGGTGGGACTTGAGCCCGGGCACTCTAATATGGAAAGCTGGTGTCTTTTTTTTTTTTTTTTTATGATTATGGTAAGAAGGATTGAGGATTAGGGGAAAGTGCATGAGATCACTGTGATGCATGAGATGCACAGAGATCCAATTTTTCTTTTTCTTCTTCCTGTATCTGGAGTAAGGGAGAAGCTGCACCCAGCCTCCCATCTGCCTCAGTCCTCTCATCCCAGGATCTCTGATCAGAGCCAGAGCCACTGGTGGCTTTACTGTCTTATGAGAGTGCTGGGGTTTGGGGACCCGTGCTGGGGGCTGTCAGAGCAGGCCTGAGATTGTGCATGTGTTTCATGTTTTGTGTTTCAGTCCCAAGGGCAGGTGGGGAGGAGGGAAGGGAAGACCCAGGTAAGTATAATATGCACGTGGACTTGGTCTGGGGTGTTTCACCTGCACTTGTGTCCCAGGTGAGTGGAGAGGTAAGTTCCCAGACCTTCATGCATGTCTATGAACCTGTCTGTGATCTTGGGTCTCTGGTAGAGCTCCAGGCCAGCATGCTACCCCACCAAAGGACTGGGCTTGGGAAGACTTGCCTGGGGAATTCATGTGTTCCCAGGCATAGGGACTATTGATTGATCAGGGAAGGATGTATGAGATTGTGAAGGAGGGAGTATATTGCAGGTGAGGAATGGCTTTGGGGGGATTTCTACCGCTGAGACCAAGTGGTTTGGAGGGGGAAGCCGGAGGCTGGTGTCTTAAGTGGCTTCTTAATCACTACTAAAAAATCTGTCCCACCCTTTTGCAAATGTTATAAAAGCTTACTATGTGTCAGGCCTTAAGCTAAGCACAGGGGATACAGGATGACTAAATTTTAGGCCACTCCCAAATAAGTCAGTTATAGTAATCGAGACCCTAAGGGCTTGTCTCAAAGCTCTGGGGCTATAGAGAAATACACACTAACACACCCTGCCGCCTGGGAGATCAGAGGAAACTGCCACGTGGCCCATTTGGTCAGCACAAGGTGACAGAGCCTGAATTGTCTCCAGTTCGAAGCAATGCGTCTCTCTGTGTCACATGCAGCTTCCCAGCTCTCAGCACAGCTTGGAACACGAGCCAGCCCAACCCAGCAGCATTCATGCTCTTCTAAGAGAGGACACTAGGGTTACAGAGCCAATTCCACAACTCCTGTGGAACCAAATCTGCAGAACCTTTGCCACAATTCAGAAATCTAGCAGGATGCTTTACATCTTTTCCAGCTAGGGTGGGATGAAATAAGCAGGAGCTTTGTTGTCAGTCTCCAACCAGGTGAAGGGTAAAGGAATTAAGAAAAGCTGGCAGAGCTCTGCTGGAATTAGCATTTGAAGATTAAAGAAGGTCTCCAAACAGGCATTAGCCAAGAGCAGTTTACTGTGTCATTCCCAGGGGTGCTGATGAATTCCAGAGCCCAGGTCTGGTTGGGGTTTGCTCACATTCATTTCATGCAGTCAGCTCAGCACCCTGAGCGTTGCCAGCATCTGTACATACAACACTCAGTCCAACAGAACCCTTGTTCCCCTGAGCTCTCTGCCCTGGAGTTCCCTCCAAGCTCGCCTGCTCCCCATTCATGGGCATTTACACCATCAGTCACTGCCAGTCTGATATTTTCAGTCCATAAAGTGTCCTCAACAACCATGCCATCCACCTTCAAACTGGTTCAGAGAAAGAGGACTTAGAAGTTATTTAACTCAATGACTTATGTTAAAGTCCGAGGTTGGCTAGGGAGAGCCTAGGGTCATTGTGCTTCCCTTCAGTTAGCATGGAATGAGGGGTTCCATAGGGAGATTCCAGATGTGCAGAGAAAGTACACATCAGGCAAAACCATGCATGGATTTCAAAGTTCTTTACACCACAAGAAATTTACTTTTTCATCCCCCTTCCCATGAATGTTTTGAAGTCTCCCTGTGTATGCTAAGCACTATCCTGGGCCTAGGATATCCAGAAGGGTGGCCTTTTAGCTCCAGTTAGGTTCACATTTAAATGGAAGAGACAGACAAAATCAAAACAAAACCCAGAAAACAAAAATAAGTGAGTGTTCTTCCTGGCTCAGCAAGTTAAGCTTCCACTTGAAATGCCAGTATCTTATAGTGGAGCAATAGCTCAAGTTCTGGCCACCCTTTTTAAAATCCAGCTCTTGCTAATGCACCTGGAAAAGCTCTGGAGAACGGCCCAAGTGCTGGTACCCCACCACCCACAAGATGGCCATGGATGCAGTTCCTAGTTCCTGGCTTTGTCCTAACTATGGCCCTTGCAGTTATTTGGAGAAAGAGCTAGCAGATAGAAAATGTCTGTCTGTCTCCTTTTCTCTCTTTCTTACTCTGCCTTTGTAATAAGTAAATTAATCTTTAGAGCATGTTTCCTCTGGCATCACGATAGAAAGTGTAGGGGGAATGGGCTGGGCCTTTCTTTGGTCATGGGGGTCAGGTTGGGAACCATAGTATCAGAAAAACCAGTACTGGAGGCACATTCCAAGCAGGAGCACAGTGAAAGCCAAGGCAAGAGATGGGAAAGGGCAGAACTGATTTAAGGACAGAAATGTCTATGTAGCTGAAGAATGGAGTGGCAGACACAGAATGGAGGATAAAGAAGTTAGAGAGGTTGGTAGAGACCCATCCAGTAGGGCCTCAGAGGCCATGGTAATGAATTCAGATTTTAAAGTGCAGGGGATCCTTGCTTTGCATTCATTTCCAGGTTCCCCAATTGCCATTTTCAGTCAGGTACAGTGCCAAGTTCTGGGTGTCTTGTGATGAGACCTACTGTTCATTGAATGATATAATTACACCAGGCTCTCAGTAACTCCACATCAGCCCTGCCATGTACAGCTGCCAGTTGGCATAGTTGCTCCACTCGTTCATTCATTGATTCACTCATTGACCTACTGATGATCCACTCATTCACCCATATTTACTGAGCACTGGTTCCAAGCTAGGCGTTGGACATTCAAGACTACTAATATGGAATATTTTCCTTGGATTCTCACAGTATACTGAGAAATCATGTGAAACATGAACAAATCAAACCACAATATGACACCACAACCCCAATAGGAAGGTTAAGCTGGGCCACCAGAGAATAGACTTGTTCTGTGAGTGACTTCGGGGTTCCTTTCAATATGTCATCAGTGATTGAAATCAGCCCTAGCCTAAGTCCCTTCTTTGGTCATCAGAATGTTGAATCAAGTCTCACTCTAAGTTTCTGGTCTAACACAGTAAGACAGGTTTCCCAGGAAGGGAAGGAAGTAAAGGCAGGCAATGGATATGGGAGTTTCTAGAGTCACAGTCTATAAAAGTGGACTTGGCTGGACACCACGAGTGTTAGGCAGTGCCACCTCCAGCCCAGGCACTGGACTAATGGTGAGCAAGACAGGGCTTTTCTGCCAGGAGAAAGGGCATGAGACTGATATAAATAAGGAATGACAAGTAGAGATCCCAAATTCAGAGATACAAACATCCTAGTCCAGTTTTATCTGTGATACTTAAGAAGAAAATGTTCAGTGTAACTATGTCCTACCTATTGCATGGGGAGCATTAAGCACTATCCAAATTGAACCTCTTGCAGTTCAAATGGCAAGGCGATAGTGAGGGTGCGTAAGGTTTTGCCAGGGAGTGGGAAGGAGCATTGCAGCCCTGGAAAAGTCCATTTGCAGCCCACAAGGCAGCATGTGTAACCATTTCCAAGGCTATCGAGGGTTCTAGAGTCTAAAAGCATCCCTTGGTGTTAGTGCAGGGCGGAGCCAAAACCCAGTTCACACCATCTTCCTTCTCCTTCTTGACCCAACTCCCAGTCACTGACTGGCAAGGAAGGTTTTGTCCTGCCCAGAGCCAAGAACTCAGAAAGAACTCTCAAGGAGGACAGAAGCAAAAACCAAGTAGACAGTGGTGACTGCCCAGATGGCCTTGATCCCCATGCCAGGGTTATAGCCAAGGAGAGAAACTCGGGCCGAGAGCTTGCAGGGAAGAGCGGGCCAGGCTTCCAGGGGGAGCACTGAGGGCTGACTGCAAAGCAGCAGGCCTCCCTTAGCAGAATCCCAGCATGGATAGGTATCATCTTTTTCAACCAGACAAACTTCTTAAATCCTGGGGCCTTTAACATCAGGGATAGAGAAGCTTTTGCCAACTTTCTCTACCTTCTCGCAAAACAATCTAAACTGGGGGATAGGCACTGTGGCGTAGCTAGTAAAGCCACCACCCACAGTGTGGCATCCCATATGGGTGCCAATTCCTGCCCAAGCTTCCTCACTTCCAATCCAGCTCCCTAATAACATCCTGGGAAAGCAACAGAGGATGGCCCAACTCCTTGGGCCGCTGTACTCACATGGAAGAAGCTCTGGGTTCCTGGCTTTGGTCTGACCCCACTCTAACATTTGTGGCCATTTGTGGGGAGTAAGTTACCAGAAGAAAGATCTCCCTCTCTTTCTCTCTCTCTCTCTGTCTCTCTTTCTCTTCATCTCTCTGAAACGCTGCCTTTCAAATAAGTAAAAAATAAATACTAAAGAAAAAGTAGTCCAAACTGAAAGCTTCACATGGGCGAAGCTGGATTCTTTGCCAAATTCCACTTTAGTCCTCATAACAAACACCAAGCAGTAACAGGAGCGGCAAGCAACAGGAGCTGCTAATGTGAGTCATTCAGTGTGCCAGATCACTGCTAGGTACGCAATAATTCTCACTTTTAATCCTCACAACATCACACGAGGCAGCTGTTATCAGCCTACTTTATACATTGAGGAATCAGCCCAGATAGGCTAGATGACTTGCCAAGGCCAAATACTTAGATTACAAGTTAAGATTCACACCCGGAGCTCAGTCCAATGCAGATCTGAGCTCTTTGCCAGCAGATTGAAAAATAATTTTTTTTTTCTTAAAGCCTGGAGTCGTAGCAGGAAGTGTGGAATAGCAGAGCAATGAACTCTAGGGACTCAAGGCTGCAGTATCTGGATTCAAATGGCCAATCTGCCACTTTCTGTGCAACTCAAGCAAGTTATATAAGCTCTCTGGATTCTAGCTTCATTATCTGTGGAACAGAAACGATAAGAATTACAACACAAGATTCTCATGACAGTGAAATGAATGAGATGGTCCATCCTGGTGACAAAGTCTAGAGAGAAAGTTGACTCTAATCTGGTTGGGTGATAGAGCAACTGGTCCCTTCAGATGCCCAAGGGAAGATTAACCCCTGGGGGAGCCCACCCAGTATAGTTCCCACAGGGGCCCCATGACCTGCTTCTCTTTTATTTGACTTTTAGGTTATTATTTGAGAGGCGGAGAGAGAGCTCCTCTCCACTGGGTCACTCCCTAGACATCCACAGGATTGAAGCCTGGCACTAGGAACTCAATTCAGGTTACCTCATGGGTTCCTGGCTCTGAGCTTTGGCTTGGTCCAGCCATGGCTGCTATCGGCATTTGGGAGTTGGGCCAGTGCATGAGAATCCTCTGTCCTCCTGCCTCTCAACCACATAAAAATTAACACATAAAAAATTTCAGGAAATTCTTGCCTAATTACTTGACTGTGAGTCTTTTATGCCAAGTGTTAAGTACACACCTACCTTATATCAGACACAAGAAAAGCAGATGTAATCCCTGGCCTCTGGGGCTTATTATGGGCAATTGATTTAGGATAGACACTGTAACAGGTGAATCAGAGAGGGTGTCCCCCGGAAAGGGGCTCTTCACCTGCAGTCTGAAGGATGAGTAGGAGTTGGCCTGGGCAGGGACTGTGGGGACAACTGCATTGCATCCTCCAGCAGTTGGTGTCCAGATAGGGGAAGAGGTTTGCTAGAACCTTGTTAGAACTGCCAGTAGAATCCCATGAGACACTGTATGCTTAGAGAAAGAATGACTAGTTGTTAGCATTTCTAGCAGTGGCTCAGCCAGTAGGCCCATCTCCTGGTGGGACACATGAAGAAAAATAGCATCACCCCTGTGATAGGCCTGCCAGCAACACATCAGCCGAATTGAATCACCAAGAAACATCAAGCATGTTGATCCATCAGTTTTGTGGAATCCTGACATACAGAGGGACTGTTTCCTATTTCTGGAAAGCAGAGCAATAACACTAAATGATGCAGTTAGATAGATGGCTAAGACTGAATATGAGCTGTTGATCAGATCCTTGTGTTGTGGCAATGTTATGTTTTCTGAGTTTGCTTGTTGTATTAGAGATTAAAAAAAAAAAGGACTGTTAGTTTGGAAGATACACAGTGAATTAATGAGGAAAGCGAGGTTATAATGGCTACACCATTGTTCCAAGTAGGTGGGGGAAATACAGCCAGCAGTCATGGCATGATGTGGCAAAATGTGGTGAATCTGGATGTAAGAGATACAGCTCTTCGTACTATTCGAAACTCCTTTGTGAAGTTGGAAAGCTATCTTCAGAACAAAAGTTCTACATCATTAAGTCCTGCATCAGGAGATGTTCTGTGTCCCCTCCCCAGCCCAGCCTGGGTGACCAGCAGCTCTCATCCCCAGGGCACACCAACATCCACCACCATGGCACACAGCCTCTCTCTGCTCGCCAGCACGGGGAAGGGAATACCTCTTCTGTGTTGGGGACGTTGACCAACTTCTTAGAGTGCGCGACGTGGCCCACGACACCCATATCCAGAGGGAAGACAATCTCAGAGTCGGGCACCACCAGGCAATCTTCCAGGACAGCATCTTTGTGTACGTTGAAGAGCCGGGTTGCTAGCTCAGCAACGCCGTTACGGGTCCTGTACATGAACAGGCTCATGCGGTCTGCCTGCAGGAGGAAGCACAGCTTCTTCATCACGTTGAAGGTGCATTTCTCAGCCTGCAAGTTCTCCTGGAAGTCCCGCAGCAAGTCAAAAATGATCTCACTTTCCTCCACACTGCTCAGGGTGTGGTAGTTGCTCAGGTCCACGGCAGGCTCCTTGGCCCCCAGGAGGTCTGAGAGCACCTGGGCCCGGAAGTGAAGGTCACAGTATTGTTTGGCAAAGCCAATGTTAGAGTCCAGGAACTTCTCTACCTCCTCCGCTGTCACCTCTGCCATGGCTGGAGATCCTAGGAGTTCTTTTCCTTGGAGGAGCTGAGGCAGATGCCTTTGCAATCCAGGTGTGCAGCAGCCCTGCGAACGTTCTCTTTCGATTCAGCCTCTCTGGGTCTAGCTGCAAGTTATACAGTGAGGGCCACGTGGGAGCAGGAGCCAGCTCAGGAGATTAAATCATTAATACTGCCCAAGAACCAAGATTATGAGGATCAGTATGTTCCAGAAACTTCCGGGCCCCAGATGGGAAAAGGAGAGAGCTCCCTTTTCACCTTGGGCTGCTAAGGGAACTGGGAAGAGATTTCTGTTCAGAGCTGGGGTGGGACTGGCAGGGGTCAGCCACCAGTGAGGCAGAGGCAGCCCAGGCTCAAACTGCCATGGCTAGGCATACTTGCTGTCCCCTACAGCCCTTTTCTTAGCCATGTGCCCTGCAGTCGTGGGTAGGAGGCAGTTTGGCCTCTCTCTCCAAGTAGCAGCAGCTCTCACTATCCATCCACATTCCTGCCTCGTTCTTCCCCTTCCCCCAAGCCTTCCCCGTGCAGACCTGCTGTTGTGTGGCCACTGCTCAGCCTGTTATCCTCATGAACATTATGGATCTCATACCAGGGGGCTTGCACTGAAATCTGTCCCAGCTTCAGATTTTAGTGACTCAAATTTCAGCCTTCTAAGGGCGCTCATTAAAATGGCACACCTGGTATGCGTGTTGTGTGGCACAGTGGGTTATGCTGCTGCTTGGCGTATCTCACATTAGCCTGGGCCTGAATCCCGCATATGCTTCCTATCTAGCTCCCAGCTAATGCACCTGGGAGGTAGCGAGGTGGTAACCCAAGTAGTTGGGTTCCTGTCATTCGTATGGGAGACCAAGATGGAGTTCCTGGCTCCTGGCTTGGGCTTGCTCCAACTCCTGCTGTGGTGGTCAGCTGGAGAGTGTGACATAAGATGGAAGAGCTCTATTTTTCTCTGTCTTTCCTTCTCTGTCATTTCAAGTGAATACATAATTGAAGCAAACACATACACACCTTTCCTAGTTTCTTTCTTTTTTAAAACAAAATAGTACATATCTGTTGTGGAAAATACACTAAGTCAATTAGCATCACCCTGAACTCTGCCATTCAAAGGTAATTTCCAGTTAAGAGTTTTCTGTTCTTCCCACAAAAGCTTTTTATTTTTAAGATTTATTTTATTTTTTAAAAATGTATTTAAAAGGCAGAGTTATAGAAAGAGAGGGGAAGAGATAGAGAGAAAGAAGGGAAGGAGGAAAGGAAGGAGAGCCAGAGAGAGAGAGAGAGATCCATCCACCCACTAAACCTGGCTGGGCCAGGCTGAGCCAGGAATGTGAAGTCCTACCAGGTCTCTTTCAGGGGTGCAGAGGCCCAAGTATTTGGACTACTTTCTGCTGCTTTTCCAGGCCCATTATCAAGGAGCTTGATTCAAAGTGGAGCAGTCAAGACTTGAACTGGTGCTCATATGAGATGCCGGCATTGCAGGTGGCAGTTTAATTTGCTGCTTCGCAGCACTGACCCCTCCATAAGGGCTTGACATTTTAAAAAAAATCTCTTTTCTTGCAGCCTACTTTATCTTTCCCTTGGTGCTTCATGCACCTTTCCTGGCCTCCACTTGCACCTTCTTGGATTGTGTTGGAAGTGTTCACGCTAGGCCAGAAGCTGTCAGGGAATCTGTATCCCCTCACCCTGGGAGGTGGCAAAGAACACTCTTCTTTCTGGATGAACTTGACTGTTGATTCCATGACATCCCCATGTTGCAAATACTGATGCCTTAGAACTGTAGAATACGTGACTACGGACAGTTGAACTTTGTAAATTAAACTTAAGAAGTTGTAAATGAGCTTAATTAGAAAGTAGATTGCTTCCTCTGTTGGAGAGTACAATAAAATTGGAGCACTACAGCCACCCAGCACTGTGTGCCAAGATGACCTCCACTCAGGGGAACACTTGATGGCTCCCTAGTACTACAGAGTAGCTGGCTGATATTTAAATCCAATATTACCTTTATAATATTAATCTGCATTCTTATACATAGTGGTAGTTCATTCATTCTTGAGTTCCATAGTATTTCATGCAATGGGTGGGTCACAATGTACTGAGCTATTCTAACTTTAAAACAAATAAGTGTCCCCATGATCTGGCAGCCACTTGAGCTCCTCCAAACAACCCTGCTGTAACTACAATAGCCTGTCACAGCTCATTCCTAGCTGTCCTTGTCCACTTCTAGACTTCAAATCAGGCCAGTGTTGGGCTTAGTGTACTAAGCTGTCACTTGAAGTGCTGGCATCCCACATGGGGGCTGGCTAGTGTCCTGGAAGCTCCATTTCCAATCCAGCTCTAAGCTGATGGCCTGGGAAGGCAGCAGGGTAAAGCCCAGAGCCTTGGATGGCCACACTCATGTGGGAGGTCAGGAAGAAGCTCCTGGCTCCCATGTCCTAGAATAGCAGCCAGGACATGAATGGGCGCCCATATAAGAAGCCAGCCCCAGGTACTTAGCGTGCTACTTGGCCATAGTCTTTAATGTTCTCGATCATAATTTAGAAGACACAGAAGATGCTAGGTATAAAATTAAAATCAAACATACCCCAGCTAAACCCTTGCCAATATTTTTTGTATAATTCAGAAATGTATTCTTGAAGAAAACATATACAGAGGGAGTTTCAAAATGTTCCTAGCAGGTGGACATTTGGGGAAGTGGTTAAGGTGCTGTGTGGGATGCCTGCCTCTCATACAGGAGTGCCTGTCAAATAAAATCAATAATTAAATAAATACTTTTAAAAGATTTATTTATCTATGGGCCTGACACAATGACACAATAGCTAAATCCTCACCTTGCAAGCACTGGGATCGCATATATTACCATAACAATCGCAGGTAGTGAGTTTCAGGTCACTGAAGAAATGAAAGTGAAGAACATGGCAGAGAGAATTCAGACATTAGCATTTATACATGAAGATCAATCAGGAACTATTAAGTCAGTGAGAATGCCCTTGAACTCTTCCTAGAGGAAGGAGGAAGTGGTGTGGACAGAAAGAATGGAAAGCAACAAGCAAGTAAAGAAGCAAAAAGAAGTAGAGAACACGCTGCATGACCGGGAGAGGGAGATGTGACAAACAGGGTGCAAGCCTGGTCGTGCGTGTGTCACTGGGCCCCTGGAGGAACCCTGAGTGTTCCCATTTCGGACATGTCACTAGCATTTCAGGGTTGGCCTAGCATCCATTTTCTGCCGGAACGCCTTCCCCTCTTGGCTTGGCAAACCCCGCCGCCTCTGAGAAGCCATTGAAGGAAAAACCGTCTACTTTGCCCTGTCAGTCATCTCAGAACTGCCGCAGCCTCATTTTGTACTGACCTTTGCTCACTCCTGAGCTCCATGGTTTCTTACCCTTACCCTAGAGCTGATGATGACTCCTGGCCATCTGTAGTCTGACTTCCCCGTGAGCTTCCTGTTGGGTCTGTCCCTGGTGTTTACTCGGTGAAGTCCTTTCTGTTTTATCTTGGGGCATGCAGCCTGGGTGCATAGGTGAGCCGCATACAAGTCCCAGTGTGCATTGTTCTAAAGCTTACCTTCTCAAAAGCTCCTGGAATCAAGTGGGGTTGTCAACGGCATGCTTGTCTTAATCTGTTTTTTATTGCTGTTGACAGCAGACTGAAGCTGGGTACCTTATTAACAGCTTTATCTAGCTCATGGATCTGGAGGGTTAAGAGCATGGTGGCGGCACCTGCCTGGTTCTGGAGAGGGGCTTCCAACTCTATCACAACCTGGCCGAAAATGCCATGGTGGGAGTGTGTGTGACAGAGATCACGTGATAAGGCAGGAAGCCAGAGAAGTTCAGGGGATAGGCTTGCTCTTTTAATTTTTCTTTTTTTAAAATTTGTTCTGTGGCTTGGTGTGATAGCCTAGTGACTAAATCTTTACCTTACATCTGCGAGATCCCATATGGATGCCAGTTCATGGCCTGGGAAAGCAATAGAGGACGGTCCAAAACCTTGGGCCCCTGCACCCATGTGGGAGACCCTGAAGAAGCTCCTGGCTTCAGATAGGCTCAGCTCCAGCTGTTGCGACCATTTGGGGAGTGAATCAGTGACAGTCTTTCTCTCTGTAAATCTGCCCTTCCAATAAAAATAACTAACTTTTAAAAAATTATTCTGTTTATTTCAAAGTTAGAGAAAGAGAAAGAAAGAGAGATCATCCATCTGTTGGCACTTGGATCCTTCCTCAAATGGCCACGAGGGCCAGGCTGGCACAAGACAAAGCTAAAAGTCTGGAACTCCATCCTGAACTCTGACACTCTGATATGAGACACTCAAAAGCAAAGCAGCATTTTAACCATGAGGTCAAGCACCAGGCCCAGGCTTGCTCTCTTTATAGCTGTATGCTAGCTTTTTTTTCCCTTTAAAGTGGCTGCAATGGCCAGAACTGAGCTGATCTGAAACCAGAAAACAGGAGCCCCCTCTGGGTCTCCCAGGCAGGTGCAGGGTCCCAAGGCTTTGGGCCTTTTTTATTGTTTTTCCAGGCCACAAGCAGGGAGCTGGAAGGGAAGTGGCTCTGCTGGGATATGAACCAACCCCCATGTGGGATCCTGGTGTGTGCATGGCAAGGTCTTTAGCCATTAGGCTCTCATGCCAAGTCCAGGTATATGCTGTCTTGGGAATAAACCATGCTGCAGCAAGAATCAAGTGTATTCTTCCACAGGCCTGCGTCAAAGGACCTCAGTATTTTCCTTTAGGATCCAACTCTTATACAAGGCTGCTCCTCCTGAACCCTGCCACGTTTTAGACCTAGCCCCCACTAGGGAACACATGGAGGCCCTATCTGCACTATTGCATGGCAATCCTGGGAAGTTAAGGGAAATCAGGCAATGGATACATAGCTTTGGGGCATGGAGCTGAAAGGCAACAGGTGGAGGCTACACTCAGGCACCTGAACCAGAGAGAGATGGGTTTGAATCTTTTTCTGTAGTTTGCAGGCTTTGATTTTAGACAAATGAATCTCTGGTCTCAATTTCCTCATTTGCAAGTAGCAGGTAACAGTAATCACTTCTTTTTGCAGAACTGTTGTAAGGATGAGAGCTTGTGAGTGTACTGAAGTTGGTTGATGGCTGGCTCTAAGCAAATCTGGCCTTTAATGA